CAAGTTTTAATAGAACAACAACTCTGCTGATCGTAACCTATGAGTTTGTTAAACTTTACCTATCTTCCCGCTTGAAACAAGCATGTAGCATTTCTTATAGCATAATTTAAGTCATTTCTGATACACTCAATCACAGTGGGTACTACTTCTTTCACATTCGGGAAATACGTTGCCACATTCCCCTTTTTCAAAAGTTTGCTTCCCAATTCTTCGATAACATCGGCATTGCGCTGCGTGAAGTGATAAATGTTCCACCTGGTTTATAAAAATTAGCATACGGTCGTAGCACCGACATTTCACAATTTATCAAACATTCCCAGAAATCATCATACGATCCGATTTCTCCTTCAGATTCTTGACTCTTCAAATACTCAAGGATACCTTCATCTTCAAATATTTTTCCTGGATCCCCGACGGATTTAAGCAAAATTTCTTTAAAAGATTCCAAATCTAGACCATTGTTTTTGCAAAGTTTTATCCAGTATGCCACAAAGCTTTCGGTATCACTAAGGCCAACTTTTTTTAGCGCATATCCGTACAATTGAATAATGATCAGTTGTGTCCCAAACTCTGGAACTAATTCCAACAGTGCAATTTCGAGTTGCAAATGAGGATTTACATTGTACATGGCTAGAGGGGCCTCCTCGTTAAAAAATATTGTAATGCAAATTCTGGCGCAAACATCGGCTGGAAGTTGAGTTAAGGGGATACTCAACTCTGGTATGATCCCAGTGCTCACCAAGTGAATTATCCTCTTTAGCGCGTGGCTGCTTGCGCCACCCAAATCTTGCTTGCCTGTGACACTTGCCCCGGAAACGGCAGGAAATCTAAAAGATTTGCAAGGAATGCCAATTTCAACAGCTTGTCCAATTAATCTATCTCCAATAAATTTGGAAATTCCATAGCCAAAATTTGTGCTGGTATCATAGTCCCCTTGCTGCGGCCAGCCTTCCAAGTCTACATGTTTAATTTTTGCAAGATTTTGGGGAAAGCATGCCATCGTTGAAGCGTTGTTGATCCATTTGACTTTTTGTTCCGCCGCGAATTCAATAATACGCTGGGTTCCCATGACATTCACGCTTTGTAATATGGACAAGTTCTCGTAAGGCTTGATATGATCGGAACGTACGGCAAAATGCACGATTGCATCTACTTCCCGAGAAAGAAGTTCATACATTGGTAAATCCAAACCAAATTTGTCACGTGATACGTCTCCATTGACGACGGCGAGTTTCGATAAATCCGTTGTGTCGAATAGGTCAAGAAATTTCAAACGTGAGTGAAGACGAGAGAGGGTGGATTCTGTACATAGAGATGGAGTAATTTAAAACTTTAGAGTAAATATAAGATGGCGCATTGTTTACTCAAGATATCCATGGTTGGGTCAGAATATAAAATATGGGCCAAAATTTTTGACTTTCTTAATGGAATGAAATGTTCACCAGAGGTCAAAATCTATCTATCATTGCTGTTAAACTCTAGGAAATCACAAGTTTGTCATGTCCAATTCCAATATTCAAGTCCCCCACTTGATATATCTATGTTTTTGGTGAGCATTATTTCAATAATTATATTACACATAAATATTTACCTGAACTTTTCGGAAGAGCTCGCACAAGGCAAAATATTTTTTCCACGTGTGGAAGTAATGTCAACTGCTGGATCATATAAGGTCCAAGAGATCCAGTCGCTCCAGTTAGGAAGATCGTTTTGACCTTGCCTAAAGGCACGTAAGGTTTTTTGGTTGAATCTACTGAAATATGCTTCCATAACTTTGAGTCTTCGATGATGAGGGTTTCTTTCTCATTATTAAATTTTTTACGAGAAACGTCATGGTCATCCGTAGGGGCACTTATATTAGTAGAGACGATATCAAGGTTGGTCTTGCCATTCGGGCTCAATTTTTCCGACTTATTCAAAAGTTGGGCCGATATTCTGTTAGCAAACTTTGTATTATACACAAACTCAACATGTTTATGAGATCTTGTCACATACAATTTTTCTGATTCAAAATCAAGATGGAAATTGTTATCCAATTGCAAAATCTGGAAGTCCTCGACCATCGCACGTTTCAATCCATCGAATGTTTTTTGTTTCTCAAAACCTAAATTGTTAAACATTTTCATAGGCGTGCTTTGTCAACGAGATATCATATCGTGCAAGAAACTAACCATTAAGATAATTCTGCAAATTTTGATGAGTTCCCATGTCAGGCGTCAATATAATTATGCCATTTCCGACCATAAATTTGTTAGTCTGTACGGCAAAAAGATTATCCATGTTTCCAACAATCTGTTACAAAACATATTTACTTTAAGTCCCTCAACTTATGTACGTCATTAAACGACATCAGATTATTTAGATACTTGTTTATGATCTGTTCAGAATTAATGGAGGACACGAAGTGTCAAAGATTTTTCTCAATACAAACTCATAATCAATTGCTGTGCAAAGATCTGGTGAATCACAACTCCATAGTTCGTTTTGTCTCTCGAACTTAAATAACACCACCCGAGTGACATATAAAATATTGGACATTTACGAAAAGATATTTGCTAGATATTCGTGCACACTTTGATCGGTCGCCTATTATTTCTGAACAAGCCATTGTTAGTATTAACCTTCATTCATCAAGTCTGAAATGTTTACTAAGTAACACATTATTGTGGATTTATTAAATAAATAAGACATGCATTTACCACTGAAGACGGGTCGATTAAACAGATACGATCAAATTTCACAAGAGTTACACAGTTTAGCAGGACGTGACAATTAAAGTCATAGTCACCGTTTGTTCCCAACTTAACTACGCCGTCAAATAAGGCAGTCAATTTGCTCCTGAAAATAAATAAATTATCAAATTTTAGTTCCAGTAATCTTAAGGTTCTCATTAATACTCGAGTAAATTACCAAGCTTCATTTTCACAATTTTCAGGGTCCAGAAGAATTAGACATTGTCTGGAAGTTTTGGTTTCTCTAATGGATTTTAAGATAAGCAGAGCGTCGTGGGTTTCTCTCAGGTTACGTGCAAATGTGGCGTATGCTTGCTTCATTTTTTCCAAAATTTTCCCACTAATTCAAACTTGGGGAAAATGAGATTTTTATGTGAAACAGTTTATGACGAGTTCCAAAAATTGTATGAAACTCTGGCTTGACTTGGAGAAACCTTTAAATATAATTTTGCTGGAAGAACGCCGGACCGGATGTTTTATTAACTTCGCATTTAGTTATTCGAGCCAAATTATGCAGCGAAGTTTAAGGTAGGAAATATTCCAATCTTAATTAACTAATCAACTTGTAGTACATACGCACTGGAATAACCTGATAAGACAAAACTAATGATGAGTAGGAAAACACGTAGATAAAAACACAAAACACAGCCTTCACACCTCCTTCAAATAATAATACTATAATATTGTTTTAATAATTTTAGCCACCTTCGCCATCATTTATAACTAGGATTTATTTTAGTTTTGATATAACTCAATTTTCATTTTGAAACATATACATAAATATCCCAGGTTTCAAAAACGTCGGAAATCACCAAAAATGAAGATGGATATACCTTAAAACTTGGTCAAGCGAAGTGATAATTTCAAAGTTAATATATGTACGGTTAGGTCAGGTCACGGTTCCGAACATGTTTGTGTAAGTGATTAAAAGTACCAGAACTGTGAAGTCAAGTAGAAATTCTTTCCTTAAGATAAGAAGGTAAATAAGTTTTATGTATTACGTAAATTTCAGGTAAACCCATGCGACGATACGTCTCCAGCAACTGAATATTTGATATCTGTGGTAATTAATATCGTACCCGCATCTCCATTGACAACGAGTAGTTTCCAGGTGGTTATCTTCGATTTTGACGAGACTAATTTTAAACTGTCCACGTGCGGACCTATGTTTTTGCTCTTTCTTCAATCCGTATGTTCGATAGTGCTGAGTTTTTAATACATTTTCACTCGAAATTAGGCGTTTTAAAACGTAAATTTTCCAATTTTAACCCGTTTTCAAGAACTACATTATATATTTTCTCAGAATTATATGGAGTATTTTTTAAATTCTACGTCCCAGAAAGTTGTAACTTTTAATTCAACCACCATCAAAATTGCAAAGTTTAAAAATAAATTTTTAACAAATTTTTAAGCTGCGTTTTTAAAAATGTGTCATTCTTGGGGAAGCAATTCTTTATAATATGTTGTTAAATTTTTGAAAGCGGGTTGAAATTCGGAAATATACAAAAAGTTTTTGAAAATCATGATTTTGCTTCACAATGTTTTCAACAATTCCGCCAGAAACGAATTCGCATTATAAAAAATATGGGCTCGCTTGTTTTTAGGCGTGAACAATATAGAAATCGGAGATAACCACCTCCTTCCTCCTTGTTGTCAGTCAGCAACCACATAACCGTTATATGACTATTGTCTGGTTAATTTAGTCCGGATTTCTTCCATACTAATGAAAAATTGAGTAAACAACTCTAGCTGGTTATCGTTTATTAATTATATATGTAAATAAGTCACAAGTTTCAGCCTTATCTAAAGTGCGTCGTAAAACACTATCTTGATCCAGACTTCCGTTAGTTAGTACGATATGAAGTCAGACATGACGTCGGAAGTCACAACATGTTATTACCGTGCCGATAGAGTCATATATGTACTCCGATTTAATACCGCTTTCCTATGTGAGTATTTATATCTACATATGTGACTCCACCCGATTTTACGCATATACTTATGTGTTTATGTACAGGGTGGTTTAAATGTTTGTTTCAATGGAAAATTTTTCAATGAGAAAAATTCGCAAATCTCCATTAGTTACCGAAATTTTGCCTCTGAAATTTAATATTTTAATAATTTTGTCATCAGTGTTCCAAAAGTTTTGATAAAAATTAGTACAAATCTCAATCCCAAAACCGTAACTAGTGAAAATTTATGAATTTTTCCCATTGAAAAATTTTCCATTGTAACCTGACACTTAAACCACCCTGTATATTCCCCGCACTGGTACTTATTTTGGTAATAATATCCTACCGGATTGGTAGAAGGTTATTTCTTAGTGGTAGCTTTTACATTACTGAACGGTAATGTCTTTTGTTACCTGCTCCGATAAAGTAACATACATATATGCCCCGATGAGTAATGATTTCATACCAGTTTTCTAAGAGTGCAAATTTATTTCAGTTAAAATTAATTTTTATATTAATTCCAGCTGGACACGGTGCATTGTTTAATAAAAGTGCATTTAGATAAGGTAGCTTTATCTCATCATGCTACCTAGTATCCGGTCTAGCCCATCTTCAGTTTTAACAGAATTATTACAACACGAATTCATGTACATAATACTGGTACATATTTAAACTTCCTAATTAATAAAAGACAAACATGAATTATTATCTTAATTCGCGAATTCTGCTCGACTTCACACTTCATGTAATTATCACCTTATCAAGTGCGATGCGAAATTTTGGGCAAGTTAATTAATTTATCTTGCAGAACTCTTTAAGCTTAAATTTCAACTACTTACATATATACATATTTATTATTTCTTTTGTAGGATTTGAATTTTAAAATTTAGCCTATAGCTTATGTCACAGACAAAATTTGATGTATGCTTAATCTTCACTCGTTTTTCTGATCAAGGCCATTGCAATTTTTGGAATGAATTAATGTAGATGAAGATACAGGAAACTCGCCCATATCATTATGATTGACGAAAAAATTCTCTTGGAGGATACCTCGCACCTGTTGAATTTCTCCTAATGATGAAATCAACAGGTTACAGCTTTGGAATTCCCGGCTTATTAATCGTAAGTCTATGAGGTGTCTACCTGGCTGGATGCCGAAGTGCATATAAACCCACTGACCTACCTCGGCACCAGTGCCAAACACATTTCAGCAGTCATGCCGCACATTACGGATTTAGTACAGTGTAAGCTATCTTAAATTTCCAATTTTTCAAGCTATGTAAATAACAAAAATTATAACTGATTCAAACTAAATTTCTTGGCGGAAACAGAGAGGTAGCAAAGCAAAAAAGAAGGGCCCGCGGGATAATACGTGATAAAACTTGAAACTTTGCCATAATTAAAAAAAAACATTCATACGCCTTTTTTCTATAATATTATTCGATATCTCACGTCTCAAAAAACCTGGTAGAGAGTTGAGATATCGAAATCAATGTTTCCTAAATTATGGAAAAGTTTCTATTTTTCACCTGCACACTACACAAAAATAATTAAATTTTACTCAGACTTGAGTAGATTTAAATAGTTCTTATTTAGAGTGTAGTCCGCATCCCCAGATCCTATGTACTTTGCTTTGCCCTCTCTTTGTTTCTGCCGGGCCCTTTCTTAGGATGTATACCATCTAGTAATACTGCTACCAAGCGGTAGTAACTTAAATACCGAAAAATCTGTCTGACTGTATAGCATTTTTTCAAGCTATACCGAAATTGTGTAACGACTTCTACCAAAAAATCAAGTCAAAGATTGGGAATCACATGACAATTATACATTCGTTGAATGGCCCTTCTGAAGAACAATATTGTCGATAAAAGTACCCACGAGCGCCTTGGTCTGCACCTCGTGGAGGGGAAGAAATTTGGCTTAAAAATTGTACTTAGCCGCCAATATGTTTCCTCAAAGGAGCCATTAAACGAAATAATAAGCCCCTGAAATTCCGAATTTTTTGCTTGATTTTTTTTATAGAACTCGTTAAACAATCCCGGTGTAGCTTGAAAAAGATGGGGTGACAAATGTGCAAAGACAAATGTGCAAACGACCAATGTGCACAGACATTTGTGCAAACGATAAATGTGCAGGGAGACAAATGTGCAGCCCGATAAATGTGCAAACGATAAATGTGCAACCGATAAATGTGCAGGAATTTTTTTAACAAATAGTGCAATATATCTTGATATAATTTGAACACTCAAATCAAATTATATCTCCTCAAAAACCAAAAATTCCTCAAAAATTAATTTTGCCGTCACATCCAGTATGATGCTGTAGATCTTATAGCGAGCAGTATTAATTTATTGTTAATTTAATTAATTTTGGTATTTACCAAAATATATATACTTTCAATTATGTTTTTACTGTGCGTAAATTTCTCCGCACACCTTCATGAATTCGTGAATTTTAGCCTGTCACAAAGGCAGAAATTATGTACATAAATTCTAATTTTCAATGAAATACTTGGGGATTTATTGTATGCCGTCTTTCTAAATTCTGTCGAGGGGCGTCCCTAACTTAAGGTTAGGTTAGGTGAATTTAACATTATAGAAATGTAGTGTTAGCATTACAGTAAAAAGGCATGGGAAAATTATTATAAAGTTGAGAGGGGTCAACCTCTTAATAATAATGGTTAGTAATACTTCATAAGTATAACATTTGGCTTTTTGAGGAGATACAATTTGATTTGAGTGCTAAAGTTATATCCTGCAAAATCCTGAACAATTCCTGCACATTTATCGGTTGCACATTTATCGGGCTGCACTTTTGTCTGTATGCACATTTATCGTTTGCACATTTGTCTTTGCACATTGGTCGGGTCACCCTTGAAAAAAGGTTCCACTATAAGTATTTCTAATCCGCAGCTTGGTTTTTCCCGGACTTTGAGACCTCTTACGTGGAATGGAACTACACGAAGAATCCGACAATTGAACCCTTCTCATTTGAGCGGGACTATTTCGATCTGGCGTCATGTCGCAAGTTTTGGTGGAAAAATTCCCGTCTAGTCATCCAAATTGCGATCCTTTATATTCTAACGGTTCATGGCTTAGCTTGGTGGATGAAGAACCGGAAGCCGTTTGATCTTAAGAAAGGATTATTCGCATGGAATGTGGCACTCGCCGTTTTCTCCGCTTTCGGTTGGATTCGGATATTCTCAGAACTGTGGGACGTGCTCTCTAGTCAGAATGGTTTTCATAGATCGGTTTGCGTAAGGTATGCTTAAAATTAAATTGTATAATATACAGATCAAGAATTTAATGAAGAATTTTTACTAAACTTATCATTAACATAAATCAGAAAGTTATGAACTACTTAAGAATTTAGTATAAAAATCTTTAATTCGCAATCCCCCTAATAAGTAATTTCATTATTAGCTCACCCCGCGTAGCACGGGAGCTGTTGAATTCTTCTTGTCCGTCCGTCCGTCCGTCTGTTTGATGACGAGTTTTTTTAATCAATTGATGCTAATTAAAAACCCTATCAATTATTTACACGTTTTTTAAAAAATTATGTGAACGACGAAAAGTTACCAAAATTGACCATCAACCAGCTTAACCTCGTTTTTTTTTCAGGGACATGTTTAACGTTTCGACTGGATTCTGGTCGGTGGTGGTGCCCATGTCCAAACTGGCAGAATTTGTGGACACAATCTTTATCGTCTTGAGGAAGAGGCCGCTAACATTTTTACATGTGTATGAATTATCTAAAATGAATTATGTATGTATCTACATTCATAATTGTAACCGGAATTTAAACAGTTATCACCATTCCGTGACGTTCGTGATAAGCGTTAGCACCACCGTGCAGGGGGAACCGATTATCCGATATTATGGATCTCTTAACCTCATGGTGCACACGTAAGGTCCAGATTTGCATCCTATGCAAATATTAATAAAGTCCCAAAAACTACGGAAATGGCTGATCAAAATATGAATTTATTTTTATTCTAATAAGGTTGATGTATACCTACTTTGCGCTATCGGTGAGTTTAAACTATTTAAAAATCCTTGCCATTCTTTATCCCTTTTTTACTTTGTCAGGCAATTGATTACAAACCATCGCGGAAATTCGCAATGTGTCTCACCACTGTGCAAATTCTTCAGTTCGTCGTTATGCTGGGAGCCCATGGATACGCGATTGGTGTAAAATGTTAGTTGTAAATTATTCATGATATTTAACCCTTAAATTTTTTGCACACTGGTAAAAATCTTGTAATTGTGACTACTTAATGTTCGGTCCGATCTGATATTTAGTGAGTGGGCAGCCATGCGCGGTGTCTCGGGAAAGCAGCGTCACTACAAGTGTCATCATTTTTTCATATCTGATCCTCTTCTGTCACGTATTTTACAAAAATTACTTAAACTGTACTCCAAAATCGAGGGCATCAAGAATCCAAAAGGTAAAATAATAAATTCACAGACTCACAAATTTCACAGTAAAATAATAAATCAATTTTATAATTGTTTGAACTAACTTTTGACATAAAAATTAATTTTAAAGAAATATAATTAAAACTCTGTAGTTAATGATATTTCTTAGAATTATAGTCTCACAATCAGTGAGGTTAATGTTTGTACATATCGATTCTGCGTAGTAAATTTCTTCGACATTGTAATTCTTGTATCTAATGTAAACCGTGGGGTACATACATTATGCATGTATTTATGTATCTACTCAAACACTCTAGATTTGCATAATAAACCCTGCATTAATATAGATTTGTGGGTAAATACATATTTATGGAAAGTGATACATTTTATCTTGAAATATGATATATACTCATATAAATACTCGTAATGATAATTATCCGAACATGTATCTACATGTATTGTATTCTTCAGTTTGATGGTGATATGCATGGATGGATTGGCACATGTGCAATAGGTATTTATATTTGCATGTTGGTTCTCTCTTGAAATTGCATCACTGAATTTAAGTTTAAACATTTTCAAAATCTGGTTCAAAATTTCAGAACTGTTCAGAATTATGTTGCGGTATGTATTCCCGAGGGGCTGTATAATTGACACGAATTATTTAGATCTTTTCAGAATTTATTGTCATGTCAGAAGAAATAAGTTTTTTTGACAAAACAATGTATTCGTGGTTTCTATTCTAAAATTGCCTCATCAATTTATATCAACATTTATTACCGAATCATGATACATAAAATCTACAAACAAAATCCCCAAATATGCTATATAGAATTTAAAAGATGACAGCACAAAACATTATAAAACTAGAGTTAACTTATTCAGGGTCCTTTCACAGATCCAAATTAGTTAATTCTAAATAAGAACTTTTAAATATTTTCAAATTCAGTACTTATGTGAATTGTATGCTACAAAATTCCCGTGTTAAAATTGCTCCTATTCCTCGACCATATTCGCTGCGTGTTTTCCAACGTCTTCCAAATTTCTGAAAACTTTGCCCCATGCTTCCCAAAATCCAAGAGTTCGATAAGGAAGGTCGTATTTTTTAGCCAGTGCGGCGACCCTGTCTCTGATCAGGTGATTGTTATATTGCGGCATTTGAGGGAAAAGATGATGCTCAATTTGGAAGTTTAGATATCCCATCCACCAATCCGTCAAGGGGGTCGAGGTGATATTAACGGTGTGCTCGAGACAGTACTCCACCCAACTTTTCCCCTCTTCGGTCACATCGAGGTGGGTGTGGTTAAGAGAAAAAGTTCCCAATAGGTAAGCCCCGGTTAGAAATGTGACCACAAATGAATTGATAGGACCCAGAACTCCAATAAAGATGAAATGATGCAACGACATGAAAAAAGCATCGGAGAATGCACGTTTCTTTAAAACATAGCGAGGGCAGAGGAAACTAAAAATAGAATAGAGAATACTTAGCTAAATCACAGATTTTGCAACTTTTTTGAACCTAAATACATGTATTTAAGCTCAAATCCGTAGATCATCAATCAATCCTAAGAATAGCCTCGAGTGACTGTCTGGCTGTCCAATTTGAACGTTTGCGCTCGAACTTGGTTTGAGGATTTGGCGAAATGAGACTCAACTCAATGTTATTGAAATAAATTAAAAAAAACAAACATAAGCGCCCCACCTTTACTTTCAATGATTGGGGCATTATGAGATTATCCATTTTTGCACGTTAACGCATTATACGCCCTCGTTGAACTTGGCTCTGGGATATCATATTCCCCCAAACGGGCTTAACTAACCGAAAACCCGACTAAATGAGTTACTAAACTTGTATATATATACATATACGGATTTGAGGTTAAATATATATCAATACATATGTACTATCCCCGTACTTAGGCTTTGCACCTCATTTGCATAAATCTCAATAGCCCATTTTCGGCGATACGAGCTTTCCATATTGAATAAACTCTGGCTCTCGCGAATGCGTTAAAATATGCAAATGAGGTGCAAGGGCTGAGTGCGAGGATAGTATGTTGGTATATGAATTTACAGTATATAATCTGATTAAACAATGCTAACAGTTGTTGTTGCAATCAAATGTATAAGATGCTGTCTAATTTTAATATCACATTTTTTGAAACTTCTAATCCTAGAAAATGTAACTTACAATTGCCAATGAAGAACGACCAGAAACGAATCCACAAATAGAAATAATTTCGCTTGGTTCCGAATAAAGAAATTATTCACATTAGATCCCCCCATTTTAACGACTTTTTTGTTAAACGCGAGAAGCGGCAGAGTTGCCAAGTCAACGTCGTATTTGAGTCGTTGAGGCATCGCGTGATGCCGATTGTGCTGGCTGTTCCACCAGGACGACGATATCCCCATACCCAGCGAGGAGGAGAGTTGGTGGAGAACCTTGTCAATTTTCAGATTTCCGGTGAGTGACCGATGCCCGGCTTCATGCCCGAACCACCCGCACCGACCAGCTCCTAGAGCGGTGGTAAAAAGTCCGACCAATTTTACAAATTGGGGGGTGCTACTTGCCAAGTAAAACCCGAAAATGATGAGAATAGCGCATTCCAACAAGCGGGCGAATACTCGGGAGTAGCACGGAATGAAGAGCCCTTCCGCTTCGAAGGTGGATTTCAGAGTGGATAATTCCTGGTTTATGTTAGCCTCATTTCGTGAGAAAGTTTTGTCCTGGACGGTTCCTAGTGCAGGGATAAAATATATTACTAGTACTCATTTATTTCCGTATGAATCAGTACTCAACGAGCACTGATTAAAATTATTAAATTAAAATTACTGACTTAAAATTATTGGCCCTGCACTCGAAGCAGGGCCAAAAATCCATAAAAAAATCATAACCGTTCTAGTGTAATAGCAAACATGACCGGGACGGAAATAATATTGTCACAATATTATATAGTATTGAAAAAACTGGAAATAAGTATTATTGAAAAGATATAATAATATTATCTCAGCGTGTATGGGACCGTCCGGAATTTATTTGGTTACGATTTTCTTTTGAGTAAGGGGATTCTGGATTTTTTAGGTGAAACAGTTTAGCAAAAATTATGTTGCGTAGTTATGTAGTTACAGATTTGATAACTGTTTTTCGCCGAATTAGCTTTAAAGATTACAAATTATTTGTAAAAACTCGGTCGTGACATTTTTTCATATCGCGTTTTATCGATCGTGATTAATGAACAATTACCATTTTTCTTGGCCACTTCCCGACTTGGTAGATGTTTCAAGACCTTTTCCGCCGCGTTCAAGCATCTTCCGTGAAATTGGTCAAATGCGGCGGATGCGTCTTCCCCTTGTTTGGTGTAGAACTTGATAATGTTTCCCCCAGGGTGGCGAGGAATCCAATTTATGACGTCGTAGTAGTGTGAATTAATTAGGATTTCGTGCTTCCCTTCAAATTCTGATGAAGGGGATAGGTCTGCCCCCATTCTGGAGAATGATAGTTAACTTGTTTTCCTTCACTGATGACTGTTAACTTCTAGAAATCTAGTGTTAAAATAATAGAAAGCGATATTTATATACGACTCTACCGCAACTTTTATTCCGAGTAATCGATACCTGTATGACTATACCAGATTTCTTAATAATATAATGATATGGAGTATAATGTGCATAAATATTGCAACTGACGATAGACTTTCAATTAGATGCTAACTAGTTGGACGCTGATACAAAAATGCTCGCTACTTGTTTATCTGTTGCTGTTAAGATACAAGAAATTATCCTGTGCAACATGCTTGCATGTACCTACTTAAAGCCTAGTACTCGGGGCGAAATTTTCAATCGAAATCGCAAGTTTTTCTCTTTGTACTTACTCACTAATTACACTAATTACCTGAATTTAACTATAAGGTGCACCAAATGGAAGGGTTTGGTCCAACAATTTGCAAAATTTTACTAAAGTTTATCATTCTCGCTTCTGCTGGACATCTTTACGTCAAATATCCTGAGTACTAGGCTTAAATGACTGCATACATATAAACTTAAAATTTTCCTTATGTACAATCCATCTTGGGTATTCCCTTCCATCCTGTTTTGGTATAAAGAGAATTCGGATATCATATAAATCTCAAGGTTACCATGTAGTTTGTCTATATAGTTAATTATAAAACTCTATCAAGAAAAATTTCAGGTTAGCAAAACATTTTAAATAGATGTACCCAAAACGGAGAGAGGATGTAGATAAATAAAATCTGGAAATTCTCATATTTTGTTGGTACGATACAAATTGTATTTAGGTGTTCGAGTTTGACGCTTAATGATTTTTTCGCAAGCAACCTTGGTATTGTCCAGATTTTATCTAGATATTACCCAACTTCCTTTGTGGAAGATATTACCCAACTTCCCAAGCTTATTAACTCAATAAAACCTCGATGAAACTAACATTAAATAAACTACATTGGTCTCAAGTGGTCAGTTCGATCATTAGAATGCTGACATGAAGTGACATGGGAAGGAATATTTATAGGGATGTAAGCAAAATGTGCTTTTAGGAGTTTTCAATCTTCGACCGTGCCTGTTCACTATCATTCCTGTGACTGATTATGAAAAAGAATGCTAGTGATGGAAATGAATTTCCTGTGATTTGAATGACAATGAGTGAAAGATTCAGTTATGTATTTCAGATGAGTGACTGAATGAAAGGATCTCTCACTCGTTTTATTTTTCATTTTCACCATATGCTTAATTCATGGGGCGAAGCAAGAAATGAAATCAGATAAAGTGAGATGAAATGAGTTTGAAAAAATGACTGCGTGTGAATGACGTTTGTCTGTACTAATCCTAACTACTTAATTCAGTATCCGAAGAATCTGATAAGACACAGCTTTTAATGATTTGGAAAATACGTAAATAAAAAAAAACAAATGCGGCCTTGGTAAAATTCCACCAAACTATTGTTGTTTAGGCAAATTTATATAGTTGGTAAGTTTGCAATCTCTAATTAAAATCTGTGGCAGTCATAATGTTTCCAAAAATTTATAATTGCTGTGATAAAACTTTAATTTCATTTAAGCATGTTTTTAAATATTGATCAGATTTCGCAAATGTCTGAAGATCTGAAAATCCCCAAAAATAAAAATGAATTGAAGGCAGTAAAGCTCAGTGAGATGGAAATGTGAATTGCACGGTTAATATATGTACGATTATGTTAGGTCACGAATATTCTTGTGTACGTGATGAAAAGTGCCAGAACTGTGAAGTCAAGTAGAAATCCTTTCTTTGAGAAAGCAGAGTAAAAATAAGTTTCTATCAGATAAATCCAGGTTTTGATAAGCCCGTATGTACCTCAACGTAAAATGTGTTATCTGTACTACGAGTTAAAATAATACGTCTGGATCAAACACATATATATGGATATATATGAGTAAAGGTTAACAGGGTATCTGGGCTCAGGAAGTATGTAGCTAATCTTCATAATGATGTCTGGCTAATTTTTACTGGATTTCTTCCAGAATAATTAAAAATTGAGTAAACAACTCCTATCTAAACACTCATTATTTATTAATTGGGTAACAAATTTCAACCTAGCCCCGAATTCGTTATAAGGATGGCCTAATCTTGATCCAGACATCGGTTAATGAGCAAGAAATGAAACCTAAGTTGGAAAATTATTTTTACAGATATTCTGATCACCAATTTAGACAAAGCTATATAAATAGATAATGAAATCATTACTGCCCGAAGTATGTACATATACGCTCTTAGGCAACTGGTATTGAATTATTACGAATCATTACCGGACACAATGGTGGTAATGAAATCTGTACCACTCAAACTATAACCAATCGGGTAAGGAATTATTACCAACTCAATAAAAACACCGAGTACATATGCGACTCAATCGGATGCTTTCCAGTGTATGTTTGTTTGTTCGTAAGAACGGGCATTATCGTTTAGTAATGTTGGTTGTTGTAAGGGGCGGTTCTTAAACTATGTAACGCTTGAAGGGGGGAGGGGGTATAGGCCCCAATGCTATCGTGCCTATGTACGCCATGTTAAAGGGGATAGGGGGGGGCGCTCGAGAAAATAATTTTCTAGCGTTACGTAATTTAAGAACGGCCCCTAATCAAACATTTACCACCCAGAAACAAACAATACCAATCCGGTAGGAAGTTATTACCAAACCTGTTGGTTTGGTAATAAGTCCTTAAGTTTTGGTTGATTTGCTGCTGAAATAAGTATGTGGTAACATTGTCATCATATGTATGATATTTTATATCGGGTTACCTTTATCCTTTTGTACATGATCGTGAGACCCAACAGACTTTTCAACCGTACATTGCCCAGGGCAATTTTCATAACACTCACATAAAATTCTATGAACAATTCACAATTCTAGAGTGTTTTAAAAATATTCTGAAATTTAAAAAGATTCAATTTTGGAAACGCTTTGGAAAAGAAACATTTTTTCGTATGCATCTATCTCTGGTGCCATTTACACTAGCGAATTGAAATTTTACACCCATAATGCTGACTAAGGTGAACAAATTATAAAAAATTCAATTCAAAATTTCCTATAGCGCCAAAGATATTAATGGTCAAAATAGTTATCAGCGGGACGCCCCACCCTCAGTAAGTACAAGAATACTTGTTAAAATTCGAAAACTGACACTAGATTAAAACAAGACAAATAATATTTTTGTCCATATTTTAGTTTGCCTGAGTATCTGATCTTTTATGTAACCAGAAGTTTTACTGCTGATATTTATCTAGTTAATTACTCATAGTTTGACTTGACCGAAAGAAAAAATGATTCCTACAAAAGGGCACCTTCGTTTTTATAATTATCGCAATATACAAATCGTTTTCAAAATTAACTATACATTAGCGCGAAAAATTTAAATCGCTGTAAGGACTTGTTGGCGACAAAGCATTCAAAGTAAATACCATGTGAAAAATTCTACCATAGGGGCGCCGTTGCGTTCTTGCCCCGGGAGCAAATTTCCAAGATCGGGCGCTGACACCCACTCCGAGCGATCCTTAATGAACTTTTTGGCGTCAGTAATGTTTAAAAATTTATGCAACTGTTAATATGCATTAGCATATCACGCTTAACATTGTGTTAATAAGATAATTTGGTGAACAAAATTATTGGACCTTTTTACTTTAATACTGGGTTCAAAATACTATTTAACTGGGCAACAGTTACTACTATAGGTTTTTACCATTTTACTGGGCGGATTAATAAGGTCATCCAAATTTCGGTCATTTATGTCCTCCTGGCTCATGGCTTGGCCTGGTGGATGAAGACCCGAAAGCCGTTCGACCTACGAAAAGGGTTGTTTGCGTGGAATGTAGCGCTAGCCGTGTTCTCAGCGTTTGGGTTTCTTCGCGTATTTTCAGAACTTTCGGACGTCTTGTCCGGTCAGAATGGGTTTCATAGATCTATTTGTGTAAGGTATACAGTCAAATTGTATTTAAGCTGTGGGATTTTGAACGAAGTTAATAATACCGAGTATGTAACACATAATTGTGCACCTACTTAGGGGAGATGCATAAATTATGTCACGCAAAAATCGGGATTTTCTAGACCCTCCCTCCCCCACTTTAACATGTGCCACATATGTAGGCACGATATCATTGGAGCCTTCGACCCACGTTCCCCCGTTTCGCGTGACTTAATTTATGGACCGTCCATTAGTGATGACAATAAATATACATAACTCGTCTTCACATGTGTGTACGTACTACTTATTGATGACATTAAATGTCATCAATGCCTTCAAGTTACATAATTGCGGGCTCATGGGGATATAATACTTATCCTTAGTTATTAAATTAAATTTTTCTTTAAATTTTTCTTTTTCGTTAAATTAGTTCAAATTTCCTAAATTTATGACTATCCAACCTATACATACAACGGTACCAAGACTAAACTGTGTTCAAATAATTTGTGGAAAAATATTTCAGGCTTGAAACTTTGATTATATCATTGTTTTTTGCAGAGACATGCTAAACGTTTCGACCGGATTCTGGAATCTGGCGGTACCTTTTTCCAAACTTGCAGAATTTGTGGACACACTGTTTATCGTTTTGAGGAAGAGGCCACTAACATTTTTACATGTGTACGTATCAAATTAATTAAAAGTTATTTGTCCATGTAATTATTATAGTCATACCTGTTCAAAAACTTAGATTTCATTCAAAAATCAATCATCCCAATTTCTGAGTGAAGATTTTCATTCAAAGTCAGCTATTTTCGCTCAAATTCATTTCAGTTCATCGGACCTATATTTCTTTCTTCGCTCCATTTATTAAGCAAGGGTGAAAAATTAAAGGATGAGTAATTTTCATTTACAGTCACTCATCCGAAATGGCTGAGTCCTTCATTCATTTTCACTCATATAGCAGAATATTAATTTTCATCACTATCATTCTCTATCATAATCAATCACATGAATGATAGTGAACAGGTATGATTATATTTGTCTATACCCCACCCAATCAATTGTGCAGGTATCACCATTCCGTCACATTCGTGCTTTCCGTAACCCGAGCTACACAAACGGTGACGATTTGGTAAAGATAAGTAACGATAAACAGGTACCGAAATTGAACGCCAAAATGTAACGATACGGTACCGAAATTTCGCAATCGGCACCAAGTAAACGCTATTTCGGTGCCTATGTATCAGCACTTATTAAGCGTCACCAAATGGGTACCGAAATGTCGGTATGTCATCGTTACACCTTAATAAACGCTTATTCGTCAGTGAATCAGTGCCGAAATAGTTCATTGGTACCGATTCGTTACATCTTTCTGTTCAATTTCGTTATCCTCTCGGTACTGACAGCTTAGTATATTTGGCAGCTCGGGAAGTTTTGCCGTTCAGATTGAGCCGATTATACGATACTCGTCATCTTTTAACCTCTTAGTGCACACGTAAGTTTAAAATTGAGTAACTTACATAATCACTAAAATTTGATTATGAACATGCATAATATACTTCTGTTCTAAAAAGGTTCATGTATATCTACTTTGCTCTATCGGTGAGACAACCTAATTTCCAAAATAAGTAGTTACATATTCTTTGTCTCATTATTTTTATAGGCAATTGATTACAAACCATCGCGCCAAAGTGCAATGTGCCTAACGACTTTGCAAATTCTTCAGTTTGTTATTGTCCTGGGAACGTATGGATACGCGATTGGTGTCAAATGTTAGTTATACACAGATTGTTTACTGTATTTAACATCTGATTTTTGTGCACATAATAATCTTAATTTATTTACATATTTATTGCGCCACAAATTGTCCCCCAAGTGCAAGTCATCAGCAGTTCACTCGGAAAATTCGATTTTTTTCACTGGGTAGAATTTTTGTTTATATCTACGCAGTTATTTTTTTCAGACAATATAAATTCAAATTAGCCGAGTGAAGTTATGATGACGCGAGCTATACACACCGTTAGCCTGGGATGGGCAATCCCTTTAGTTTCGATGGATTATGGATTATATGTAGATTAATTATTACAAATTTTGTAGAAACTTGCCTTGCTTTCTCAGCTTAAGTGGACGAGATCTTTTCACATCCTGCATTACTTCAATTTACTGGTTTGGTGAATTAAGGATTACGGATTATACTAATCTGATTATGGATTATGGATTAATTTTTAGACAGCTTGTTGTTGCTGGAAATTGTGCTTTCTAGAAACTCCTTACACAAACGGGGAATGGATCATAATTTAATACTATGTACTTCCGACCATAGTGAATAGTTTTTTCGTGATACTCCCTCTCATCATAATAATTAGTTGTTTATAATAATTACTCGACTTTGCTATGAGTAGAAATACGTTTTAAAATCGTTTTAGAATATGAAATTTGAATGGATCAATTCCATCGGCTTATTTCTTCCCTTCATGCAAATGCAACTGCTTAAAACCAAGTGTTTACTTAAATGTATGTAATGCTATGATGTACATATGTATTAAATTTTTAGTGACTGGACAACCCTGCGCGATATCTCGGGAAAGCTGTGTCGTTACAAGTATCATAGTTTTTTCATATCTAGTCCTCTTCTGTCAAGTATTTTGTAACAAGTATTTGAACTGCACCCCTAAGCCGACGAAATCAAGAATCCAAAAGGTTGAATAACCCGAATTTATAATTTATGCGACTTGCATGCATGCGACTTGTTAACATTAGTTGTTAAAATGTTATAAAAACATAATTTTAGTTCAATAACCAATCCAAACTAAAAGTCGAATCATTAATTCAATAGATTTGTAAATTTAGTTGCCGTAAGATTTATTTGAAATGATTACTTAAATACGATTACTACATCGATTTTTTTCATCAGTGGTATCAAAATAAATATAAAGTTAAAAACATAAACGTAAGATCTGAAGATTGGAAAAAAGGAATTAAAAATAATTTGACGTAAAGTCTCGAAATCAAAATATAATTTGAGCTAATATTAATTTTTATTTTTATTTAAGTACATAAATTTGCAGGGTAAGTTTTGGTGCTTTATTGGAATTTCATCAGGGGGATGTGAATTTGGTAGCGGGGAATTGATGAAGGTGGGAAATTGTTGGGTGAGAATCGATGGGTAGGAATCAATGAGGGGGAATTGATAAAACTTTTTTTCCATTATTCAATCCAAAGCCTAATTAAGAAGTTCATTATTGTTTTGCAAATAAAGTAACAGTTGGATTAATTTAAAAGCGCAAGTAGTCCATACCGATGATTAAGACGCGTTCCGGCTTTGCCTCACAAATGAAGAAATCTAATATTTCTCTAAACTGGATTCAACCGTTCCGATGTACATTTCTTGGCAATAAACTATTCCGTACATAAAGTGACTACTTCTGCTACTCACATATGTACATATCTTGCCGTCGTTGGATTTGTTTGGAGCTGTTGTTGGAAGTGCTTTTTTGAATATTTTTCTCCCAGTTCTGGCGGAACGCCATAAACGAGAATAGAATTAGTGAGCTGATTGATCTTCCCTAATTTGGGAATCCAGGGGTTTGGCATATAAGTTTAATATATAAGGTTGATATGGCCGAATCAGCAGTGCCCACAAATCCTAAAATTAACTTTAGATCTATGTATTTGTGTCAGATACAGAATCAAATTATATTTAAGGTCAGAGATAATAAACAAACTTCCAAGTCAATACCAGTCAGGAGTATGTATGCATGACTATGCCAGATGTTTTACAATTTAAGAAGGATTTAAAATTTTTACGGAAAGCTATTTCTGGACATCTATATAGCAGATCGTCTTATAATCTTGAATACCAGCGGCAATTAATCTTATTATGAATTAGTATGAAAGGAATTCATGTCATACACATACTTTTAATGTTCCCATGTAAATAAATACAGGCTTTTTGTATTTAATTTAACGAATATTAAAAATTGAACGTTTGAACCATTGACATTAATTATCAGGGTTTCAAGCAATGACTAACAAAATATCTGATTTTATTAATTATCCGAAATCATTAAGTATATATTTAATCCTTAAAACATCTCCAAAATTAGATCAAAATAGTCCTTGCTTATTTCTCAACCCACAACTTTCCCATTACTGATTCCAACAGTGGATTTTCTCCAAATCTTTCGATTTCCTTCCCAATCTCGACTCTCAACTGGGTCAACTTATCTTTCGTATATTGCATGGCACCACAACTGTTCAAAATTTCCAGTACTTCCAGCTTAACTTTTTTCAAGGTAGATCGCGCCCTTAGAAGTTTTATTAATCGATCCTTCTTCTCTCCGCCGACCTTGTTGAGGGCACGGATCACGGGGAAACTTAGCTTGCCTTCGGAAATGTCTTCACAAAACCCTTTAGTGTCCGTGTACTCTTGGGAAGTGAGGTTCATGAGGTCGTCCCGAATTTGAAAGTAGATTCCAACCATGTTCGCCAATTTCGTGAGGTCCACGTCATACGTTTCGTTATTCTTTCGCAGGCGCATGATCCTCACGATTAGAATGAATTGTCCAGCGGTTTCTAGGCAAAATAGTATTAATTTTAATACACTCTTAACAATAATGTCACCCCTTTGTAAAATATATGCCCTCGCGGCTCTACATGAAGTAAGCTATTTATATTAAGTCCATAGTAACGTTACCTTGATACAGAACAAACTTTACACCTTATTTTGTATAGTTTACTTAACTTAAAATGCAGGATGAACTTATTTTTCAAAAAAGTTACCTATGTGCATTATTTTAAACCTTTTACTAAATTAAAGACGAAATCGTCATTTTTAGCCTGACTAAGGGCTTATGTATGTACCCGTCACATCCGACTGTCTGTCCGTCTGGCGTAATCCCCGTAAAACTAATCCGATCGACTTGAAATTTTCCACATATGTAAATGAGGGGTTACTTTCGAAGATGGATGCAATCGGTCAAGTGGTTGACCGGTGGGGGTCATATAGTTGGATGGTGTATGATACACCAAAATTTAAAAATTGTCGTAGAAAACTGAAATTTGGTACAGAGGTTGATAATATTTTCTAATGAAAGAATATGAATCCAAAATGGTAAAATTATCGCCTGGACAGACCCAGTAGGGTGACCCATACCTATTTTTCAAAATCGTCACATAGAGCTGAAATTTAGTAGAGAAGTTGATAAGGGCTAATAGTAGAACAATTGTTCCATTAATATACATTAAAGTGGGCAAAATATTCACTTGGAAGATTCTATTGGGTGACCCATACCGATTTCTTGAAATGCTCATATCGAGCTTAAATTTGATAAACAGCGTGCCAATTGTTACTAAGGGGAGAATGTGAATTTAAATTGGAATTTAAATTTTATATTTATAAATGGGGAAAAATCATTTTAAATTTATAAATTGGGAAAAATCAATTTAAATTTATAAATTGTTTGAAATGCATGTTTTGAAAATTTCATGCAAAAAAGTCGGATTAGATGATAAGAACAAGTTGTGGTCCGCAAATTGGCCTGACTCGGGCTATATCAAGTCTGCACTGTAGGTTTAATAAATGTTACGTTTGACAACCTACTCTTTGCAATGACTTCCACATACTCATCTTCCGTCGGGATATACTTTTTAGGATCATCGTTTGGTGCAAATATTTCCCAGTCTCGCCAGTACAGCTCCATTCCTTGGCCGTGATGGAGGTTTATCAATTCTTCGGTAAAAATGTCAACACACTATAACAAGATAAATGGCATCATGGATTTGCCTGAATTAAATTTTGGTGACATAGATAAACAGTGCAAAACCTATAGTAGCGATAATTTGATAAGGTATAAACGTTCCTCGGGATTTAGGTAGTACACTCTAAGAAATTTAATCACCGGGCTGTGACTATTAGGAGTGGCAATCCGTCGGATCGGATCGGATTATGAGGCCTTCGGATTGATCCGGTTCGGATTAAGCAGGTGTTCGGATCAATCCGATTCGGATCGAACACTCAATCCGATCCGACTAGGATTGATCCGTCGGATTTCGGATCGGATCGGATTATAATCCGATCGGATCAAGCAGTCAATCCGATCCGACCGGATTAGGATCCGATCCGACCGGATTAGGATCCGATCCGACCGGATTAGGATCCGATCCGATCCTAATCCGCGGATTTCGGATCGGATCGGATTGCCACTCCAAGTGACTATATGTAACTCTACCGGGGTGTTGATTACACGCCACCGCTGGATGACGGGTGGATCACCACGCAGGAGTAACTCATCAGCAGCTTGGTGACACTCGATCACCAGTCGGTGGCTGAACATCACCACCACAGCAACAACCCCGATCACCAGATGCGGTAAAGCCTAGGCAACTACCAGGTTTCTTAGAGTGTATGGTTAAGCCAGTATATACAATGTTGATTTGGTGCAACCATACATTCCATTATTTTTAAAATCCTCACCCCTAAACAACTTTTCTCCAGGACGACTTTCAATGCGTCAAAGTAGGCATAGTTGGCTGCATTTATCGATAGTGGAACCCCGTAGAGTATATGAGCCGCTGGCTTGCCTCTCCGAAGTTGAGAATGATCTTGAATATCGTCAATCACCAAAGATCCGTTATGGAGGAGATCAATAAAGCGAAAAATCCAGTCCATGTCTGCGCTATTAACTGCATACCAGAAGTTGAAACCCGCGGCGATTTTTCTCCGAAAATTTTTCCCTTGCATTCCCAAAACATAGGTGAAAGGGGCCAAGTGTTTTTTCTTTTCGATGTCTTCTCGTCTTTTAGCACCTCCTGGGGACTAGGTTAGGTTTTTCATGTTGGAAAGGATTCAGAACGGATATAGATAAATACGAGAATTCAATACTTCACAATATTTCTGATGATTTCTGGTATTTGTTGCAGCTTTAAAACATTTAAAACCTAAATTTCATTTACAATTGCGACACTTGGGAACTGGTAAATGACTAGCGGATGGTGGAAATCACAAACTAATGCAAATTAGATAATGACCAGAAACCATTTCATATACTAATAACATGCAAAGTTTCGAAATTAATTGCACGGTAAATTCTTGACGGATTATCAAAATTGTATACGTTCTGAAACCACTGGGCCCTTGCACGAAATAAAGATTTTCAAATTTTTGAAATTCCGCCCCACCCACCGGTTATCCAGGTTACAAGTTCAACAAAATCAAGTAACACTTCCGTATCGAATTTTAAAATTCTACGACAGGATTCGCATGACCTGGGCGTAAGTCAGGTCATCATACTTATTCATTTGCTGACCGCACCCCCTGCTTTGGAGTCATTGTGGGTGTGGTTCAAGGACAAGTTGTTATAATTAAATTAGCAAAAAATTTCCTCTCGCCGTTGCTTTTTAAATTCAGCATCGCCGTTGCACATGGCCTTATCTCTGCTTGAAGTCTGACCGACATTGGCCGTAGACCCCATGGCGGGGGGTGCGGCTATCAGCACTTCGGCCAGTACATTGGCAATGCATGTTATGCGACATATCAATTTTCTCAGCTCGCCAAATGAATTTTGATGACATATCTAGCTCAAACTTTAAAAACCACACCCCCTGTGGGTATGGCACACGGATAAATCTTTCGAAGCCATGTTATGCGACATCAGCAAAACTATTAAAGGATGACCCAGAAAAACTCATAATTGTTTCTCTACACACATATGTAGATTCTAATATAGGAAATATCTAACGCAGGGGGTTTAATTAATTTAAGAAAAAGCGTTCAAGAAAATTCAGAACCAGCTTGAAAATTACTAAATAAAGGACTGCAGATACACATAAATAAATCAACCTTACATATTTTGAAATTTGATTGATGTCACAATTGACTGTGCCTTTAGTGTCCCATGTTTCCACTTTGTCCACAAGCTGGATCGTGATTCTGTTTTTTTTTCATTGTAAATATTATTTCGAACTGAATTATCGAATTGAATATGATGACAAAATCGGATATCGTACACGTTTTGCTTCTCAAAATCAGGGTGGAATTTATTGTCCAATTGCAAAACCTGGAAATCCTCGATTATCAACCGTTTCAATTCATCCATTGTTTTTTCTTTTTCCACACCTAAATTGTTTAATATTTGCATAATATTTTTCTGCCTTGCAAACGAGATCTCATATCGTGTAATCTACTCACCGCTAAGATGCTTCAACAAATTTTGATGAGTTCCCATATCAGGTGTCAATACAATCATGTCATTCCAAAAGATAAATTTTTTAGTATCCATAGCGAAAATGTGGTCCATATTTTGAGAAACCTATTAAAAATATTATTTGTATGTTACTAAACTACCTTTAGTAAACAACAAATTATTTTTAAATATAAATGCCTATCGTTTGCTCATGATATACATTAGATCAATTTTTTGCGTGAACGTGAACTCCCAATTAAAAAAAAACTTTGTTCATCCTCACCAATTTCAGCCGATGTACATACATACATAAATATATACACATTTACCCTTCCCCCTATAAAATATATTCTGATTCTACATATTGTCTCTTTTCCAAAAACATACTCGTATAAAAAATAAGAAATTTTCTCGGCAATTCAATTTCTAGATATGACTGGAACATTTGTCTATTAATTCTGAACAAAACATGGTTATTTCTAGCATTAAGTTATGGAGTTTGAATCATTAAGTGGCAAATTCTTTGAAGCTTAAAAATGGTGTTACCCTTTTGAAAGGTAAGTGTACTGTGCACTCTGAATTGTTGGAACTCTAATCCAGAATAAATTTACTCTTTACGTAATTTTACTCTGGATTTAGTATTGTACATATACTTAATACATGGTTCAGATTACATTTATATACTTTTTAACAATATTAGCCTTATGTTTACCGATGCAGATCGGTCGATTAAGCAGATACGGTCAAAGTGCACTAGTGTCATACAGTATAGCAAGGCATGACATCTAAATTCAAAGTCGCAATAAGTTTGTAACTCAATAACTTCGTCAAATGAGGAAGTCAATTGGTTCCTGAAATGAAAGTAAATAAGTAATTAAGTTTCAGTTAATCCTAAATTTCTCAGATTTTATTTAAATTACCAGGATTCGTTTCCACAATTTTCAGAGTCAAGCAGAATCAGACTTTGCTTCGAAGTTTTTGTTTCTTTAATATACCTTAAAATAAGTAACGCGTCGTTGACATCTTTCGGGTTACTCGCAAACATTACGTATGCTTGGATCATTTTTTCAATTTTTGCGAATTACATGAACTTCGTGAAAATGAGATTTGTAAATTTTTCACGAGTTCCAAAGCTTGTATGAAACTGGTTTCATTTGAACAAACGTTTAAATACAATTTTGCTAGAAGCGTGTCGGATGTTGAAGCACCTAAATATTCATGTAAATTATTTAAGGTAGTATGCATACATATGTAGTTATGTTAAGAATTACATAAATTCTCAAGATTGTGATTAGACAACGCTTATGATGATCTGGAAAATACGTCTAACTTTTCGCCAAATACGTAAGTCATGCTCCAGAAACACCTATATCAGAGGGTAATACTTAGGTGAGTTGGTATATATGGAAAATGGGTTGTCCGTTATGTAGATGGCTTACTTATTCTGCCGAACCAAGATTAAGGTTGGATTACCAAGCTCGGAAATTCCACAAAAGTATGAATGTATGTAAAAAAAATTCCTTGACCAGGTGAAAATCCAGACTTTAATTAAGCTTCAGTAAAATACAATGTGCAGTCAATGTTATAACTTGTCAGGTACATATGCAGAAAGTAGTTGAACTGTGAAGTCGGCCAAAATTCAGTCACTAGGATATTGAGATAAGTGTTAATTTTCATTCGCATAAAAATTCATGTTCATTGTGAGGGAAATGAAGACCCATTGTCTGTCTATTCTGGATCATAAATATATAACTTGTGTAAATATATGTATTATAATCTCCAAAGGGCTACTCATGTACATAATTAATCTGATTAATCCACAGGAAAGAATATTTCTTGTTTGGTATATGGGTATTCTTCCCATATGTAAACAAGACTGTGACCTAAACACTTGCTTTATTGTTCAATTACAATTCGTAAATAAAATCTTTACCTGGAAATCCACCTTGCAGCGAAAACTGGAATTATTGACTATGTGTGGTATCTAGAAGGCAAAATGCATACAAATTCTTGCACAAGTCTGATGATTAAATTTTGAAAGGGTGTATGTAGCTTCAATCCCTCGTTTAGCATTACCACCCACACTCAAAATAAAAATTTGTCGAATCATCACCGCCGGTGTCAATACATGACTTAACCGCCTTGGTTACAATGTTGAATCCGAGTTATGATGATTTTGATACCGGTAGTATAATGTTATGACCGGACGGAAAAAATTCATTACTACTCGGAATCACAATTGTAACCAAGGCGGTTAAGTCATATATTGCCACCGTTTTGTTTTGAGTGCATATGCATATGCACATTTGCCTAGATGCATACGGATCAAGTCAGTCATATTCATAACCATCGCTTTTAAGGTAATTTACGGTTTCAAAAGCAGGCTCATTCCATTTGTAAGCAACATGTTTGATCGAGTACCAGAAAATAGAGGTGCTAAACCCTGCTCGCTGGTGGTGGCTGCCTGACCATGTATTTTCTTCTCTTTGATATGAGAACCACACAACTTATACTTTGTCAATATTCCCAGCCACGTAGGAACACAGAATTATTTACTGCTGTCTACACAAGCAGCCCATGTTAATTTTACCTTTTCAAAAAATCGCCAAAACTCCAAGACGGACAAATATCGCGTGGGGTTTTAAATTTTTTGGTTTCCTCAGGCCCAAAGGCATCGATTGGCTTATCTCCCTATAAGCAATTTTTGTCCGTCTTCTCGATAATCGAGTTTTTCAATGCATTTCAAATTTCTGATTTTTTTGAATTTTTGAATTTTTAAAAATTTTTCCTATCAATAAATGATCAATGAATGAAATCCGTAAATGTAACCTACCCCTTTGAACCTAACCTTTGGCGACGAAAGCATTTTCAATGCATTTGCAAATTTTCTTTAAACTGCTGTATAGGGTATGCAATACCGGGATTGTTTTCCAAAACCGGTGTTCGGTATTTTCGGTATTGGGACCTCCGGTAATACCGGTATTACCGACACCATATGTTAAATATCTATTAAGCTATGGAAAATGATCATACGAAGCAATACATACTTAGTAAAAACTCTGCAAGGCATTAAATGCTGATGTGTAATAACATATCACTAAAATTAACATACTTCAAATCACTAAGAAAAAAGGTTGGTCATATACCTCTTAACAAATTAAACTATGAGGTTCAAAGTTGCAGTGTTTGGCAAAGGCAAACAATTTCAAGTGGGTTAAAATAAAATCAAATTCAATCAGCTACTGGTTCAAATTCTTTACTATGAATAAATGAATTATCTGATATGTCCACTATGTTCTATTGGCTCTTAATGTCGCAACTTTTACAAATTCATCAAGTTTTCTACATACTTAAACAAGTACATGAGCGAAAATTTCCAAAACCTCCAAAATTCTAACATTATCTGAAAATCCGTTTCGTGTGAACATACGTATGTAACATTGCTCAAAAATGCGAAAGATATTTTCCGTGAATTTAAAAATTTCTGCTTGAGTGGTAAAATGGTTGTTAGTTGACTGAGTCGATTTATCAGATTACGATAACGGTTTACCCGGCTTGTGGGCTTTTTAGAAATTTTTATGCACGACAATCTGCCTGAATAAACATCTTATTTAATATTATAAGTTATCGAGCCGTCAATTTCTCAAGTATTTTTTGAAAATTTTCGGAAACTTTACAAATAAATGTTCTAGAATATTCACAAACAAAGTTAAATGTATGTTGGGTGTGAGTGATAAATTTCCCATAATTTTTATCTGCCAAAAATTTAATTTTTTTGTTTGAACCAGTTGAATTTGCTTGACTTAAAGAAGGTATCAATATGTCAAATTTTTAACTTGAATACCGGTATTGAGCTCGTCAATACCGGTATTCGGTATTCGATAATACCGGTGAATACCGGTACTCAAATACCGGTATTGCATGCCCTACTGCTGTTTCTTTGCGAAAAAATTAATTTTCAAATTTTAATTTTTATGATATGTTTAATTTTATATTATGCATCTATGATAAGATTGTGGACAAGATATCAAATATGGGTGCGACGACGATCGTATGGGTTCAGATGGAACGAGCCAGCAATCATAAAGCACCGCATAGCGTGTCGTAATAATAATGAAGGGGTGAAGCGAAGTGAAATCAATTTATGGAAATGTCAATCTGTCCATCCGTACATATCCACGATAACTTTAGAACGGATTCGAATTTCGACATCCGGTCTTCGCCAATGAGTTTCTTATTTTTGGGGACGGGATGAGTTCGAAGATGGGAGTTGTTAGTCCTACATAAGGTCACGGTGCTACGATGATGACACAAACTGTCAAAGGTATCGAATTTTTTGTTCTCACCGTTTTAGACATAGTTTTGGGCCGGGATTTTAAAAATTAGTTTTAAAATTTTAAAATAGTTTTAACGTGCCATTACCGTGTGACCGTGTAGACGACACCAAAGCCGAAAATGTCGAATTTTTTGTATTGGTCGTTTTAGACCTAGTTTTTAGCGTGGATTTCAAAAATTAGCATGGTTTTGACGTTCAATGACCGTGGCAGCGGCCCTTTGCTACATTTCGTTTGCAACGGTTTATTTTCCTATGCAATGCGATTAAAATCCAAACATAAATTTAGAAGACTTGAATTCTCCTATTGACAACAAATTCCGTTGATGTTTCAGAATGAAGTCATTCAATGGCTTCAAACAGAAGATTTTACAATTCAACCATTTAAAATTTCGTACATGTACCATTAATATAATTAACCTCATACACATACCATTAATTAAGTACGTTATTAAACTATGTATATTTATCTTAGGATCCTTAGTCATCAAAACTAAATCGAAAAAGTGTTTGATTATTTCTTAATCCACAACTTTTCTAGAAACGATTCCAACCCTGGATTTTCCCCTAGGCTTTCGATTTCCTTCCCAATCTCGACCCTCAACTGCGTCAACTTATCTTTCGTATATTGCATGGCGCCACAGCTGTTCAAAATTTCCAGTACTTCGAGCTTCACTTTTTTCAAGGTAGACCGCTCCCTTAGAAGTTTTATGAGTCGATCTTTGACCTCTTCGTTAACCTTGTTGAGGGCATGGATTACGGGAAAACTTAGCTTGCCTTCGGAAATATCATCACAAAAGCCCTTAGCGACGGTGAACTCTTTGGAAGTAAGGTTCATGAAGTCGTCCCAAATTTGATAGTAGATTCCAACCATTTTGGCCAACTTCGCGAGGTCCACGTCACGCATATCCTTATTCCTTCGCAGACGCATGATCCTCACGAGGAGGAGGAATTGTGCAGAGGTTTCTAAACAGTTGATAACCGTACACTCAAAATAAAAATTTGTCGAATCAACACCGCCGGTGTCAATATATGACTTAACCGCCTTGGTTACAATGTTGAATCCGAGTTATGATTTTGATGCCGGTAGTTATAATGTTATGACCGGACGGAAAAAATTCATTACTACTCGGAATCACAATTGTAACCAAGGCGGTTAAGTCATATATTAACACCGTTTTGTTTTGAGTGTATTAATTTAAATACACTAAAAAATAATGTCACTCTTTTGGAAGATAAATGCACTCGCAACTCTAAATAAAGTAAATACGCTACACAAAGTCCAGAGTAGCGTCACCTTGATAATGAACAAAGTGTACACTGGATAATGCATAGGTTACTTAACTTAAAATGTAGAATACGCTTACTTTTCAAAAGTGTTATGTACATTATTTCAAAGACTTGCCTAAATACTAAAAAATAATTTTTATACGCATATGTGTTAAGTTTAGCAACCTACTTTTCACAAAGACTTCCACATACTCATCTTCCGTCGGGATGTACTTTTTGGGATCATCGTTTGGTGCAAATATTTCCCAGTCTCGCCAGTACAGCTCCATTCCTTGGCCGTGATGGAGGTTGATCAATTCTTCGGTAACAATTCTAACACACTATGACAAGATAACAGGAATTATTCATTTGCTTAAATAGAATGCTGGTAACATTTATGAAATATTTAGGCACTATTTTAAAAATATCAATGACGTTTATCATATACTGAAAAGTATGGTCAATAGATACTGATAATGGGTAACAAAAAGTACACTGGCAAATGCAACTCTAATAACTTGTGTAGACTAATACTAAAGTGTTATCGAGAATTTCAACCCATCCTATAATCTTGTCTGACTAAATTAAATTATTAACTTAATGTCAAACGTTGAGAAATAATGTTACCTGTCTGAAAAGCAGATGGATACTGAATTGTATATACATTAAGTAAACTATGTATGCTAAATCTAAAGTAGCGTTAGCTTGACGAATTTAAAGTTTATTCAGAATTTAGTATGAGCCATTCAGCAAAGAGGTCAGAATAGAGGTCATTGTGCACTTACTTTACGAAAGGGTATCATTTTTTAGAGAGTATCAATATACAGTCAACCATACATCCAATTATCTTTAGTATCATCACCTCTAAACAATTCTTCTCCAAGAGGACTTTTAACGCGTCAAAGTAAGCATAGTTGGCCGCATTTATTGATAGTGGAATTCCATAGACTACATGGGCCGCTGGTTTGCCTCTCCTAAGTTGAGAATGGTCTTGAATATCGTCAATCATCAAAGATCCGGTGTGGAGGAGATTACCGAAGCGAAAAATCCACTCCATATCTGCGCTACTAACTGCATACCAGAAGTTAAAAGCGACGGCGATATCTTGCCGAACATTTTTCCCCTTCATCCCAAAAACGTAGGTGAAAGGGGCCAAATGTTTTTCTCTTTCGGTTCCTTCTCGCCTCTTAGCATCTGCTGGGACCTTTAGACGTGAACATTCTTACTTTCGTGGAACATAGATAATACTGGAATACTTTTATAAGTTTTAGGCACGTCCTGAATACTTAGCTGATAGAGAGAGAAAAATAAAGCTATTCGGGCTACTATTACTTTCCACAAGCCCAAAAATTACCTGCGTTTCTACCAGAATGCACACAATTAGATTTGTATTTAAATGCTAACAGGAAAATCTCTAACGGAAATTTAATTAATTTCAGAAATAGGTATCAAAATAATTTGGGGCCAGCTTGAAAACTACTAAATGAAGACCTTTGTGCCAATAAGTCAATCTTACGTATTTTGAGAATGGGCCGCAGCTTTCACATTTGGTTGTGTCTTCAGTGCTACTTTTCTCTACATTGTTCACAAGCTGGGTCGAGATTCTGTGTTTAACACATTCTAAATATTATATACACGAATTTGACAAGATTGGCAGAATAGGGTAACGTACACTTGGTTCTGTTCAAAATCTATTTGGAATTTGTTGTCCAATTGCAAAGCCTGGAAATCCTCGATTATGAACCGTTTCAATTCATCCATTGTTTTTTGTTTTTCCACACCTAAATCGATTAATATTTGCATAATATTTGCCTGCTTTGTACATAACGGGGATATCACATTAACTAACCGTTAAGATAGTTCAACAAATTTTGATGAGTTCTCATATTAGGTGTCAATACAATCATGTCATTCCAAAAGATAAATTTTGTAGTATCAATAGCGAAAATGTGGTCCATATTTTGAGCAACCTGTTAAAAAAAATTATTTGTATTTTATTAAACTGACTTTATAATGTGACAAATTATTTTTATATTTGGCAATCCTTCGTTCAGACTTAGGTAATGCACATTAACCCAATTTTTTGACATTTTCTAAAAATGCCAACTCCCAACCTAAAAAAGTTGTTTAGCCACTCTAATTTCATATCCCGCTAAAATGGTAATCGTGTTTTTGCAGTTTTTACATACCGATTCAGACGGGTCGATTAAGCAGATTCGGTCAAAGTGCACTAGAGTCATACATTTTAGCAAGGCATGACATCTAAAGTCATAGTCACCATAAGTTAGTAACTCAATAACTCCTTCAAATGAAGATGTCAATTTGTTCCTAAAATGAAAGTAAATAATTCGATTTCAGTTAATCCAAATTTTCTCATATCTTATTAAATTACCAGGCTTCATTTCCAAGATTTTCAGAGTCAAGCAGGATCAGACTTTGCTTTGAAGTCTTTGTTTCTCTAATCGACTTCAAAAGAAGTAAAGCTTCGTCGACTTCTTTCGCGTTACGAGCAAAAGTAACGTATGCTTGGTTCATTTTTTGTTTTATCTGTTTTATTTGGACTTTGGGAAAATGAAATTCTTAATAGTTTTCTACGACTTCGGAAACTTGTATGAGACTCTGGTTTCATTTGCACAAACGTTTAAATATGATTTTGTTGGAAGCTGGCCGGATGTAGAGCCACCTAAATATTTCATTGTTCCAACCAAATTATTTAAGGTAGTATACATAGTTATAGTATGTAGGTAAGTATTACATAAAACCGCAGCGGTAAGACAACACTTATGATGATCTGGAAAATACGTCTGCAAAACACGACCTTGGTGAAATTCTACCGTATTGTTGGTTGAAATGATTTTATCGAGTTAACTTTTCCCCAAATAAAAACTGTTGCACGTAATAATGTTTCGTTAATTTTAGATATGAATTCAGCTTATTATTGGTTTGGTGCAATTTTATTTCGTTTTTAAATTAAGCAGATATGTACAGACATCATTTTAAATAAATGTATGAAAATCACGAGGATTAAAATATATATATTAGTACATAACGATTTGTGAGCTTCAAATAAGTCGTGAAGTAAATGGGTACCATAAATGGCATCCAATTTCATGAAGGAGACGCGAATTAATATATGGTATATCTTCGGTTAATATACAAACGTATGTAAACTAACCGCACCAACGCACATAAAGAAGCAGCTTCAGCGACTTATCTGACAGAATGTATTAGTTAATTATCTAAATATTTACATAATATTCACAAAAAATCAACTGTACCCAATGCATCCATTTTTAATCTCAGTTCACCAATGCCATCACGTCCACGACGGCACTGGAACACTTAATTTAACTGTATTTTATACGTAGATTAAATTTCAGTAAAGATCTTATTTTCCCCAATCACACCCTCCAGCTAAGAGGGGGTGGTCCGATAGGATCCTCCCCCTAGTGTAATATTATGAGGTTGCATATCGATTTCGATTATATAGATCCATTCCTAAGTTATTCTGCGGACATACAGAGAGACAGACATACAGACAGAGTCTTCGCATTAATCCTAAGTGGCTCAACTTACTTAATAAGTATATATTTAATTAATATGGTTCCAAAAATTGTTGTTTACGAGACGCAAAGTACCTGAAATGTTAAGCCAACTAGAAATCCTCTCTTGATGGCAAAGTAAGTTTGTGCATTATATTGTGTGTAAATTTCTGTTTTGATCATTTTACGGAAACCGAAAATGCTTCGTCCATCGTAAGAGTTAGAAAAATACTTATGTAGACCGGACCAGAATTGACTTTCGATTCAATCTGAATTCCATTCTTGGAGTCTCCATAAGTCAACCCATGATCCTTTCAGGTTGCTTTGAACGAATTTGTTTCGAGTAAGAGATATATTTAGCAAACAACTCCCATCCCATAATTATCGATCAAAACCCGGTCGGATAAATATGTATCTAACTGTCTATTGTATCAAACTCATAATGTAAAAACAAGCCATGCTCCAGAAACACCTCCATCAGAGGGTAATAAATAGTTAGGTTAGTGGGTATATATGGAAAGCCGGTTGTCCGTTATGTAAATAGATGGGTTACTTATTTTGGCGAACCAAGATTAAGGTAGGATTACCTAGCTCGGGAATTCCGCAAAAGTTTCTGTGGACAGGAATTACACAAATCTCTTCACCAGGGGAAAATCCAGACCTTAATTAATCTGCATTAAAATAAAATGTGCAAGGTTATAACTTGTGAGGTATGCAGACAATAGTTGAACTGTGAAGTAGGCCAAAAAGTCAGTCATTAAGATCTTGAGATATGTAAGTGTTAATTTTCATTCGCATATAAATTCATGCTCATTGTAATGCAAATAAAGATGCATTGTGTGTCTATTTTGGACCCCATTTTTAAGTAGCTTCAGCTACTTTATGCCCAGACTTATCCATCTGTCGGTCTGTCCATCAGCAGGATATCAGGAGAACGGATAGAGATAATCGAAATCGGTGTTCGCTATCATACATATGACCCCAAGGGGAGTCTCTTTTTAGTCACGAAATCATTCAATACAGCAACAACTGGTCGTGAGACGACTTATTTTACGGGTTATTTGTATAAAATCCCAAAAGAATCAGTTTTCACAAGTCAACTTTACATAAATCATCGCTGCAAACATTTATTTAGTAAGTCATAAATTTGAGGTACATACTTCATTTTTCCAATTTCCGGCCAACCTTGGGAATATATACATTTGTATGTAGATTAAAAAAAAACTACATAGAAAGCACGCTTAAGTGCAAGTCATAATTTTAATCCCTTCTCACATTGTGAGCATGAAAGAGCACAAGTTATATTTTTACATCACCTTCATAATTTTTCGCAGTTCAGTTCCAGTCGTACTCCGAAACTGATTGATTGCTGTGAAACATTACACGAATATTTCTCATAACGAAGCACTCTCCGAATGGAGAACTTGGGTAATTGATTTATTTATTAGTTATAAGTTTTAATCCTACGCTGACTAGATAATAACTTTGCTAACTATTTTTCCACACTGAATTACTCTTCGGTACGATTTCGTACGTTAGCTACGTAATGTATGTTGGTAGTGCCAATTGTATGGTACCTCAGACGATGGTAATTTTGTGGCGTAGTTATTGAGATTGTTACCTTGCAGGTTTACACCTTCTGTTGGTCATTTGGACCTTAATTTGTGTTATCTCGTACGCTTGTATGACACTAACCCGAAGAGCAAGATTGCTGTCGAGGTTTCCATGTCCGGGAAAGTTTCCTATAGTGGGATCGATTCCTTACATGCTTGGTCCGATTGATGGTATGATACATACAGTTAGAAGTAAAATTTAAGAACATTTTAATGAATTCAATACTTTCAGATGTTGCCATACGTTTTGAAAATTTGATTAAAAAATTTGGAAAACGTGTCGTATTATGGTTTGGTCCGAAGCCTATCCCTGTCGTGATACTTGCAGAGGCAGATGGGGCACAAGTAACTATAAAAATTATCACCAAAACTAATCTATTTAGCAATGGAGGCGCAAACCATGCTCAGCCCAGATTATTTTTTTGACTATTTTAGTTTGAAAGAGCAAGTCTTAAGAAACAAAATTTGTTTCAGCACTTGCGCAGATGCGCAAAATTCAGCACCTTGTGAGCGCCGCAAGTTCTAAAAAAACATGATTTTTCTTTCAATTTGTAGCGCGGTGTCAGCTTGTCTTCTTCTTTCTCGCTCGCTTTCTTACTCCTACCCGAGGATATTGACCCTGCACCCTTCACCATTTGTATTTTTCATCAATATTACCTACTTGTTATGTTTTTAACCCTATTTTGGAATTATTTTCCCCGAGTTCAAAATTACGATGTTCTTTCTCACAATTAAACCATTAATCAACACTCTCTGTTGCCAAATCGTATTTAGTCCTTTTCAAAATAATAACTTGTTTCTTCTGACGGACGAGGAAAAGCAAATAGCACAAATGCTTTTGAAAATTATGAAGGATTTACTAATGAATCCATGTTTGTCGAATAGGATGAACGTTTTGAAATTCTGTATATATACATATATGTATATGACGTAATTTTTATTTTGATTTTTAAACCAGAATGGTCTTCAATAAATCTTTAAACCATGGAGCTACATGCACGGCAAGTTTTTGCAAAACTTCTAGAAACATTAATAAACCGTCGCAAACGCGCATACGGAAGCAGCTTCTGACGTACTTCACCCCAACCACTCCCACCACAACTCGGGAACACTCAATTTCACTCTATTTCATCTAAAGATTAATTTTTTGTAAAAATCTCATTTTGCCCCGACCACACCCCTTGGCGACGAGGGGGGTGGTCCGGTTGCCCCCAAAAGTTGATAGGATCCTCCCCCTAGGGTCATATGTATGATGGCGAAAACCGATTTCGATTATCTCAATCCGTTCTCAGGTTATCCTGCTGACAGACGGACGGACAGACAGACAGACAGACAAAGTCTTCGCATAAAGTAGCAGAAGCTAGTTAATAATGACAAATCTCAAGAAGCGCAAGATGCGAGTATTTATGGCTGAAAATATAACAATTCGGTAAAATTGATGAAAAATGCGAACGGTGAAGGCTACGGGGTCAATGTCAATGTCAATGTGGGAGTTAATCAGCGAGCGAAAGAGACAAAAAAAGTTGAGATCGCGCAGGTCATCGCATGAAAAATCATGTATTTTTTCGAACTTGCAGTGCTCATAACGTGCTGAATTTTGTGCATCTGCGCAAGTGCCGATTGAGATTAAGGATTAATGAATCCAAATCTCAATACCTAATCACTGAATATAATAAATCAACATTTAGTAATTAGACAGATGACTTATTTTTAATTATGATTTGGTTAATTTTCATAACCAAGTAATTTTCTTCATTCCAATTTTTAATTTGCGCCCCTTTTAACCCAATTTAAATATCTAATGGTTGTATAACCCTGCAGAAGGTCCTGTCTTCCGTCAAGTATATCGACAAAGGCCTCATTTACTCAGAATTCAAATGGCTCTTGGGCACAGGCCTCCTCACTTCGAGTGGACAGCTTTGGAAAGATGACAGAAAATTACTTGGCCCTTCCTTCAACTATCAAAAACTTACTGGATTTCTCCCCTCTTTCAACAAACAATCCAGAACTCTGGTCGAAATACTGACAAAACTTCCGTACCAAGCGACAAACCTGTATCCCCTGTTGGCCAGAGCAACAATGGACCTGATCTCAGAGTCGGCTTTGGCACTAGATACGAACTACCAAGTTAACGGTAACGATAACGAATATTTAGCAGCAACAAACATGGCGCTGGATTCGTTGCAATTGAAGTTCGCTAGACCTTGGTTGGCACTTTCCCCATTTATTTGGGACCGATTTGGTTTAGGAAAACAGGATAAAATTTGTTTGAATTTTTTTAACCAAGCCATGTCGGAGGTGAGAATTATTGAAATCGAATTCTTATGGTGAACAGGGAAGACTAGCGGAAATCTGACACAAAATTTCATTCTCCCAACTACTTCCATCTTTCATCAAAGATAATAATCAAAGTTGTGTAAAAAAATTTTTAATTTTCAGTCAATTGAAAAACGCAAGGTAGCTTTGGCTCTGGGGGAAAAGACGATGTCAGAAACGGATCAAAACTACTCCATCCAGAAACCTTTTATTGATGTGCTATTGGATTCAAAATCAGAGAAAGATATCATGCATCACATTTTGACAATATTCGGGGGGGTGAGTACATACTTACATATATTCGTATTATGCAACTCAATCGACCCTAAAACATTTTAATTCGTCTATAGACGAATTAAAATGTTTTAGGGTCGCTTTATATATAAAGCCAGAAAGTGGATTATGCAGAACTATTAATTTCAGGGATTTGAGACCACAGCAAGCGCGATGAATTACACCTTATTTCTCCTCGCTGTGAATTCATCCGCTCAAGAAAAAGTGCAAATTGAGTTAGACTCCATTTTTGAGGACGACATCAACCGTGACGTCACATTAGGTGACTTATCAGACATGAAGTATTTGGAAATGTGTATCAAGGAGGCGTTAAGAATATACCCACCGGTACCAATCATTGGTCGCAATGCCCAGGAGGATATTCCTCTCGGTAATGCTTACTTAGCACATAAAATTGGATAATCATATCAAAACAGGAAAGTGTATCGCTTGGCGGGTGGCGTACCAAAGGGAGGGCGGCCTGGTGGATACGAATTTGACCTTGAATAACCCCGGAACGGTTTGTCGTAGCGGGTCAAAATTTTGAACAGACGAGCATGTTATCCTCAGATAGTTGTGTGCAAAATTTCAGCCCTCTACTTTGAAAAATGCCTGCCCCACAGCCCCCAGAAGCTGAGACAGTCATTTCGAATAGTTCCAGAAAAAATCTCGCCCGTGTTTGCAAAAAATTTTATTTGAATATTCTGTTGAGGAATAGAAGTGAGCTATTGGTGACAATTGACGAAGAACTATTTTCCCTACAAGTTACTAATTGGGTTCGAAGAGCTTACTACACGACAAATGCCGAAAAAAATTCAAGAAATTTGGTGCTTTTCAGTGAGGAGAACTTTTTTAAACAGTTGATGGTCGTGGGTGCAATGTCCTGTCGTGGTGTCCTCCCACTTATCAAAGTCCCCCAAAAAGTGAAGGAATCTTCGAAGTATTATGTGGACCTTGTACTGAAACCACTTTTAGAATACAATTTTCCTAATTTGCACGGTAAAATAATAATTAAGGTGATTTTTCATCATGACGGAGCGTCCTCCCAGACGGCAAAGTTGACCCAAGATTATGCAAATGACCTTGAACCTAGATTGGGGATAAAAATCATTTGGAATAGTGAAATACCTATACAATCCCCTGATATAAGTCAAATCGACTTGTTTGAGTTCGGATAGATGAAAAGAAAATCTTTCTGTGGGGACCGAATTTTTTAGACGGAGTTTGGAAAAAGCTGAAACGAGTGTCTCAACTTCTGGGGGCTGTGGGGGAGGCATTTTTGAAAGTAGAGAGTTGAATTTTTGCACACAACTATCTGAGGATAACATGCTCTTCTGTTCAAAATTTTGACCCGCTACAACAAACCGTTCCGGGGTTATTCAAGGCCAAATTCGTATCCACCAGGCTGCCCTCCCTTTAGTAGTTGAGATGTTGGCCTCTTTTCTCTCGCTCTGATCAGAAGAGGGAAAGCATAGGCCAACTTCACTAATGTCTCCATTCCCTATTTTGCATAACGTCTAAACTAGTTTTATTTTATTACGTACTCATGTACGTAATAAAAGCTAGAGGCTTTTACGCGTGTGCAATCTATATAAAGATTGGTTATCGGGGATCGGATTATCCGACCATTTACTATAACATGGATCCTGCAATATCCGATTCGTCGGATCGGATAAAATATATCCGATCAGATAAAAATGGTCAGATAAAAATATCTGATATTATATAATATGGGACATGTAATATCGGAAATAATATCCGATATTATATCCGATATACATCCGACCGGATATTGTTGCATCCATGTTATAGTTAATGGTCGGATCAGACAATTTTGCAGTGTACAAAAAGGCGCCTTTTTGCCCGTTTGATGCCTTTTGCCTTTTTCCGTATGTTTCCATTTGGAATTGCCTGGACTATTTTCCAAATTTTACTTTGGACAGGAAAGTGTGATAACAATCTAATTGCCTTTAAATTTCGGTTTTTCTCAAGTGTTAAGAACCTTACACTTCTCCACAACTACGTCACATTTACTTTCATTCATGTTATTCACTTGCATTCATGTTAATTTAGAGTATTTATTAATATTTATACACTTTAAGATTCAAGATGTGTACAGAGGATGGGCCACTTAACTTGAGAAATTTTCAAACGCTCGCGCGAAAAAACTGGCACAACTTAAACAAACCCGGCCTACACTGTTTGATAGACAAACCAATTAGGTCAAACTGTGATTTTTTTCTACTCGAAAATCTGAAAAACTGCTCCTCCCTGATCATTTTAAGTGGAGGTACTATTGAAAAAGTTTTCCAGACAGTTTTGCACCTGAAGTGTTATCAAAAAAGGGTCAATGCACGTGGGCATGAAATTTCTGCGGCCTCAATCCATGGAATATTAAGTACAGAAGGCGTTAGAAAGCAAGCAATTAATCAGGTACTGCCTACAGCCCCTAACAAACGCTCCCTATCATTATGGACAAAAAGGCTAAAAACGAAGCTCAACCATTTGATCGACCAGGAAACCCCAAAGAGCTTTCGCAGTATGGCGAATCTACTAAAATTGAATCCTACAACTATTCGAAGAGTCGTTAAAAGAGATTTGGACAAAATGAAACCGGTGAAAATAAAACTGCATGAGTTAAACGTGCGTCACATCACTAATTGTTACTTTTTTTGCAAAAAAAAGTTGTATAAGAACCACCTTGCTGGAGGTAGGGACGAACCTGTGGTCACAATCGACGAAGCTTTGTTCAGGTTAGATGACTTGAAAGGGACAAAGTCAGTTTGCTGAACATCGTGGAGAAAACATTCGAATTAGCTACGACTTGAGATGGACTTTGGAAAAATTTTCTGGACTAGTGGTTAAAAATAATTCCTCAAAAGTGTCTGGAAATGTTTTCATTAAGGAAAAAGCGGTTCAGACTTGTAGCTGAGATTAAGGGGCATCGTATCGAGCAAATTAATTATCATAAAAAAATTCATATGTGGCTAAGAAAAATTGTTGAAAATTTCTCAAGTTAAGTGGCCCATCCTAGGTATAATTTGTTTAGTGGTATGGATCATCAGGATGAATATCGACAATTTATCTACTAAATATAACTTAATTGTTCATATGTCGACAATTCCTGTGAACTTTGAAAGATTACAACTCAATCATGCAATCGTATTATCAGATACATATCCCAGATTTTACCATAAAAGGCAAAAAGGCATTTCGGGCAATCGGGCATGGCCCAAATTCAGATGCCTAATAGGCAAAAAGGCATTTTTGGCACGGCATGCCTTTTTGTCCTTGCACACTCTGTAATTTTGTTACGGACTAATAACACACATTTGTTATTGTCGTCGTAATAACCAACCAAGGAGTAAAGATGCTACCAGTGGGATAACAAATTTACTATTAGACTCTAGTAAAGGTGTCGGTATAGTTAACACCATGTACTATTTAATTTCTGGCTACCAGATTAGAATGTGTGTGGATCAAAATATTGCTGAGGAAATATGCCTGAGTCATCTTGCATCACCTTGCGGCTAGAACTTGAAACGTCTTAGGATAACTATTTTTTGATTTCCTAGATAACGGACAAATCGTACCGAAAGGATCTCAGGTTTTTATCATAATCCGCGAAATCCTGCGAGATCCGCTACATTTCCCTCATCCAGAAGTGTTTAATCCGGACCGGTTTCTCCCAGATGAATGCACAGCTCGCCATCCATACGCATACATCCCATTTTCGGCTGGCCCAAGAAATTGCTTAGGTAATTTTAGTCGTATTTCAAATACGAGCATTTTAAAATCTGATAAAAAGCGTGGTTCTACCGACTCTGATGATCTGGGATCCTAATTGGTGGTATGGCGACCCAGCTGTAACCATAATGAATACCGGAAAAAAATCAACTAAGAATATATCTCCCGGAAAGAGTCACCCATCGAAAAATCATCATCAGAAAGAATCCCCAAACTAGTAAATTATATGTAGATTTACTCTAGATAGAGAGACTATAGTGCATGTAATTCCTGTAAGGTTCGTTTTCTTACTCCATTGTATGTTCATATGTATATGCTCAGAAGAAAATCTGGAAAAAAATACGTGGAAGAATCACGCGGGAAAATTATATATATAATTATATATATATAATTATTAATATATATATAATTATTATATATATATATATGTATATATATATATATAAGCAACATAACATGAAATTTCAATGTTACTGCCAATGTAAAAACTGTTTTCCCAGATATGGTTTACGTACTTGTGTACAATCCTGTTCAATGATTTAACAAACTCATGGAAATCTCTACAGGAATGAAGTACGCCATGATACAAATGAAAGCTTGCCTGGCTCACATACTTCGCCGATTCCATGTATCCACTAACCAGAAACCGGAGGATATCAGTCTCCTTTACCGGGCGGTTCTGACACCAAAACCAAAATTGGAAATTGTTCTAACATCGAAATAATTCTGATAAACTTCCCGAACTCAAATTAAATTGATCAAAATTCTTAGAATTATTCTGCTAATACATTATTGCATTTATTATTTGGTAAATGTACAATTTTGCATTTTACATTTTACATTTTAGTTTTTAATAAAACAAACGTTTTTTGAGCTAATACTTATTATTTCTTATTGTCTAGATAAGAATTAACTGTTCTGTAATCCTTCATTTCCCACGTTTGAATTTAATTTTAATTTTGTATACAATTTTTGTCTTTATATTTGCAAACTTTTTAAAATTTGCAACAAAACCAGAGTCGAAAACAGGTTTCGTAATATTTTCCAAAATCGGACTAATCGAAAACCGGTTGTGTAAGGTTTCCCAAAGTTAGATTAATCGAAAACCGGGTTTACGAAATTTTAAGTAATTGGAATAATTGTCGAATCTCACGAGTAATATTAATGTAATTTTTCATGTAAAATTTTATGATGAGATGACATGTATGAATGTTAGTTTTAGGTTGTCCCTGACGTTTCGCACGAGCGCAGTTTTCGTCATCTCATTGTTTTCTTGGCCCTCGTTTTTAAGTTTGTTAAAAGTACTCAAGTAGTTTGGACGTGTTTTGAGAAAATGTTCACAATTAATTAATCCACAGTAAATAAAGTAGCAATTATTTAAGAGATTTATAACAAGTTTTCAGTTATATTTATTTTGCTACTCTGAGTGGATTTACCAGCTGACCTCCTAGTCGTAGTAATCATCCTCGACGTCAAATTCGGTGTAACGCTGGTCAGAGGGTATCTGATTGGGACTGACCCAGTGGTGTAATCAGAGCAGACGCCACAATAATCGAAAAACCGGATTTTCAAAATTTTCCGATTTTAGACCCCCTATACTACACCTTAACTTACCTTAGGACTCTGACCAACATTCTTCACCGTTTTCTTTCTAAAAATACACTTGGTCTGAAATTTGAAACATTTAGATTAAAGTAACTCAGCCTTTGATTTTCGAGTTAGCAGAGGACGTATATATGTAAACTTGAAATTTAAGCTTACAATGCGATGGTGTAACCCATGGAACAAGATGTAGATGGAAGGTGGAGAGGATGGAGAGAATAGGCATTACACTGAGCGCCCTCGATTGAGATGATAATACACAGTAGGTATTGTAATCTAGCGACTCCGACTTCTTTTTTTGAACTAATTATATACGGGTAGGCATGTGCCCCACCATCGCATCAATATCTGCAATTGATTTTTTGTCTCAAACGTACAACAGCAGTGGCAGTTGAGTGTAACCCTCCGATTTGGTTGAAATTTTGAAATCATGTGGTCCATGTCAATACAACCAACGTTTTTTCAGGCAGTTTGTGCGATAGTCATAATTTGGCAAAATATTTGAGGTTAAAGTTAAAAAATGTGCAATTTTTAGCACGCGAAGAGAATGGAACTTAAGTTTGCTTCCTCCGCCTGGTAAATATCTCCCGTTTTTCAACTTTGACCTCAAATATTTTGGCAAATTCTGACCATCGCACAAACTGTCTGAAGAAATGCTGGTTGTAAGGACCACATAAATTCGAAATTTCAACCATATCGGAGGGTTACACTTCACACCATCGCATTGTTAGTCCTTACATCACGCAGTAAATACAGTCAATCCAGGAAGTATTGGCAACCCCAACGGAAGCTAAATATAATTGGTTATAACTTTTGAATGCATTATCCAATTAGCATGAAATTTTGCACACATTTGACAAATCTAATGTGGTACTCGATGATAATAATCCTTTGTTGATTAAAAATAGATTGTCACGATTTTTATATAATTTGTTGGAAAATTTGCGAAATAACCCACAAAAAGTATTGGCAACCCTTAGTTTAAAAAATCATAATCATAGATACTGCAATTTTGTTTCGATAAACTGCTTCTAGTACCGCGTAGCACCCCCCCACGACGCAATAAGAGCAGAAATTCGCCTTGGAATTGACTCGACCAGTTTCTTTATAACGCTTTTTGATATGGCTTCCCAATCTTCTTTCGAACTTTTGACAAGCTCGTTTTTCGACTAGTGATTTCCCACCAGTCCCTCTTATCTCAACCCGTACAATCAGAATCACATCGGGAGACTATGTGGCCAACGAAAGAAGCATAACTTTTTCGGTATCCAAAAATGTGCACGGTTAATTTGGATGCATGTTTGGGGCCACAGCATTTTTGGAATATGAAATTCCTTCCTGGGTCATGTTTTTGTCAAATATTTTCTAATTATCGTTTGGAATGATTACTTAGAACTCCTTGGTCATGATTTCGTCGATAATGACCAGGTAACTACGCAGCGATCTGGTCATTTAACCCCAAACCATAATCTATTATCCTCTATGCTGAACTGCCATATGCACCTATTCGTTTTTCTGAGCCTTTTATTGCATCCAACAGACTTTAACCATTTAATTTGCTCCGAATAGGTAAAATGAGATTATGTGAGACCATCAGACCTTTTTTCATTCATTCGAAGTCTATTAAAGATGGTATTTAGCCCGTTCCAATTTATTGAGTTGTTTCGTTTTGGGGACCTTCGCGCCTGTCGGGATACTGGACCCTGAAACCCCATGGCATGATTTTTGATTGATTACCATAATGCATGCAATGTTGACCCCACAGTTTGTACTCAAATTTACGATGGTTTTGGGAGCTGAAATCTTCCGATCTCTAGTGCTAATTTGCTTGATTAATCCGTTGATTTTAGGATTAGCAGGCATTTTTAATAGTATCATAGAAAACCAGGAACTTAAATTTTTTGCCTCATGTTCTTTGGCTACGTTTCGAATAGTAAATATCACGGAGCATGTTTTCTGTATGAGTTATTGATATCCAAGCTTGATTGTGAAGGAGGCACGATTATTTCTAGCTCCGCCAAGAATAACCTGTTTGGTGTGGACGTTTGGTTCTAGACGATACCAATCTGGACTTACGAAGCAGATAAAGTAATATTCTGTGATCGGATTAACTTACCTTGATAAGACGCAGAGGTTTGTCGTGATAAAAATTTCGCACAAATAATTATGACACAGGTTGCCAATACTTTTTGGAGGTTCGTACCTGACTCGTTCGTATCAAAATCAGGATAACGTGCGGGTTATTTAATTTTAGTCGGAAGCATGATTATAGTCGAACACTACATTACATTTTTCAAATGTATGCAAAATTTCAAACTAATTGGATATTGCATGCAAAAGTTATAGCCAATTTTATTTAGCTTGCGTTGGGGTTGCCAATACTTCTTGGATTGACTGTAAATGTGTATTCCAATTCTGTGCGAGAGAATCTAAACGAAACAAACTATGGATGTGCAATTCGGTTTAATTTGCTTATTTGTTTGTAGATATTCATGAAACAATTTGAATGGATCCACCGCTAAAAAATAGCCTCTCGTGTTCCGTATGCTATATGTAAAGTGTACTCCACCAAGGAAACCTTAAACCGTAACATTGTCACGGATGACTCCGACGCTAAGGTGAAGTGTGAGGTAATCCTTCAAATCTAGAGCATCGAGACTTGTTTTAATATTCAACCACCAATTTACACCATTTTTGTAGTATTTTTTTTAGATCTGCGAGAAAATTTCGAACAATCCACTAGCCTATTACAAGCACATACAAATGCTTCACACCAACGGGGACCGTTATACTTGCGACACCTGTCCCCGTGTACGGTGGGCAGTAGTATTTTCTAGACATGTAACTTTAAGGAAGAATTGTTTTTTAAATTCAGTTTGACGTTGAAGAATGGAAACCCTACAGATATCCCTCATCTTCCCACTAGTTCCCACAATAAAAAAATGTGGGCTATGTGTAAGAAGTAATACTCCTAGCTTTGGGAAACAGTCGATGATTCAAGAAAATTTTGGTTCCGGTAGCAGAAAATTAACAATGAAGTGGCAAAGTCTTCCGAAAAAGCAGTAATGGCGGACGTAATGAAAAATGTTACATATGAGATGGATAATATACAGGGGTGGGCAAGATACTTTGGTCGTAAGATACAAGATACAAGATAAGATACTCTCTAAGACAAGATATAAGATACAAGATAAAAGATACATCTTGTTTAAGTACACAAGATACAAGATACAAGATACTTTTCTAAAAATTGAGTAGTCAAGATACAAGATACAAGATATGTATCTTAAGATACTTTTATACTAGATAAGATACTTTCTTTTTTAGCTTGGTATTCATGCCCAATTAGTCATGTTTAATCATTTAACCGAAAAAATCTAGTGAGTACAAAATTTAAAATCATTCTAGAATCATTTTACAAATTTTGTTGCCAGTGCTTATACATCGAAAAAGGTCTAAATTTCGAAAAACTAGAACTCTACCTAACATACGTATATTCTTAAGAAGCTGGTATTATTTTTACAATATTCCCTGCTTATTCAAACTAAACCCTATAAGATCTATACATTAGTTCAGCGTAGATGTAATGTGCAACGTATGTATCAGTATGTATGTACGAGTACACATGTACATATATATATATATATGTGCATATATGTACAAGTTTGTTACGAATTGGCAAAACATAAACTAAAAATTCACCACATTCTGGTTACGACAAATTCATGGTCAAATTGACTGACTTTAGTAAGAAATTGACGTAATTTGACGGAATTTTGAGAAAAAGTATCTTGTATCTTGTCAAAAGTATCTTAAGATACTTTTCTGCCATGCATATCTAGATAAGATACTTACATAAGATACTTTCGACTTTCTAAAAGATAGAAGATACAAGATACAAGATACTTCTCTGTTCAGGCGACGAAGATACAAGATAAAGATACTATCTTGTATCTTGTATCTTTTATCTTGTATCTTGACCAAGTATCTTGCCCACCCCTGATAATATACTTAGCTCTTCTTTGTTCGCGGATCTGGGTATTCAGATATATTTATAATATGATACACAAATTAGAGATTTTTGAAATCGTTTTTTGACTATTTGTATCTTAAATTCCTAGCGTTCAACTTCCCATAGCGAGATCCCTAACTATTCTCAAATTAAAAATTTTTGCAAGTGATAATGTTTCCGTACATTTATAATTTCTGCTTATTTTAGATTAGAGAGAAATGTATTTCCTTTCAAAATTACCTTAGTAAATAGACACTTGATTTATAAAAAAAATTTGAAAGTCACCAGGATTAAAGTGGACATGCCATTACATAAAGATTTGTGAGCGTGAAATGAGTCAAAATAAAGTATGCACCATATTTAAATGACACGTACATACATATATAATCTAATGAAGGAGACGCAAATTAATATTAAGTACATATGTATTTCGTTAATATACATATCTACTTACTTAACACGGTTCCAAAATTTTTATTTTGGGAGATGCAAAGTACCTGAAATGTTAAGCCAACTAGAAATCCTTGATAGATAGCAATGCAAGTTTGTGTAATATACCTATGTATAGGTGGTTCGTAAATTTCTGTTTTGATCATTTTACTTCAACCCAAGATGCTTTATCTACGGTATGAGTTATAAAATATATTTCTGGACCGGATTATAGATATTTATTCGAAGTCTTTACAAGGCAACGCACAGTGATTTTAAATCACTGATTTCAGCTTAATTTGAACTAACTTTTTCCGAATTAGAGCAGATTTTATCAAAAAACGCCAATCTGATCATTATCGATTGCAGTTAATTATTGATTATCGATCCATCGAGTATTGCTACTTTACATAACAAATGATCACACGTACATATGTACATGCAGAGGATCAAGTCCAATTCGCATCAAATAATCATCTCCGCGTTTTTGAGATTTTCACTATTTTTCACCAAACATGATGGCAGCATGCAGAATCCGACAAGTATTTCGATAAACAAAATCTCGGTTAAGATTACTTCAAACAACTTTTCGTATTTGTATGGTTTAAGTCGGTATTGGAGGACATATTAATTGACAAATTTTATTATGTTGTTAGCTTTCGAATATATATGTATATAGTAATTCTTCATCAGAAAAAGTATAGTCGACGAACTAAAAACTATGTCAAGTTCTAAATGCATTGGGGAAAATGTGAGTGAGCTGAAATATGTACCACCATCACAGGGTGGTAACTACTACTACTGGCCCACTAACCTTACTACGAGTAGTAGTTAGGTTAGTAGGCCTACATGGAAAGTGGATTTTCCAGATGAGGTACTTGCATACATAAGTATTCTGGCAAACAAAGGTTATGGTTGGATTAAGTAGAGAATTCCGCAAACGTATATAGCAAATACACAGGAATACATAGTTTTAATTTCTTCCAGTAAAATAAAATACGGATATATGTAGAAAAACTGATGTTTAATTGCCAAATTTAAACATTGTAAAGTAGAAAGTACTTGAAGGAAAAATCAAAGCCAAAAATTCAGTCTCTGAGATCTTGAGATTACCGATAATTTTAATTCCTGCTTATATTCATGTTATATTCATTCTCATGGAAATGAAGATTCATTTTCCGTCTAGACTGGATTATCTACTTTATTACTTGTGCATGGGTATCTATGTATCTCTATAATCTCCAAAAACCTACTGATCAACTTAAACTGCACGCGACACTAAATTTGTTTGGCAAATGTTTCCCACATGAACATATGTACATAAACAAAACTGGGTGAAACACATGCTGCATGGTTCGGCCAAAGTTCAAAAAGAAAAGCTTCTTTAGGAAATTAACCTTAAAATATGCAAATGGCACCAGCATGACAAAGGGATCGCGACACACGTTCGTAACGTAATAGCCGAAATGATATTTATTCATAATTAATATATTATAACAAATTTTCTAAAGTAGAATTTTGTATCGAATTTGGGAAAACAAACGCACCGTGTATTTATGTATTATGGGACTTTAATTAAACACCTAAGGAAATCAAGTTTGATGTGCATAACTTTTCACATTGCCGTGAGTTATTGAAGCATAAACACATTCCTCAAGTGTCGGGTATCATTTGAAGCATGCAAAAATTATACCAGATTTTATTATTTATTTGATAATTACTAAATACTTTCATATGTGTGTAACTGTTAGGCTGGTAACTAATCAGTGAAGTTTTTAATGTTTCGATTTCCTCCAAATAATCTCGACTTCATACCATTGTCGCGACCAGATCTGACACTTCGGTATAACACTGCCTATCCAGTTCTTTGATTTCATTCTCAACATACTTGGCAAGCCTAAGTAAACTTTCCTCATTTGGAAACACCGCCTTATTCCCGACCAGTTGCAGGAATAATTTTCCATTGTAACTCGTAGTAAGAATAAAGAGAGGATTTGATCCTCGCAGCAACCCGGAAGCAACGACAATCCGTTCCAAAGTGATTCCAAAAATTTTTATCGGCTCTCCAAAAAAGGCCATATTCGAATGCGCATATGTGAACATATCCGACATAACCTTCGTTTGAATATGGGCACCAAGAAGTAATCCTAACATATTGAAAGGCAGCATACTTGCGATCGGAATAGTGGAGAAGATTCGATTCAGTTGATGGGAAATCCCGGTGACTCGTTTGATACCATCATCTCCAGACATTGGTGTGATTATAGGAATGCTATACCTATTTACATAGAATGTAATTCATTGTTACTGAATCGCTTATGTACACTTGAATACAAATTGTTTTGCAGCACTCGGATACGAGTAGGAATTTTTGGATTCCCATCGCTCAACTTAGATCGGGGAAGGGGGGGGGAAGTTCCACGGTGACAGCAAGGTTGGGTACGAGAAAAGCAAATTTTAGTCGGGTCGAGTAAGTTTCGAGTTCTCGAATATTTTGTTGCGTCTCCGCGGCTGAGGTTTAAAAAAAATATCACACTTATCTCTGATAGTCAAGTAAATGCGATACTGAGGAGTAGGTATGTAGGGACAATTTATGGTACTAATGAAATCCGGTTTGAAATGGGAGATGTGATATGACATGATTGAAACCGGAATAAGATACGATATGATTGAAATGGAACATACATTTGTGAAGATTGGGGTGAATAATATTCAAATTAAGAGAAATTTTTGTCTCGTAACTATGATGAGGAAAAGCTGTGAGCTGTGCTACAAAGTTGCACCACATATATGGTTTTACTGCTTCTAACCATATTTAGAAATAAAGGAACTCACAAACTAATTTACAATCATATGTCCAAATATTGCAGATTATATGTTTTTCAGTGAAACCAGTGTAAATGAAACTTACGCATTGTTGGATAAAGTCCCCGGATGGTCCAATTTTGGGAGGATATACGTAGCTGTAATATCCCCTGTGGGTTCACTACCCCTGTCTATCATCGTCCTTCGAACAGCACCGGCCACACCGGCATGAATTACGGAGGAAACATTAGCCCCAACTATTTTAGAGATACGTTTCAAACATGCCAAATCAATTAGCGTCGTCGCGAATATACACCCACAGGTAGTATTTTGACTTAAATCACGCGGGATGACTTGGGACTTCAAAGCTTTGATCCAATTGTACATTCCCTCGGACGGATTGATGAATATTAGTTGGAAAACGCAGCTAAGTTTTTTCCAGAAATTTTGAGAATATTTTTTCCTGAAGCCCTTCAACAGTTTTTTAATCTCTTCATCTGCAGCGTGATTTTCGTCGCACATATCGCGAACCAAGGCCACGAAGCTTAGGCCGTCGCCGACCGAGTGATGCATTCTTAGTGCCACGGCTGAGGAGGTGCCGTACTCTGCGTGAACACAGTTAGGCAGAAACACAACATCCCAGAGCGGTTTACCCACAGGGTAACCCTTATCTATTTGATCCGTCAAAAAAGCAGAAATCTTGTCCGGATTCGATTCCTCGTTTACGGAGATGTGATCCAAAATATCAAAATCTTCACACTTTTTCCAAAAGTAGACGCACCTCCATCGTGTAATGGTGCAGGTTAACCTGTCGTAGCTTTCTTTAGGTTGCTGTAATAAAATTACAGCCAATAATGAAAGTTTACTGAATATTTCTTTCCCAAATTATAAGTACATATATCACTATACATATATTCAAGAGCAAATTTTTTACTTCACGTATTTTGGGATTATAGTCTCAATGCAGAGACGAATTCAAAGGCTTATCAGTTTGAATAATGAAATTGTATTGTCAAAATATGCAGTTGGTAACTGTAGAATGAAAAAATGCCAAATCGAAATGAATATCAATTTACTCACCTCCGAAATTTTTAGTTTCAATCGGTTTACAAATTGGTCGACTGAAAACCTGCCCCTAAAGTGAACTACACAAGAAATCGAACATCTCGGTTGTCCGTGAATATCGTCCAAAACATGAATACAGTCCCCAACAGATAAAGGGGCATAAATCCCGACTTTCCACTTTGACAAAAATACCACGCAACTTTTATAGATATAAAGTGGTGCAACAATTAGAATCAAGAAAGTTGGCAGAATAAAATGTGCGACTAAGATGGAACAAGTTAGTGAGAAAATCTTATTTAAGGTGGTCATTTTGACATTGTTCGTTATATTGCAGCTCGAGAGAAGATACTAAATTTCCGATGTCTACAAATTATACTAAATTTACCTTGCAGACGTGTGTGTTTAGTTGGTGAACGATGTTAATTAACAGGCACACCTGGTCTTGCCCATGAATTTATACACATACATACATATGTACACACATATCTCGCTCTGGGTAGCGTGCCTTATCATGGTAATACTTACAGTTAGGATTAGTACGAAAGTTAATCAAGTTAAGGTATATACTTGGAACCAAGAAAATTGGCACCAGTAATATTATCAAGTTTAAATAATTATCGGTAGACGTTTCTTTAGACGTAAAAAGTTTCACTGAAAGGGACCGTTAATTGAATTTAGGACTATAAAAATCTTCACATTCTTTCGAAGCACGTTTATTAGTTCTATCGATAATCTGGTGGGGTTTTCCTGATATTCAACAGTCTTAAAATTGGTTTTATGTATTTGTCAGAACAGTTAGTTAATTTGCACATATTATTTTTCCATTAGAAAATAGCTTTCTGTTCGACACACCGACAACCCACCTTCAGTTATACACTATAAGTTATAGTTATTAAAATGGTGATAGCATGTTTTATGTCATAAATAATTAACAGACAAACTTGAATTTCTTTCTTAAAGTACGGATTTCCGGTCGAATTCACACTTCAGGTACTTTGCGTCTTTGTATTTATAACAAAGAAATTCACATTTATAATATTTATTAAGCATATTTCTTGTATTTCATTTTAATTTTTTTAATTTCAATTTAATATAAAGCTCCTTTGATTCAGGAAATTTCCAAATCATGACGTTCATCGTTCATCGACTAACGTCGTCGCATATCTCGCATATCTATCAAATTGAGGATAGCAAACATAACTTGCGAAGTTTTGCAAGAAATACGATACTTCGCAAAAATTTTGCTGGAAAACCATGGGATGATTTTTTCAAATCTACCTATTTCGCAAAATTAATTCGCAAACTCATCCTCACCATCGCCAACATGAGAGATTAAAGAAGAATGGAAATGGAAGAAATGCAAAACGGAATGTTTTTCAGTAGATTTGAGAGATAAGAGAGATTTGCCAAGTCATATTTTGCGAATCCCCTCCCGACAAAAATATTGTGTTCTCTCTAGTTTGCTAAACGAGTTGCGATGCGAAATAAGACGTTGCCGTGAGCACGCCCATTGTATATAGAGTACCCAACTTCCTCATTATCATATACACAAATCTGTACCCAAAATTAATTCGCACTGTTGAATTTCTCTGGATGATGAGATAAACAATTTACAACTTTTGCGGAATTTTAGCCTTGGCCATCGCATATATGTATTTATATATCTAACTCTGTAAAATAAACTATTGTACCTATGTATGTATGTACCTATCAACTAATTTTATATATAAACCCACTGAGCTACATAACTTTACTACCAATGTAAACATATTTAAGACGTCATGCCACACACAACGGGTCGGGTACAATGTAAGTTATCTCCTATATACATATTTGTCCAATAATTATGTATATATTTACTAGTTAATGTACTACATGAGTTGATTAAGTTTGATCGATTTAATTGATTACCCGCACGAATGGCTTGATTTGGATAGGATATAGCTTGTTTTAGAATTAATGCGAATTGTTTTTAGAAACAAATCTTTAGTATTTAGAATTAGTGGCAATGCATCAATTAACCTTTTTTAACATACACTTTACATAGTTACACTGTTAAAAATCAGGTAGAGTCAAATTTGATCAGGATGAAAATAATTTTGTTGCGATGAACTCAGAAGATGACAAGAAAACCACATGTCTAACTATCATACGTGGCATGATGGCAGGTATGCAAGCACATGCTAATAAAATTAAAAAGTTTGTCATTCATTGAATTTTTATAATAATGGTAAATATATCAATTTCACAGAAAACGTGAAATTGAAGCCAATTATGCAATTTTGGCCAGAAAAACTACTCCTTACTCTTATCCGTACATACGATAGTAACCATTCCAGCGTCTTAGACGTGGTAGGTGGAAAATTATATCAATGCAAAAAGCGGCTTTTTGAAATATTGTAAAACCGGTTTTTTATAAAACCGTTTATTGGGAAAATTGTAAAACCGGTATTCGGTTAAATCGAAATCCGGTTTTTAACCGGTTTTACAGAATCGTACATTACAATTGTACATTCGGAATTAGAACAGATTTTCTGTTCTAATTAAATTTCCTTGTTACTAACCCTTTTTAGGTAAATTGTTTGCAAACTTGCATAACGGAAACGTATCCTGAATTGTTCGGACTTATAAATCTTTCCAAATTGCGACCCGTTTTGGACAAAAAGCTCTTCTCCCTGGTGAAGCACGCCAGCCCAAAGAATCCTGGCATTTTAATGTTTAAATTTAGTGCGGGAATTTTGAACAGCTTATGTTTAAATAAATAAATATATCATACACATAAATGCAAATTTGTAATTATTTAGAATCTATAAAAAATTAACAGAAAATTGGAAACCATCCGACGTCTCTCCAGACCAATTAACCGCTGTTGCAACGGTGTACTACCATCAACTCGGGCGAAATAGTAAGGATATCCAGAAAAATGGGATCCTCGTTCTGCTAGACGCTGAGGGACTTGGGTTCAGCCATGTTCGCCAGATGTCACACAATTTTGTCAAAAAGGTTCTTTACTGCAATGTGTACACGTCCCCGGTTCGAGTTATTGGTTACGTTGTGTACAATAGTTCATTCTTGATGGAAAAGATTTACAACGTGCTAAAACATGCGGTGCCGGAGAGGTCGAGGAAAGATGTGAGGAAGAGATATTTATAGCTTACAAATTACCAATGTCTGCGTGCATAAAATGTGTAGATTTATGTTTTGCATTATTTTATTTTTATAGGTTTATATCCTCAGAAAAGACCTGACCCAGCTGCACGAGATGGTTCCAGATAAACAGTTTTTGCCCACTTGCGTCGGCGGGGAGGTTCCGAATGACGTTGCGTTTCAAGAGGACGCTGAGATTGCTGCGTTGGAGGACCTCACAATGCAAAATCTTGTGACAGATTTACAGAGAGAGTACGGATTGGGGAAGAAGTGATGTTCTACATAGCGATTATCTATATGACCTTACTGTGTTTTACTTCATTAGACAGATTTACATAGGCCTCGGTAAGGTCACAACCAAGGTTGTAAGAGAATAAAAACAAGCGAAAATAAATTTCAAAAAGTTTATACTGTATTAGATGAAGTTTAATAATTTTACACATATCCATGTTTGTTTTATTAAACCATGTTCTAAAAAATCTTAAATTTCCAATAAGCTTTGAAATATACCTATTGTAATTCCAGGCAATACGATGCCTTGTTTGATCTGTTGGGAGTTTGAATAAAGGGTTATTTACAAACAAAACATTCTACTAGCTTCCAAACAAATTTTTGGAAGACCAAAACTCAAATATCTCAAAATGGAGAAGGGAAATTGCAAATTTCGTATTAATTAAATTTGTGACGGATTGATACTAGTTTGCTCAAAATCAGAGGACATACGTGGATTCCTCCATTGTTAGTTGTTATGATTATAAAACAGGATTTCTATTTTTAGTCAATATTTTTAGTCATAAGTGGAATACTTATGTGTGTATACATATATGTAGGTTAGCAGGTGTGTATGGAAACTGGGTTGTACATACTTTCCACACAAACACAACTTATAGGTCGGGAGTTCCTTAAAAAGTACCAATGTAGGCAATGGCTTATCTCATTTCTATTAGAAAATAGGTAAATCTGATAGGTCAATTAATCCCCAGCAACAATGTTTTCCAGTCGACGCACATAAATAACCCTTTTAGTTTAAATGAAATCCATACAAATGTATGCATTAAAATTGTGATAACATTTATTTATGTTATAATACCAAAACAAACTTGAATTTCTATCTTAAAGAAGGGATTTCTGGTCTGCTTCACATTTCAGGTACTTTTAGCTTCAGAAATTCCCATTTTACACTATTTATTTATGCATATTTATTTACCTATATTCTAAATATTTTTTTAAAATTCAGTGTAAACCACGTCTAACAAATGACATTTTCAAGTCATGACGTTTCCAGTTGAGACGATGTAGAAATGTTTTTCTAATCGGGCGCATTGGAAATGAAAATTCAAATCGAATTTTATCAACGGAAGTTTAAACAATTCTACCAGATCATTATCCTGTACAAATCACTTTTCCTGGAGATTAACTCGCTCTGTTGAATTTATCCTAATGATGAGGTAAACAATTTATAACTTTTGGGAAATTCCTGACTTAATATTGGAAACTCCATAAATTAAACTAGCCACGTGTGTACCTGTCCATTAACTTAGAATATAAACCCACTGCACCAACTTGTCCACCAATTCAGACACATTTCAGTAGTCATGCTCCACATCACGGATTTGGCACAATGTAAGATTACTTCATTTTGTCTCACATATATTTATATATACACTCTAAGAAATCTGGCGATAACCGTAACTCTACCGATTCTGGTGATCAGGGTTTTTGGTGGTAGAACTCCCGTGTGGTAATCGAGTATCACCGAGTTGGAAGTGGTATTTTCCATGCTGTGACCAGGTTGTCACAGAGCGGTAGCATATGATTACCACTCCGGTAGAGTCACATATATGTAGTCGCCGACCGGTGATAAAATTTCTTAGGGGCAGATATTAACTTGAAATGTATTATCTGCTTTTTTAATGTTTGATTCACTTGTAATTAAAACTTAATTTCTAATCTATTATTCTTATACTGTCACTTGTAAATAGCCTGGTTCTTCCCGGATTTCGATACCTCTTACGTGGAATGGGACTACACAAAGAATCAGACAATCGAACCCTTCGCATTTGAACGGGACTATATCGATTTTCCTTCATCGCGCAAGTTTTGGTGGAAAAACTCACGCCTTATCATCCAAATTTCGGTCATTTATGTCCTCCTGGTTCATAGCTTGGCCTGGTGGATGAAGACAAGGAAACCTTTCGACCTAAGAAAAGAGTTGTTTGCGTGGAACGTCGCGCTAGCCTTGTTCTCCGTGGTTGGTTGTGTTCGGGTATTTACAGAACTTTGGGACGTCTTGACCGGTCAGAATGGGTTTCATAGATCTATTTGCGTTAGGTATAAAATCAAATTGTATTTAAAGTATGGGATTCGATTGTGGACACACTAAATACGGAGATTGTGAATTTCACTAAGATGTGTAAAGGGTGTCCAGGATATGGATTAAATGATATAAATGAGACGATATCTATTAGAACCCGCGAAAACATAAAATTCAAATTTATGTCATTCGAAACACAAATAGTGATAGCTGAAATCCTCATAGTTTTAAAACGATGGTACTTCAATTCGCAAAATGCTGAGGGGTGAAAGTGAGGAAGTCACTAAGCATGTTTTTCACAACCACGAAAATGCGAATAAGCAGCTCAAGAACAAAATACAGGGCAATTTTACTGCTGGGAATACATCAAAATTCACAATTTACCGCTTTATTAGAACGCATTAGGAAACTGCTAAAGTAAAATTCAAACACATTTCAGGCCACACCCCCGGGAAATCCTCCCCCATAGCAGCACGTTGGGTTTATACAACTTTTTCCATACATGCAAAAATAACGTTAACAATTCTGGTCAACAGTTAGAAATTGATCTTTCTAGCGTGTTCCGAATTGAAGCCCATAAACTAGGGTTCACTGCTAACGCAAACAAGAAAATTTCCAATTATGTCAGTGGGCAAGAAAAATCAACGAAAACTAGTTTTCTAATAATGCGCAAAAAATGCGTGGAGAAATTTCAAGTTATTGACGATGAAATTTAGCTCACATTTGAGCGATTTAAATTTCTGGGAGGCGAATACTTCCACGCACTAGGTCATTGTGAAATACATGATGGACATAAATCGAAGAAAATGACAAAATCCCCCAAAACTGCATAATTTTTCAAGCCAAGGATGAGTTTGGCTATATTGTGGAACCAGATTAGGTGGGTCTATGACCACAACGTATACCTGCACGAGTTTGCAAAAAAACCGTTATCACCCTACATACATAAGCATCGGAAAACAGAAGTTATCTTATTTTTGTCGGACTTATCAGCGTGTCAGAATGCAAAATTGCGACCACCTACTTGGAGCAAAAAAACCACGAAAATGCTCCCAAATAAATCAAGCCACTAAATGTGTCTTAACCTGGCGGGAATGGAAAGATATCGCTTGCCTACAATCAACAATACTCTAGTCGAGGTCAGGAGGCTAAAAGTTTGCAAGGTTTCAAAATAATTTGAGTAAAACTTTGAAAACTGTGGCGGAGAAAGTGGGAAAAGAGCGTAATTCTCATGCTTCCAAAATAATTCGCCCCATCGAATACAAACAGACCAATCAACTTATGAATAGCGTTACTAACTCTTAGAAACATTACGGATTCTGGATAAATTTTGCATTTTAGTTTGTACAAAGTAATTTTCATTTTGTATAACTTTTAGTTTATTTAATCTATATCCGGGACACCCTTTACACTTAATTATCGCTCTATGGCCATTAGCTTAAATGATAAACTAACCTACCACTTGAGAATTTAGTACGGAATCTATTACGGAGGCTCCGCCACTAACACGTGAACGTTTTTGACCTTCAATCACTGGTTGAACGGCTTGGAGTTTAGGTCCCGAACATTTTTTATGTGAAAACCCTTTTCTCGAGCTACAAGTCGGCATCGGCGATTTCAACTTCTGTACACTGATTTGACCATGGCGAAGTCAACTTTAGACCACTCGTCTCCCATAACTTTCCAAACTCCGTCAAAAGTTTTTGGGTGGCGGAGAAAAGATTTTGTTTCAGATATCCAAACCCGAATAAATCCATAGGACTTACATAGAGTGACTTAACAGGCATTTCACTATTTTGGATGATTGTTATCCCGAGTCTAGCTTTCAGGTCCTTGGCGTAATCCTGGGTCAAAAGGGCGGTGTGTGATGACGCTGCGTTGTGATGAACTATCACTTTTTTTGTGTCCTTGCCATATGGTTTTGGGACATGAATCTCCAAAAGCGGTTTTAAAACAAAGTCAATATAGTACTTCGTAGTTACCTTCACTTTTTGTGGAACTTTGATAAGTGGGAGGACACCACGACCAGATAATGCACCAACCACCATGAACTTGTTGCAAAAGTTTTCCTTGTGCGGGATGGTCAATCTTCTGGAATTATTTTCTTCTTTGGTTGTACAGTAAATTTTTCTATGACCGTTGGTATCTTTAAAGAAAATAATTCTTCATCCAACAACACTAAAAAGTCACTTTTATCTTTTGTCAGGTAATTTATATAAAATTTTTTGCAGGTCAGACGACGATTTTGTTTATGCTTCTCAGTCAGCTGATGGACTCGGATTTTTCTTCTTTCTTGCTTCTGCAAATTTTTAATTGCTCGTCGCACACTAGTCTCTGACACTTTGGTTAGACGTGCCACTGCTCTCTGGGGTGGTGAGTTGCCCTTAGAGGTCAATAGGTCAATTCTCTTAAGCACGGGCCGAATTAGCACTTTTCGGACTCGGGTTTGAGGCATGATGGTTGTCCTTTGGTACGAGCTTGTCGTTGTTGACCTTCATTTTTAAGTACCTTATGTATCCCTGTTTTCGAAACTTGTTGTCCTTGAATTTTGAAGTGGTTAATTATGTCTGTGTACGAAAAATTAAGTTTGGAAAGTGTTTTTATGGTACCCTCTTACTCTAAGGTCAATGGTAGGGTCATTTTTGAATCTAGAGAGCTAATTTTTTGCTCAGCCCTTGTCAATAATCACATGTCGCTATGCTCAAAATTTGGAATCGAAACTCCAACCCGTTTTGGAACAATTCAAGAGTGACCGCGTTCACGTGTTAGTAGCGGATCCTGTAATTCGGCTAAAAGGTTACAGAATTGTGGACTCATAGTGATATAGTAGTTAACTACCAAGTTTACTGTCTCTTCAAAAATGTAAAATTGAATTGAAATTTTCCAAATTTATTACAATCCAACTTAAGGTCGGAATATGCGCCAAAATGAAGCTTGGTTTAAAAAATTGTAGAAATATATTTAAGAAGTGAACGCAACGATATAATTAGCAACAAACAAACACGTTATTTTTTAATTATGTAAATATGGCGACTTAATTAAAGGGTTCAAATTTTCAAACTGAATGACAATCCAATTTATGGATAGGCGACAGCGAGATTAAAGTTTGTTAAAATAATTTTTGGAAAAATTGGTAAGAATTGAAACTTGAGAATTGAGACTTTTACTTAATTTTTTGCAGGGACACGCTCAACATTTCGACTGGATTCTGGAATGTGGCGATACCCTTTTCCAAACTGGCCGAATTTGTGGACACGACCTTTATCGTGTTGAGGAAGAGGCCACTAACATTTTTACATGTGTATGTACATGATTATTTATGCATTCAAGTTAATGAAAAGTCAGATATATGTATTACATACTGTTACCGTCTTTTAAACATCCTGTAGTTACCACCATGCCGTGACATTCGTTCTTAGCGTCACTTGTACCGTACAGGGGGAACCGATAGTACGATATTACGGATCTGTTAACCTCATGGTGCACACGTAAGATTCAATTGAAGGATAGATTTGCTCACAACCTTTATCACTCATAATGGGGACGCAGCAAACCATGTTCAGCCCAGATTATTTTTTGACCATGTTAATTTGAAGGTGTAAAACTTACTATTTTTTTCGAATCTTCACCAGTGCTGTATTAATGTTTCTAAATAGTGGCTCCTTCAAAGGTCATGGTCAGCAAATAATCTGGGTTGAACAAGGTTTGTGTCACTCTTAAAAATAATGATGCTCTAATAAAAAGTTAATGCCCTCTCAATTATATATTAAAAATACAAACTATGGTACATAAGTAAATCCAGGTAATACGCTAGCTTAGTAAATAATTCAAATTACTCCGGATTTAATATAGTTTCCTTGATTTGGAATTCAGAGCACATTAAGTTTTCAAATCCGTAATCTAATTTTTAAGAGTGAAATACAAAAATATTTCAGAGTATATTTCTTTATCTTTGTCCCAACCAGGTTCATGTATACTTACTTCGCGCTCTCGGTAAGATAAAACTAATTTTAGAAATTAGTGGCATTCTTTATTCCGTTATTTTACCAGGCAATTGATTACAAACCATCGCGGAAATTTGCAATGTGTCTCACGACTTTGCAAATTCTTCAGTTTGTCACAATGCTGGGAGCCCATGGATACGCGATTAGTGTGAAATGTTAGTTGTGGATTATTTACAATATCTATTTAATATCTGATTTTTTATGCATCTCTGTTTACATCTTTATTGTGCCCCAAATTGTCCACGAAATCCATGTCATCATCACTTTACGCAGCCAATTCGATTATTTGAATAGGTAAAATTTTTGTTTGTGCGTATGCAATTATATTTTTAGAAACAATAAATATTTAAATTGGTCAAGTAAAATTATGATGACGGGAACAAGGTTAGCCACAAAATATTCAAATGAGGTGGCTACAGGAACCTGTTTGTATTTATAATTTCTGCAATAGCACAAATAATTCCGCTGGATGTATAGTCCATCAATTCCATTTTCTAATTTCCTTCTTTGACGAATAAAAATGGAAAAATCGAACTACATATAATCAAATATTTCTTTTTGAAATGTATGACATTCTAGGATGTATTAAATTTTTTAGTGACTGGACAACCCTGCGCGATATCTCGGGAAAGCTGTGTCGTTACAAGTATCATAGTTTTTTCATATCTGATCCTATTTTGTCAAGTATTTTATAAAAATTATTTGAACTCTGACCCCAAGCCGAGGGAATCTAGAATCCAAAAGGTTGAATGACCTTAATTTATAATTGAGGTAAGATTTGACTTATTAAAAATTAGATGTAAAAATGCGCAATACAAATATATGTAATTTTAGTTGAATAACCAATCCAAACAAAAAGTTTAGTCAGTAAAATCAATCCTTTTCAAAATTATTAGTTCCTGTAGGATTGATTTTAAATGAGTACATATTCGGCATCCATTTTTTATCACTTGTATGCAAGACGATCGCATCACATCACGCCAAATTTCTACTTCCTAATTAATATAGTAATTGACACATTTTATCTAGAAATATGATGCATACAATATATATGTAAATGATTCAGTTGTTAACATGGTTATGAAAACTTGTTATGATAAGAATCAGAACATGCTTGTATTCTTCAGTTTGGATGATGATATGCATGCATGGGCACATGTGCAATGAGAATTTATAAATATGTGCATGTTGATACCTCACAAGGTTAATATATTTTTCCAGCGCCGTAGCGACGGTGGAGAGAGGTGGAGAGACACTCTCCAGGCCGTACGGCCCAAGGGGCCGTACCGCCAAGGTCAGCAATAGAATGCACTAGATAAGATCAGGGATTCAATGGAATACACTAGATAAGATCACTGCCAGTAGTAGAATACACTAGATAAAATCAAAGTTAGCAACAAAATACACTAGGTAAAATCAGGGATTCAATAATTTTTGGGGGCATAGTGAGGCGTACCACGGCCAAACTCTCCAGGCCGGACAAAACGTCGCTACGGGCCTGTATTTTTCATCCAGTAATTGGATGATAGGTCAGTGCCACATGAAGCAAATTTTATGCTTGGCAAACGATGGAAAGACACTACGGAATACCTTCACCTTAAGATTTTAATATGCAAAATGTAAATACTTTCGTCAACTTCATGCGCATCACCAAAATTTGTACTTACAAGTATATATGTATGTATATGCACATGTACGTACATATTTATATATTTTTGCACACTTAGAAATCTGGTAGATCTTAAATCATTACTGTACGTAGGTATGTACATACACATGTTTGTACAGGTTTGTGACATAATTTTAATACCAAGCGGTAGCAACTTTAATACTAAGAAATCAAAACCTGCCTAACTACACCAGATTTCTAACCGTGTAAATGTGTACATTTTTACGTGATTCGACTAGATTTCCATCAGTACATGACAATCGAAATTATACTGATCGGTAAAAATTTGTCATTGGTATGGTAAAACTTTAATACCGAGCTATTACTTCCGGTATTACAAATCAATACTTCTTTGGTAGAGTCATATATGTATGAATACCGCTTGCTATTATTTTAATACTGGATTTCTAAGAGTGTATGTTAATTTCATTTTTTATGATCTTATCGCGGAGACAGTTGGGCAATAAATAAAGTCTAGAAAAGTAAAACAATATCAAGGCTAATTACCCAAAAAAAATATTAAACATCAAATTCCCACAAAAAATGCAACTTTTTGGACCAGATCACTACAATACATATGCAGGTACAAGAATTTCCAGCTAAACTTGCTAGTCAGAATTTCCATATTTTATTTAAGCTGTGGAAAGGTCATGGCAGTCTACATATTTGCTTGGTCTGGTTCCAGAAGGATCGAAACATGAATTTACATACGCAATTAGTTTGTTAAGATATGATGCAATATGCATAAATACATATTTATTTTACTGCTGGAGTAGAGAAAGGATTTCCGGTTGACTGCACAATTCAGGTACGTTGTGTCTCGAAGGCTAAAATTTTTAAACCTTGCTAATTTACTTACAACATATTGAGATCTACCCAAACTTGCATTATACATTTTTACTAATATATAAATACAAAGGTACATGTATACATACACACAACAATAAACCCATAATTTATAGAGATGCCCCGAGTACCGGGTAGTTACTCGGTACTTAGTAAGCAAGGCCATTTTTGGGGACACCCGGCCGGGTACGGGTATTCTAATTCATAGCATTCTAAATATCCTAAAGCGTCCAGATTACCCGGCCGATTAATCTGCAAGTACAGTTTTTTTTACTTGAAATTCAAAATATTACAAACTTTTACTGTCCCATGGATTTTAATTTTGTACCTGGTATAAAAGAAAAATTTGGGAGAATATGGGCATATCTGATCTTGCAATTGTTTATTAAATTTTGAACTAATAGTAAGTCTCTATACCTTGTATAATGTTTTTATTTGTGATTGCAAAATTCCATTCTGCAAGATTTTTTAAACTCTTCAGAAAAGCGGACTACCTCGCCTTCTTATTAATACATTAATACTGGCCTACCATGCCGGTTGCCAACATTTCATGTCGAGTACCGAGTACCGAATACTACCCCTACCCGGGGCATCCCTAATGATGAATACTTAGCATTTATTCATGTCTCCTGGATGGGATTATATGCTTGCACGTACCATATATTTATGACACTTAGATACATATATATTTCAAGGCACTCATTTTTGGATTTTCAGACATTTTAAAATCAAAAATCTGCATTTAAAAATGAAATCGAATTTTTTAAAAAGCAATTAAAATTTGGAAACATTGGCACTTGCAAACAATTTTAATTGCATCTTAGATTACTGGATGAAATTATTGCAGCAATGAATCGGGTGGGGTTTTGACGAAGGTCGTCTTGTGTCTGTGTTTTCCAGATCAGTGATCCGGAAACCATGCTGTGAGTTCATCATGGATGGGTTGGGCTAGGTTATGAAGTTGCATGTCTTATCAGATTCTTGTCGTTTTTATATATTCAATGCATACATACTTCGGATTACTATGTATCCTAATCTACCTTTCATACATAGTTTACCTTGAGTAATTATAGAAATAGGTGGTTCAATATCCGGTCGGCCTCCAGAAAAATTTTATTTAAAGGCGTCTCAAAGTAAAATTATGGTTCATTTGATACAAGTTGTTTAAGTAAAGTAGTGAAAACCTGACAATTTTTGTCTCATTTTCCCCATTTTGCGAAAATGAAGGAAGCATACATTACGTTTGCCAGGAATCTGAGGGAGGCCGACGACGCTTTGTTTATCTTGAAATCCATTAGAGATACGAAGACTTCCAGGCAATGTCTGATCCTTCTAGATTCTGAAAATTGTGAAGACGAATCTTGGTAATTTAAATACCTAAGTATGAGAATTTTAAGCTTTGGTTTCAAATAAGTGAAATATTTTCAATTTCTTACGTATTTCAGGGATGAATTGGCTATCTCATTTGACGGAGTTATTAATTTGAAAAGTAATGGTTTCTATGACTCGAGATGTCACGCATTTCTGCACTGTATGACTCTTGTGCACTTTGACCGTATCTGTTTAGTCGACCCTTCTGCTGTGGTAAACGCACTTTAAAATTAATATGGGGCCGTTCATAAATTGTGTAGTCCAAAAATCGTGATTTTTAAGACCTCTTTCTCCTGTTAACATTTCACATAGGCACGATATAATTGTTGGCAATAATTATATGGTATCTATGTGACAACAATTTGTTGCCTTAGACCCACCAACCCCTACGTGCGCTACATAATTTATGAACAGCCCCTAAACAGTCAACGCTTCTGTACCAGCCAATTAACCATTCGGGCTGGGTACCGAATGTTAGAAGTAACTATGGTTTGTTCGGAATTAATAATCGATATGCCAAACGTTACGGTCAGATCCAGACAATGGCTTCAAGATAAGTTTTTATGTTGTTGGACAGCTTACAGCAGGTGGGATATATATTGTGTAGAACCACGTCCTGTAAATCGCGAAACATAACAAAATATTTATTTAAAGTTTCCCAGAATTTAGCAAACCGATAGATTTCAAAGTTGTACTGCATGATATTGAGAAAAACTCGAAAACTAATGGATTATTTATTAATTCTCCACAAGCTATAGTTAATTTACATCTAAAATAACTTTCATTGTTTCATTATTTGAGTCACTTAATGAAGTCACATACAGTAATTATCTTTGATTACAGGTTTTTCGAAACATGGACGACATTTTTGGTACAGATGCCTCCAAATTTGTTTTCGGGAATGGCATAACGATGTTGACACCTAACATAGGAACTCATCAAAATTTGTTGAACAATCTTGACGGTTATTATTTTGCACTATGTGGTGTCCTATTTTCGGACAAATTTAAATGTCAAATATTTTAGGTTTGGAAAAGCAAAAAACAATTGATGAGTTAAAACGTGTAATGGAGCAGGATTTCCAAGTTTTGAAACTGGACAACAAATTCCACCTTGATTTTGACAAGGAAAAATTGTACGCTATCCGATTTAGCAAACATGTCCATTTTGTGTGTATAATATTGTTTTTTCTAAAAATAGAATATCAACCAAACTGGTGGACAAGGTGGAAAGACTGAGTACTAGTGGCAAGACAAATGTGGACAGCGTCGCCAATAAAATATCTAATCTTACTTCAAGAATTGATGATAATGAAGATTCTGGAAACAAGCATAATCTTGATAAGAATACCCTTGTTGTTGAAGACTCGAAGTTATGGAAACACATTCAACTGCATCCAACAACAAAACCATACGTACCCTTGGGTGAAATTAAGACTATTTTCTTAACGGGAGGGACTGGATTTCTGGGACCTTACATGATTCAACAGTTGACAAAAATGCCACAAATTGAAAAAATATTTTGCCTAGTTCGGGCACTTCCGAAAAGCACAGGTAATTACTTATTATATTACTAGTTAAGTGTTTATGGCATATTAAAAATGTGTCACATTATATGCACAAATATCAATATCCGGCGATAAGGAATGCCCGTTTTAAGTAAACTAACTAACTCGTTAAAATATGCAAATAAGTTGAGTATTCGACGGTCAGAGAAAAATATCTCGTTTGAATCCTCACCAATTCATCGCACAAGTAGGGTTGGACCTTACATTGCATTAAATTGAGAATACTCAAAACCGTTTATTAACTATGAACAAATCATAAATATTTCGAATGCATAATAAGCGTACGAAATTTATCTTGTGTATTTAAATTACCCCACTTTTATCCTGCAGAATCCACCCTAGCCCGACTGCACTCCCGCTTGAAATTTCTCGACCTATTTGACATAACGGATCTATCCAAGCTACACGTCGTCGATGGAGACGTATCACTTGATAATTTCGGTTTGGAATTACCAATGTACGAATTCCTCTCTCGCGAAGTTGATGCTATCGTACATTTCGCTGTTCGTTCCGATCACGTCAGATCATATAAGAATTTGTCCATGTTACAAAGTATAAATGTAACTGGAACTCAACGTGTTATTCAATTCGCGGCGGAACACAAAGTAAAATGGATCAACAACGCTTCCTCCATGGTGTGCTTTCTCCAAAACATGAGCAAAATTAAACACCTTGAATTAGAAAGTTGGCCAGAGCTGAGGGACTTTGATCTTAAAATAAGCTTTGGCTACGGCATTTCCAAACTTATTGGAGACATACTTATCAGACAAGCCGTTGAAATTGGCATTCCTTGCAAATCGTTTAGATTTCCGATCGTTTCTGGGGCAACTGTGACAGGAAAGCAAGACCTGGATGGTACAAGTAACCACCTGATGAAAAGAGTAATACACTTGGTGAGCACTGGAATAGTGCCAGATAAGACTATTCCCTTAGTTCAAATTCCAGTCGACGTTTGCGCGAAAATTTGTATTTCAATATTTTTTAACGAAGATGCACCTCTAAGCATGTATAACCTTCTCAATCCTCATTTGCAACGGGAAATTGCACTGTTAGAATTAGTTCCAGAGCTAGGGAAACAGCTAGTAATTATTCAATTATACGGATTTGCACTAAAAGAAGTTGCTCTTAATGAAACAGAAAGGTTTGTGGCATACTGGATACAGCTTTGTAAAAACAATGGTCTAGATTTGCAACCCTTTAAAGAAATTTTGCTCGAATTTGTCACCGATCCAGGGAAAATATTTGAGAATGAAGGGATTCTAGAATATTTGAAGAGTCAGATATTTCATGGAGATATTGTACACTATGGTAAGTTTGTGGAATATTTGAAGACCTGTGAAATGTCGATGCTCCATCCGTACGCAGAGCTTTATGACAGTGGTGGATCATATTATCACATGACCCAGCGCAGCGATGAACTTATCGAAGAATTTGTTGGTAAAGTTGTTAAGAGGGGGTATGTCACAAAGTATTTCCCAAATTGGAAAGAAGTCACACCTACGGGACTTGAATGTGTCAGAAATGATTTAAATTACACTGTAAAAAATGCTAAAGATTTGTTTCAAACAGGAAGATAGGTGAAATTCTACAATTGTTGAATTAACGGACAATTAGGCTAATGTTCAGGTAAAATTTGGTCGCACTAAATATGTGTAAACACGTGGAACATAGCTTGATAAAATGTTTTAAATATGGAACAACTTTGATAATTTTCGTCAACAATGTGATCAATACTATCTTAAGAGTACCGGTTTAGAATTTATTTTCTAGTTTCCTACTGTCATATCTTCAATCCAATTGAGGATTCGTTTTTCGAAATACACCTTTATTGTCGGCCTGACAGCTTATGTTTTCTCTTTCCAATAATTCATTTGTTAGCTATATGTACATATAATAGTTTGATAGCAATTCTGTCTTCTTTCCAATCTAAATAATAAGGTTATCAAATTGTGTGTCCATGATTTTCAATTGCATCGTATGTATTGCTTATTTACATACTTAATAAATAGTCCAATATTGTCAACATCAAGACAATGTCACCACGACGCCTGATATTCGTAATGTTTATTTATTTATGCCATCAAAGTAGTATGAATCATTTATCCAATTAACTTTAAGGTTATGAGTGGGTTACACTTAACATAAATTTCGTAATTTATACAAGAAAAAACTGTTCTATTCGTCCTACAAGTAGGCCTATTTGCAAATTAACTTAATTATGTCCCTGTACAAATCACTTACCGCACAAAATTAAATACGTTTTGCTTCTCACATTCATTGTGGCATTATCCAAATAATCCATAAATTTAAGATTCGCGCGTACATATTTAGTCAATTCTTACGATACATTTCTTAACAGTCGACAGTATCAAAATCTTTGCCATGCATTTGTGTATATGTCGTTCGCATAAGTAAAGGTTTGACACCTTTACGGGTACAAGTTGAAAATAATTTTGTAGCAAAATTGACATCATTGGCCCTTCAGGAATTGTGTATTCGGCAAACGACATCTCAGAGAAGCCGTTTGAAAATTGACTAAAATTTGTCAAAATTGACTAAATTTGAGTAAAATTGGCAAAAGTTGACCAAATTTGGTCAAAACATGTTCAATTAAAAAATGACAATGTAAAGATTTATCTGCTACTGGTGTGGAAATGAAGTGAAGCCTAATTATCCACTTGGCAACCTAAATCAGTAACCAAGTACTACTCAGGATACATTAAATATGTATTTATTATAGAGTTGAATATTTTGAGGTACAAAAATGAGGAGTACATAAAAATTTTTTCTGTGCATTATGAGAATACATAAAAATATATGTAATACACACACATGGTTTACAAAATAGGACCACAAGAATATCGACGCCTTAAGCTTGTTCGTATCCTCAGACTGAAAAAGTTTAATCGAAATGTAGCTTATCAATATTTGGAAAGCTGGCATTTCCTAGGCAAACGTTAAAAATATTCTAGATCGGATAAAAGAATTTAAGCACTTTTCGAAAACTTGTAGTCGTTTATAATCCACAATTGTGGCAAGACCATTTTTATAGCGGTTTACAAAAATCTTGCAATCTATCCATAAGAATGTTACACTCTTCAGTAGAACTCCAACACTGAATACCGGTTACTGTTGCGTTTGCAAGCAGTATAAATTCTGCAGTTGCAAAAAACATGCTGATAATCCATCGAAAATGTGTTCTTGTATTGATAAAATAGTTTCCACCATGGCAAAGAAGCGAAGTCAAGACGATAGATTGACATGGCCCGAAAACTGTTACGATTCCCATAATTATGGAAAGCATGAAACACGTTGTTCCTGACGCTTAGAGTATAAAAGTAATGCACATATTGATTTTGGAACCAAGGCTGCCAGCTAGAATAGAAATGTGATGGGGTAATGTCAATAAATATTTATTATTTTGTGGACGTGTACGTATGTAAGTGCACAAATTACTAACCTTATGTACAACTTACACTGATAGCTTTTTTCGCCCTACATCGAGATTTTACAGTGAGTTATATCGAAAAATCAGGAATTATCTACGTGAGACTTATCTTTATTTGAATGGCCTATTTAAAGAAAGATAATGACGGTCAAAGTTCAATTTGTGAGTAAATTCTCTCGCTTTTTCCTCTAATTGGAGAACGTGTGAAGTTTGAGCCTTACAATTTTTCTTCAAACACCTCATTCAATGGAAACATAAGTTCCGTGTGATTACTAAATTCTGGCTTGATGTTTTGATACAACTAGCTTGAAAATCTCGGTGTAGCTTGAAAAAAAGGTTCCATTGTTAGTTGAATATTTGGGATTATAATTCAACCAATAGCTCAGTTCGTTGAAGCTTTTTCTGAGAGGGTTTTATAACGTAGGTAGTATTATTTGCCAGGAAATATTTAAGATTTTTTCGTAACTCTTTACATTAGCTAGAAAGTAGTGACGGATACTATTGGTCAGCTTGGCATCTTAAGGTTTTGAGACTGGTTTGAAGTAGTCACGAAATTTAACAGTCCAACCTCAAACGGAGTCGACTGGAATGTCAAATCGTACAAGGAACGTGAGCGCATATTCTATTGCCCCAATTGTGGCTTCGGAACGTTTGATAATGTCGTTTGGGTACAATGTAATGAAATATAGGCGACATAATGTTGCCAAGAAGTGGGCAATTATACTAAGAATGACAAACCTTTGTTGAGTTTGTGATTTTAAAACAATTCTTCCTGCTACGGTGTCCCATTTGACTAGTAAACATTTGAGGTAGTTTCCATGGTAGCGTTGAATGACGCTCGAATCTCCGTTGGGAAACATATTCTATTCCAGGTATTTAATCTTCCACGATTCTTCGAAATTTCGGAATGTATCTACTTCAATGAAATTGCTTGAAAACTACTTATTTTAATTTCCTGAATGCTACTTGACTACAAACTTTAGTTTTTATTTGCAACGCTTAAAATAACGTAATCATATTATTAATAATGTAGTATTTCTCATTCAAGATATTTTTATTAAGTGAAAGTTATGTTTCGTATTTCTCTACGAAAGGGAGCACAACAACTGAATAATTAATATTTCTTAATTAAACCATGTATCCTACCTGCTCCCACCAACCATGTAAGACAACAGAAATATAATTCACAACATTTCAAAAGCGAAATGTCCATTATTATGAGGAGTTTAATTTAATTGAATAATATGTATGGGAGGTTGGCACACAAAATTGAATATCTAATTATGTATATGATAATAACGCAGCTTCTTCATAGAAAGATGAACAGAGAAATTAGCTGACTATCATTATTATTACTAGTTATTGTGAAAATAAATGAATGAAAGTATTACTGTGCGACTATCCAATTCACATGATTCTAGATTCAATTTACATGTTTATTGTCTCAATCATATACGTGTTTACAAACATATGTAAAATACACATGTGCACAAGCACTTTTTTGACAACTTATGTTTTCAGAACCTTATCGACATCCCAATACTCACTCTTGTATTTAGGGTTACATCCTTGAACCAAGGATCTTATCTCCCATCCTTGCAAAAATGAATAACCGATAAGCTCCGATTTTGAGAAACAAATTGAGTTTCCAGAAAAATCGTCGTTGACAAAGCCAGTCCAGCTTGACCTTCCAGTAAAAACCATGAAGGTGGGAACAAATCCAAAATTGTTGGCAGATAAGCCAGTAAATGTGCGCTCATTTCCACCCGTCGCGCTATAAGTAGTTCCGCTATAGATTGAAACAGAAGGCGTTTCTGTTTCCATGGGTCCCATAAATCGCAAAGACATTGTTAAAGGGAACGTTCTATTCCAGCAAAGGAGTGTAGTATCAGGAGAAACAAATCCGAGTGTGTTCGAAATAGTGTAATCGGTACCACTGTATCCCTCCCAACTGGACAAATGCGAAAAAATATGCACAAATGTTAAAAAATAAAAAAATATACAAATCAGGTTCATATGGACCCGGATGTATTTATTGAATTCTTGATATTAAAATTGCTACCTCTTGGTATTCAAACCTTACCCGCTTGTAACAATTTGCTACCGATAAGGTTAAAGATTGATACCGAGCTATCGCTTCACGATATTACTTCAATACCACCTTGGTAAACTCATAGGTTTATGTTTGAATACCGCTAGGTATTATTTGAGTACTGGATTTCTAAGTGGATAAGTGTGCATGTATGTAAATTGTTATTTTATAAAAAAATCAGAGGAACTTACTATCCTTGTAAGCAATATGATTTCACGTTTCTCAAAAGTTCCGAATAAGGAGTAACGTCTGGCTCTTTGCTCTGAAATCGGGTCGCATTCCCGCCATAATCGGGTTCCGGGTAGAATGTTATTTCTTGAACATAGCCTACCGTAAAATAAACACAGGTGGCGAACGAAAGCAGTTGAAGAAACATTTTGTAATTGCCAGTCCTGAAAGTTGAATCATGAATTTTTCCAGAACCGATTGCATTTTATACCTGAACCTCATTACATCACTACTTTGCTATGGAACAATGTACGAAGTTTGAGTACATTTTTATAGATAAGGTAACGCTCTTAACTCGCGTGAATCATGCATATCTATAATTGAACCAAATTTTGAGTCATATTCAGTTTGATTAATGTACTGTATCGCAGCGTGATTGATGATCAGTGTACGTGAAGATATGCAAGTACATACAGTGCCCGGGGAAGCCATGGGGACATCTGGGGACAATGACATCAATGGAATGGGGAGGGCTGAGTTTAAGTAATATGGACAGATCATGGAGACATCGAATAACTTTGGTGACTTTGTTCCTACATATATTCCCTCGCTTTCGCGGCCACTGCATACATACATAAAAAATTGTCAAAGCTGCTTCAAGTTGAAATAAAAATAATTTGATTTGTTTTTCGTATAAAGTGTGCACTAAATTTTTTTTGATCGAAAACCTTTGTGTTTCTACATAATTTTGCTTCGAACATATGTAGGCATGCTTGAATGCTCGGATTGTTCTATGTGTAGCTCAAACCCGACAGGTGTACCCAACATTGGTTTATTGAAGGCTCCAAGTTATGTTCATAAATCCTAAACAACTTTGTGATTGTGACTGCAAACTCAATTCGATCAGGGTCCACGTCAAATAATTTATTGACTTTAGACCAAATATATGTACAGATGTTGTTTAGTAGATTCAGCATCTACATTCTTAAATCAAATTAATGTGTAGCTTAAGAAATTAAAAATAAGATTCTAAACCAACCGTATGAGAAGAAATGACTGATGAACTACATATGGAAACAAATTGTACACCCTGTATATATCAATGTGCTTATCTAAAGGTTATTCAAACAGGTTAGGTTATTCAAACTACTCTTACATAACTGACCTTTTGTACCAATCTTGAGCCTTGAGCTTGTACCCACTTGGATTTTCCCATAGTGGTTGTGTAATGCATTGGCATTTTATCACTTGACATTGATTGAGCTCAAACTATTGCATAAATATATTCATATTTATAGCTACATATTGATGCAATTGTAAAACAATAATTATAGATGCACCTAAACGTAATATTTGACCAATTTATATGTAGTTCCGTATTTGCGACCAACTTGTCTTGCGAAGAACGCTAATTTTCTACGAAATTTAACCTAAATTGAGCGAAACGAATTTAAGCGAAATTGATTTTGGGGTTGCCAAAATTCCCGATACGCACAATAGACTTCACTGCATCTGACCTTTGACCTCCTAAACCAAGGGTTGTCACAGACCAAAATGGGTAAATAAATACGTACCACAAACTGACTAACATTTCCTAAGGATGAGAATTAAGTGTTAACGATTTGCGTCATCTTTACAAATTTAATAATCGTCCAAGTCACCCACACTGTAAAAACCAAGCTATCACCTACCCGGAGTATAGTGTCTTTACGAATATTTAATTGTGCTTTGCAGGGTTGCCGCGGGTAGCGAAAATGCTACCCGTTACCCGACCCGCTACCCGCAGCACAACTACCCGTACCCGCACGGGTACCCGTTACCCGCTACCCGTTATGAGAATTACCGTAAAAACTCAAATAGTAGCCGTTACTCAAATAGTAGCCGTGCTCAAATAGTAGCCCTGCGTTTTTTCATAATTTTATAAATAGTGACCTTGCTCAAATAGTAGCCCTGCCCAAATAGTAGCCTTATTCGAATTATAGCCGTTCATCGACTTACCCACACATCTCCTAGCCAGGTCATTTAAGTAATTCAATTATAATTCAATTTAATCGCAATTACATACATACAAAAAATCGAAGTGAACATGAAATTCGGCTCAGAAGAAATTGGTTAAGAGCAGGTTTAAACAATAGAATTGTCATAGGCTGCATTTCTAGGGGAGAAATTGATGCTGTTATTAAAATTTAATTTGAGCTTGATTCTGGAAACAAAATTCAATAGCTGGTTGCAAATAGTAGCCGTGCATCTTTCCATCATTTTATAAATAGTGACCCTGCCCAAATAGTAGCCTTGCTCAAATAGTAGCCGGGTCCCAGACACCGATTTTGTAAATAGTAGCCCCCGGCTACTATTTGAGTTTTTACGGTAAGTTAAACACTAACCGACCTTCAAAATAAATTTGATTTTATCAATCATGTTCTCGTTTGGGTTGTTCATAGTTTAGAGATAGAGAGAAGTATCACGCGATTCCCTAATTTTTGGCTGGGCTTTTTGATATAACTAACTACACAATCTTGGAATTATAGGTTGAAACAAGGTTCCAGTGTTAGTTTGATTTTTTTAAATTTTGATTTTAATGAGGCTTTGATTAAAAAATCGTCCACTAATACAATTTTTGTCTTCAATCGGGTTGAGGGGTTTCACCGCACAAATTAAAAAATGATCAGTTTTACATAAATACACATAGATACACAAAAGTCAAATTAGTCCAGTTATTTTAGAGCAGGCAAATTATGCTTGAGAAACAATGATTTCTCCGCATTTTCGGGACGTGAAAAGTATTAGTGGCTGATGAAGGCTTCTGTGGCTTCCGAAAAGACACGCTCGCAATAAACGCTTATTGCTGGGAAAATATCAAATTTTGAGGCGGATACTAAATATGTAAATAATAAAATCATACTTCTGTAAATCTAAGGCCTGATGAGCTTCTAACTTTGTTTGTGAGCTAATTTATGGCCAAAATTGAATAAAAACTGAACTACCCGTTACCCGTGCGGGTAGTTCTTGCTACCCGCAGATAACGGGTACCGCATAAATCGTGCGGGTATGCGGGTAACGGGTACCCGACCCGTTACCCGCGGCAACCCTAGTGCTTTGCTCGTTGGAATTAAAGAAAGTGACTGAGTGAATTATACGATTATTTTATCTACTTAAACTAGATTTTATTTCCAACAAATTACTAATTGTCAACACAATTCAGAGCTCTGCACTAACACGAGTTGATTGGTGACTAACTATAACGACAAATTAATCGTGGACATCAATAACAAAGAATTAACAATTCTTACTCTTGATTTCCTACCACGACGACTAAATCCAAAATGTCTGACTTTAACAACGACTAAAACTCGACTGTGTAGACTTCTTCTACCTACTTACTTACTACGACTACGACTTATAACAAAGAGAGACGCGCACCCAAAAATCCCACCCTGACGTCACCATGGCAACCACCACCACGTCACGGGGCAATCTTACACGCATATTCAACAATTTACAAAAATACATAAAACAATTTTATAAATACATCATTTTACATTTAACACACACATTCTTTAATCTGCCAAAATTAATCTGAATTTAATTTATTGTGAAATCGATTTGTCAAAATTGTTACTTCCACATTCATTAAGGAAATTAAGCCGTAGGTAATTAAACATTTGTAGGATTTAATTTAATTGCGTGATGGATAAACAAATTTATCGATGATTAAATTTTGTCACGGAGATTACATATTATTATGTACATCCCTCAAGAAAATCCGGGTATTCATCTACCCGTTAAACAGTACCTCATAATTTCAAGCCCAGTCAATAAACAGTGAATGGACACCTACATAGATGTACATATTACAAAATAATTTTGATTACCAGTTAATTTAATATGTCTAAAAATCGAGGAATAAATGCGTCTAGGCACGAAATTAAATATGGGAAAAAATAAATCCAAAGCATAGAATCCAATTAATTCCTGTTTAATTTATTAGTGTGATGAATCACTCAACAATTTGTTTCTTCAAAGAACATTATTTGTTTGTTTATAAATTGGAAATCTGCCCATTCACAGAAAACCTTACTGCAACCATATCCCAATCTTGGCGCCAAAGTCAGCCACCCAAGCTCGATTAGTGCTCAAGGTATTGATCGAATTATTCAGAGAGTTTCGAACGGCGCCATTTGTGACCACTTCTAATGCCCGCATGATAAAGATATTTATCTGGAAGGAAAAATATTATTTTTTTGTGAAATACAAATTTATGATGTTGGTCGGGTCGTGTCTCAGGTCTAATATGCACGATTTCAAAGTATATAACAGCCAAGGTTTCCTAGAGTATGCTCTCGGATTTTGATACAATTCGTGTCAACCGATCACAAATTTACATATATATACATGTACATATTGCGGTGCATCGAAGTCAACGGGACGGATTTGATTTGAATTTCCGACCGCCTCCAATGTTAATCAAGTGGGCACGTGATTTTGGCGCGTAGAAATTCTGTCCCGTTGACTTCGATGAACCGCAATAGGTACGTATGTAATTATTAAGACATTTTTAAAATACATTGTCCCCCATTGTTCGGTTTTGGTAGAGAAACTTGAATTCCAAAATTTGTGTACTCTCCACTTTGGATACCTCCAATAAACATGGACATTAAGAGATTGTGTCTTTTTCAAATTTAATACTAATTAAAGCTGCGATCGAGTACTAATTTGGTCAGAATCTGAGAGCATACCGCAATTGTAAGACGAACCAATTGTAAAATCTTTTACCCTTAAAGTTTTTATATTTGATGTTTACGTACCCGAGCGCTTTCTGTCTCTCCAGAAGTATAACCGGCCATAGTTGAGACCACGTTGCCTATAATAGTCTCCCCCAATCTGAGAAAAACAAAGCGATAAAATAATTGCACTGTAAAAATATAGTATCGAACTCTTACGTATTGATAATTCGCTCAAGGTTGTCGGTAAAGTAAGTGATGATCACGTCCCTATTTTGCGGACTCGCGGCCAGCCTGTTAATAAAGGTCGTGGTATGTTCCGACGAAAAAGGAGAAGCTCCAGAAGTTGTCAGGTTTAGCCACCTAATTCATAAATAAATGATATATCTTCTTCAGAGTGGAGTCGTACATATATCAGTTTTTTTGATAAACCGTCATGTGTTTCTAATCCAAAAAACGAATCGGAGATATTTTGCTAAATTCAAACATCCGATTAGATTGGATGGTATATTTTGGAAACAAAAATCAGGTCGGATCGGGTTTTTTAAACATTGATCCGACTCAACTCTGGTTATATTCGACTTTGCAAGCATTCTATTTATACAAGGCAAAAAATTATTCCATACATTTCCACATAATCCGTAGAATCACAGGCCAAAGCGTTGACAAAAATGGTGAATCTCTCGGCCCTTGTAGCTCCCTGGTACTGTTCGAGAAGGTACTGTTTAACTGCGAATTGGTTTGGCAGGTTGAGGGAGTCCGAAATGCTGACGCTCTTACAAAATATGACCGGTTGCAGATCAGCTGGTACGCTGGAATCAAATTACTCCACGTAATTTATTGTGTAAAGCTGTCAATATTGTAAGTTAATTTTAATTAACTTACCCGACTCCGGATGCAAGTTGGACAGCATAACTTTCAGCGACGCTATTACAGTTTGGTGAGCCCAGAGAACAAGCCCAATCCAACAGCTGGGAACGAAGTATGATTTTCGTCGGCGTATCGGCCCCATTGTTTTGTTCCCATCCGAGGCGGTCTAAAACGGGGGTGATTTTCGAGAGGAGGTAGGTCTGCAAAGGACATGTAACATCTTGGTATTTTAAACGTTTTCAGCACACTCTTAAAAATAATGTCAGCCTTTTGAAAAGTAAATGCAATCTGCACTGGACATTAAGTAAAGGGCCGTCCGTAAATTACGAATCGTGAAGGGGGGAAGGGGGCTTCAATGATATTGTGCACATGTTAAAGGGGGAGGGGGCCTAAAAAAATTTTGCGTTACGTAATTTATGAACGGCCTCTAAGCTAAACTAGTTCCAAAATAACCTTAGATTGGTAAAGGGTAAAGTTTCCTCTAGATTTGGCATATTTAGTTTGCTCAATATGAAATTCAGCGTGCATTTGCATAATATAAAAAATATTTTTCTAAGTTCTAAAAATAGTTCTGAGTTCAATTCAAAAATAGAACTCAGAGTTTCTGAGTTCTAAAAATTCAATATTTGTGTTCCTACCTTAAAGGTGTCGTAGAACGGAGCATCGACCAGATATTGATTGATTGGTCTCAAGTTGTTAAAAACTGCAATCCAAACGGCAGTGTTGTCTTCTTTGTCGAGATATCTCGTCAAATCCAACGCATTTTCGATCTGAGCGTTCTCCCATCCCTTTGTGGGAAATACTTTGAAATAGTCATCGATCAATTGGCCCCTCGTATTGGACGATATAACCGTATGATCCACACCAAGTTGGGTGATAAGTAAGGCAATAAAGTGAGAACAGTAAATTGTTCGGAAATAGCCTAAAACAAGAGTTTGTCAACAATACAAAAATTGATATGTTAAATTTTGATGGACTTTATGACTCATTGCTATAATCGCCAAAAACCAACACATTTTTAATCATTTTTTCCGCTCGGAACTTATTTGAAAATTCTGGAGGACGACTTTGTAGGTGAGGTCGTTGTCAAATTTAAAAAAATATACACACCAGATTCTGACACTTTTTGAAGGAGAAGATCTCAAGTTTAAAAAAGCTTTAAAAGTATCAACTTTTTTGGAATTTGAGCTCAGAATTGTCGCTTAGAATTTTGAAATAAATTCCCAGAGCCGCGAAATGATTAAAAATGTGTTGATTTTTTATGAATTATCGAATCCTGCATTAATTATTTTACGCACTTCTCGCATCCGGATTGACAACAATCCATTCATCTGTTGCCACGTCTAAAATTTTGGTTTGGTTTTGAGTTCCAGGTTCAAACCAAAATTTGGGAACCCAACTTGCACTCGAGAAATCTGGGCTGGATCCCTGTGTGTAAGCTATCGGAGTGTACCACACGCCCGCTTCTTGCGTGGCGGTTGGATCCCATGGCGGTGGATTCAAACTAAATTTCTCCTAGATTAAAATATTAGATAATAAAATAAATTAAAATAAACCAAGATATAAATTAATTATTCGTTTTTTTTGCTGCTCACATGTCTAAACAGGATGCTATCCGGGAACCAGGTCACTTGTACGATTGGAAATCCAGTTTCTATCGTCCACGTGTCCATGATTTGTTTCACTGTGTAATCAACCAGTGTTCCGTCTAATTCGGCTTGGTTTTGTAGTTCAGCGAAAAGATTGTCTTGCACCGTATTGGAATAGGCACTAGATAAAAAAATATGTAAGCGTAAAAGTTTCCGAAATTTATAAGGAGTCAATTATTAATCGAAACAGGTCTCGGAGCCCTTCGCAACTTGTTAAAACCCGAAATAGTTGTGTAAAATAATTGTACAAGCTTTACAAAAATAAAAAGACGCCCTTGATTTTTGTAAAGTCCAAAAAAATTACACCCTTATAAAACTGGTATTAAATCATTACTGAAGGACATACACCTGACATGGTAATAACGGTGATTACCGTACACTACATAATATTCTTAACTTACCACTCAGAAACAAACCGTTACCAATCCGGTAGGAAGTTATTACCCAATCAATATGTACCAGTAAGGAGTACATTACACCAATGTGACTTAATACCAGATTTTTAACAGTGTAAGCTAATTTTCCTTGGAAACATTTGTAAACGTTTATGGATTCAAAGTTTAAAGTACTTGGTAGGTACATTGCCTCATTTTTGTATAAAATATGTATGTGTATTATACTTACTGTGTTCGCAAATAATTTCTTATCCCAGCAATGAACGTTTCTTCCGACAAGAATCCCTGCATCATTCTAATTAGAGAAGCAGCCTTCTGATAAATGATAGTGGATGGTTGCGAGTTGACAATTGTGGTGTCGTTATGATGCACAGGGCCGGTGTTAGGACCAACGTCGTAGGCCATGGCGACCTGGAATTTGTCCAACGGGTAGCGATCCATAGCCTCGACGTCAAATCCGGTCGCATTTTCGGCCAGGAGTTCCATGTATGAGGCGAATCCTAAATATTTAAGTTATTCTCATGTATTAATTTAAGAAGTATTTTAAAAAAGCAATTGTACTTAATTATTTGTGAATTATTTAAATTATTTAAACCTTCATTTAACCAGAGGTCATTCCACCTAAATAAAAACCCAAGTTAAATATAACCAGTTTTCTTAGGTGAACTCATTGAATGATATTATTTGCTCGGAAACTAACCAGTCACAAGTAACCAGGTCGCCAAACCAGTGATGTGATATTTCATGGGCTACATAAATATATACATAACTTATTGAGAGGTAAATTGAGACACTTAAACCATTTCTAGATATTATTTAATTACCAAATACTCTTGCGATGCCCCATTTTTCATTTTGTGTAGTTTCACCATCAATAAATAGTAGATAATTTAATCGATACGTGTTAAGTGCCCAGTTTTCCATGGCTGGAAATATATGAAAACCAGAATTTAAACATGAATTATGTATTAATTGTATACGTAGTAAAAATATTTAATTACCTCCCGCCGAAAAATCTGGAATTGCGGCTGAGTCAAGTTTCGAAAATTGGTAAGGCGATTGCAAATAATTTTCGAAAAAAGTAAGAATTTGAGCTGATATGGAAAGACTTGTTTAAATCGTCATGTCATCCAACAACCAAAAACACTGTATTTATTTCTCTACATTTTAATTATCTATTTACCGGCAGATGTGGCCGCAAATCCTGCCGTTGCATTACTTGTCAGAGTGGGCGGACCCCAAGCCTAGCGGAGTAAGATTAATTTTTTGATAAAGTAATTTTTGCAAATAATTTTAAGGAAGGTTACAATTTCGGTTCCACATGTGCACGAAATTATGCTGTAAAGTGCACGAAATGCAAGAAACTGCACAAAATGAATAAAACTGTAGATATTTACCTTGTCAAATTTTAAAACGTTTGATCAACGGTCACTTAAAGAATATATGTCTTTTAAATCATTTTGTTACATATTTCGTGCATTTCATGCAGGTCATGCTTTATGCATGAAATCTCATAAAATGCATTTCGTGCGGGTGGTTAAAACCGGCCGAAAAACGGATCGCATGCATACCTTAACGTCATAATTGGACAACTCTGGGGCGGCTTCGACAGCAATAAAATCCGACACAATGATGGCGATAAGATACGTGGACATTCTAACTGTGGTGGCGTGGTGGTCCCAAAACCAGCCTTCCAGTCCAGGTCTAAACGAAAGGTACAAATCTTACCATCTGTGCATATCTGCCAAAAAATTAGTTTTATACATATTATTGAACCCTTACATCGGCACGGTCTCTAGAATGGGTGCATTGGACAAACTATGATACCCATCCGGCCGACCGATACTTATGTTGAAGGTGCTCTTGAAATTGGGTTCATCAAAACAAGGGAATGCCAACCTTGCCCCCGGTTTTTGAAATTGAGTGGTTGCCAGCCACCTAAAAAAATAACCTCAGCATTAAGTTACTTTGTTCAGGTACATATTTAAATAATTTTATTCTGACTCACACTTGATTCCCAGCTTCGTTACGATAAGAACTTCGGTACAGGCCGGATAGGCGATTCCCAACTTTGGCCAGGAAGGGAATTGTCACATCATAGTTTAAAACGGTGCCGAGTTCTTCCTCCAAGATCAAGGTGTACGTCGCCATTGTGGGATTAGTTGAGTGGGTGAGGACTCGGATAGAAATACTGGTCCCGACTATTCTCACCTGAATAAAAGTGGCAAGATTTTTCATAAAAGTTTCATTTATGCGTAACTGTTCAAAAAAAATTCTTCACTCAAAATTCATTAAATTTAAAAATTGGAATACATTATTAATTCGTTAATTTTTTATGTAGAATTTGAAAATAAATATTTGTTCATTACTCATAATTCACATTTTATTCATTTTATCTCAAATTCCTCTTATTTGAGATATTTCCCCATATTTCTGTTCAATACGTATGCAGAGTAACGTGAAAGAATGACTAATACTAAAATTATTAATTAATTTTTGATGCATATGAAATAAACAAATATTTACTCAATATTTATTGATTCGAGAATTTTTATAAAATTATGAACTAATTATTCACAAATTTGGTGAGTAATAAGTCAATAATTTATTAATTCTCTTACTAAATAAATGAATGTGAACATGTATGCCTCTATGCATTCAAAAATTAATAAAAGTATTTACCTGAACATTTGTAAAATCAATGTCCATATCGTTGGCATGAAGTGTCACATTATTCGTGGGAGTGACCACTTGCAACCTAATCGTTACTTCTCCAGGGGCCGTGAATTGTTGGGGATCATCCAGCGGCAGATTCACGATCGGCCTCAACTGCAAATTGTAGTGGAGGGGCACCACATCCTGCGAGAGTCGGACCCCCGCCAACAAATGGGGCGATGGCGACGCGTCCTGCTCAAAGGTGGAAGAGAGATCGATTTGTAGCGGAAGTGGGGGCGGGTTCGCAAAAATTGTGCTAGCTGAGACCAGCAAAATCAGCAAAATTGGCGTGGTCATTATGTGGAACAAATTATTTTTTTATGAGAAATTGTAACGATTTCACGGATGATAAATTACTACTGTGCGTTATTATATAATTGAATGGTCGTATTTATTCGGTTCTGGATACCTAATTTGATTCAGGAGGAATTTATCAATGAGATTTACCCTGTCAGATTGGGTGATTTATGCGATTTTGGACAATGTATGTATCTGTTTAGATACATATTTGGGTGAATGTATCATTGTTTGGGCTAATCTTGCTAATAATGCACATAGGTATGTATGTATGTATGCACGCTTGGAAGACAGATTACCGGGAATTCCCAGGCCTGGGTGTTTGCTTTGCATAAATTATGAGTAATTGTAATCATTATGGATAAAACGCATACTTGTACTAATTAGTTTGCACGGATGAGTGCAAAACATTGAATCAAACTGGACCAGACTGATGCAGATAAGATCACGAGGTGAATAAGTTGGGAATAAGTGAGGAATGTGAATGATGCAACAGTTATGATCTCATGGATTAATTAAAGGTCAATTACACACTTCCAGAAGAAACTTAAGCATTGCACGTGTTTAGCCGTAATAAATAAATACATGCATGCATATTTATATGGAAATAAGGATGTATGTCTACGAGAATCACGCAGAAGCTTAATTATGATCACATGCATACGAGATGCAATAATGATGACGATCCGAAATGAGAGAGGCATACATATGTGCACCTCTAAAAATAATGTAATCCTTTTGAAAAATAATGCACACTAAATTTAATATTATTAAGAAAACGATACGAAATCCAGAGTAAACTTTAGTCCTCATAAAGTTAACGTTACTCTGAATTCAGTACATTGTTAAAATGTGGTGAACCTGGACATATGCACTCACTGGTAGTGTACATTTTGGAATAACTTCCTCCCTGGTTGGTAATAGTGGTGTGGTATACCGTTACCATGCATACCTACATATGGTAATGTCCGTTATCTTTTACCATCCCGGTGCAAGACACTTACTCTCCATTCGCATCGCACATAGTAGAACTTAAACCGAAATTGAGATTTCTGAGAAACTAATGAACTGTTAGTCTCAAAGGACCCCGTCAGCATAATTTGAGGGAATTTGAGACTGATAGTACCGTAGTTTCTGAGAAATCTCAATTTCTGTAAACGTTCTACTGTGTGCGAATGGACAGCATGTACTCCTGTCGGTAATGATTCAAGACAATATTTCTAAGAACGTACATGTATAGGTAAGTACAGTTTACTTAATAATGGATCCAGGATGAATTTATTTTTTAAAGGGTACCATTATTTTTTTAAATCACTTATATATAAGTAAATATGTACACATGCATATTTACTTTTGAATTGAGTTATTTCCATCCTTGATATAAATTTGGAAATTTATATCGGTATCAAGGGACACATTTGTTTGAAATATATTTTAGTGAACTTCTTCTGGCAAAAGTTTTTCAAACTTATTTTTTTACACGTATTTATTTATATATGCATTCCTTTTCATACGTATAAACACGGCACCAGTCCTTTGCTCCCTGATGTGCGTGGATGTACATGCGTAGTATGTATGTACATATCCATAGCACGCACATATGTATCTTTGGCAAACCTACCTACGCATGTACATACCTATTTTTTACGCAGTTTTCTCTATGTAGTCAGCTGCGTATACGGGCAAATGTATGTATGAAGGGACAGAAGAAAACTAGTCCAGCTTTGAAATTCGACAATTGTCAGCCAATACATACATGCATACATATTTCGTTACATTGAACCTTCATTAAAGGAAAAATAAGAGAGTGTGTTATAAATATTAATATTTTAAATCGTAAGTCAACGACATAAATTATTCAAAATTATTGGTCCATTGATATTGACTAATTTAACCCAATCATTCACAGGGAGTCAGGTTCCTGCAGGGAACCGCAGAACTAATTTAAGCCTACTATTTTCATGTGTGCATACACACATCCTACGTCAAGTATGTAATATACCTCTTTACACTCTTAAAAATAGCATTACACTTTTGTTCTTGCATTAAATAAACTGATCTGATCTAATCAAAACTCAGAACAAGCCTTACTTTTAGGGCTACTTTGGTTTTGGAACTGTTTAAAATTGAGAGTTCATTTATTTTTTAAAAAGGTAATATAATTCTTAACCAATTTATTTTTTTGAATTTAGACAATGCTCCCAAAGTTTGTGAAAAGCGTTCTACAAAAACAAGCCGATCGTCGCCAAAATGGAGACGAGGAGAGGGAAATTGCACCTACTTTCTCCACAATACGGGAACAAGGGGTCGGATACGAGTCACAATTAAAATACTTGCAAGACAACGTCATCACGCCGTTTCTTAATCGCGTCGTGTACCAAAATTCGGGTCAAGCAGAGGAAAAAGTCCCGCAGGGAGCGATTCTTTACGGCACTAATAAAGATAGAATATCCCTCATCGCCAGGGCCGTAGCGAACGAGTTATCCTTTCAAAGTGGGGGTGACTATGTGCATTATATCGAAGGGAAAAAAATTTTGTTTGTAAAAAGTAAACCGCTTGACATGTTTGCAAAACCGTCCGAAAGGGTCCGAGCGGCCATGGAAACGGCGTTCGAAAAGGCCAAGGGGTATGACCCGGCTGTCATTTTCCTGCCAGATTTCGGCTACTATGCCGGTAAGTGCACGTGAAGCCAATTTCAGTCCTTGGGGGACATTAATAAATTATGTCACGGAAAAATCACGACTTTCTAGACCCCCTCTTTAATATGCGTAAGACTGGAATGATATCATATATTTTTTGTACCCTCACTTTCCCCTCTCAAGTGACATCAGTTATCAACGGTCCCTCTGGGTCAAGTATAAAACGGATGACAATGTGGTTTACACAAATTGATGTCGATTCTTAATTAACATTCATAAGTAAAAATAAATGAATCGAAAAATTCCGGAAGGAGTCTTAATAAGGAACACAGATTCAGTGCCCCCATGCAGAATTATATACGAGGCAAGTTGTGCATATTGCCACAATTTTTCAACTTTGAAACTCCGTATCTGAACAAATGTGAGGCAAAGGAAATAACCTTGTTGATAAGAGTGTAATTTGTTTTAAACCTTGCAATATTTTTAATTGCATGCAAGATGTCCTTAGAAGAATTCTTGTGACAATGCACCGTACGATTTTACGCATGGCCGTAGGGTTTTCCGCGTAGGATAGGTTTGCGTTGTAAATTCGCGGGGAAAAATCAAAAACTTAAATATATATTTGTATCCAGACACTCTCTATTAGAAAGTCCGGAGATGCAATACTCTTAAAAGTCATATTCGTTTATGTATTCTAATTTATTATTAATTCCCCTTAAACAGGCTACAGAACACTCGAACTACTGGCGCAAAAGATGGCTCAAACTCAGCGTAAAACCCTCGTCATCGGCAGCGTCAAGGATAAAAGCAAAACTGAAGAAATTCTATGGAGAACCCATACATTGTTAAAATTCCTTCAAATTCCGAACTTTTTAACGACCCAAGCGCGACTGGAGGTCTTGCACGCGTTCACTTCGAAATGGGGTTACCTTCCGGACGCTGACGATCTACGCTTCGTGGCGGACATGACGTTGCCCCCGTTTGGAGAGGAGCGAGGAACTGAAGAGGATTTGAAAACTGTGGCAAAATTCGCGTATCGGCGGGCAGTGAGAGGTTGCAAAAGAGTGAGGGACTCGGTGACACCGACGTCATTGACAGGACACGGGTACACGTGAGCTTAGAAGATTGGAAAGAGTCCCTTAAACAGCTTCTGGAGGGAGATATTCCGTCGGGGTCTTCTCATGGCTTAGCAGACTCGATCCAAACCCTCCAAGCAACTCGAGAACAATTGGAAATTTCGCGCAAGCAACTAAAGAGACCAGAATGCTTCAGAGGGAAATCATTGAAAAGAAAATCTGTAATGAAATGGTGGTAACAAACCCGGAGCAAGTTTTGGATAAAATTAAATCGTTTTGCACTCATGGAAACATTAACCTGTTAGAGGTAAGAGATGAATGGTGTGAGGACGAGAAAAATATCGATATCACGATTAAGATTCGTCTCCCGATGAAGAAGATTAATGAAGAAGCGTAAAAATTTAATAAACACAATATTTTCAAGTGTGCAATAAATGAGTGAATCTCCTTTTATGCATTCGTTGTATTTTGTAATCAGAATGAAATAAATTATAAGCTAAACGTAATTTTAAAATATCCCGAAAATTCAATAGTCTAATGTTTAATTGCATTTCAACACATTTATGGCTAAGGAATTAAAATTAGGCGCATTACTGGCTGAGAGGATTATTGGCCGACATTGTAATGCTTATTGAAAAATAAAACTCGGACTACTTTACCAATTGTTGAGCGATTTTCAAAATTGCGACTGTTTTGGAAACCTCAGGTCAATTTGCGAAATCTTCATTCCCAGATTTTTTAAATTCGACCAAACCCCTTCGAAATTAAGGTCACAAGCTTAAAAAATGCATAAAATACAATTAATACATACAGCGGAATTTGAAAGCACAAAAATCGATCTGAATGTCGCAAAAATACCTGGAACCCCTGGACACTCTGAACAATGTGCAAGGAGTCATATGCCATACCCCAGTCAGTGTGGTCGTAGCCGCCTTTTCGATTTCGGTGAAACCATGTCATGTGATATCTCATTTTTCTCAGGACGTAGAGGACATTACGACTGAATACTTAAATTTTACGAAACACCCCCCCACTGGGGGTGGTCCTTGGCGACTTTTAGATTTTAACGAACACATGTCATGTGACATCATTTTTCTCAGGTCGATACGAGCATTACGACTGAATACTTAAAATTTTAAAGCCACACCCCCAGTGGGCGTGGTCATCTGCGACTTTTAGATTGGAAGGAAACTATATCATGTGCTATATAATTCTTCCCCGACCGATGAGGAGATTTCCACTGACAAACTAAAATTCTTAAAACCACAGCCCCATTGGGTGTGGTTATCTGCGAATTTTCGATTTTGGTACATCCATGTCATGTGACATCAATTTTCTCAGCTCCGGGCTGACTAGATGTCGGACTAATTCCGACAGAGCCAAAGTGCAGTCGATACATAATTCCGAAAGGGCCAAAGTGCAGCCGATGCTTAATTCCGAAAGGGCTAAAGTGGTGTAGATACTTAACTCCTAAAGGGCCAAAGTGCAATCGATATTTAATTCCGGAAGGGCCTAAGTACACAAGAAAAACTACTGAAAAGACCTAACTACATTTTCAGTATAACTGCATATATAACGGCAATCCCTGAACCTCTGAATATTTAATTTTTAAAATTTTAACTCTGCGATGGTCACGACCGACCTTTAGTATTGAATTAAATATGGTAAAATTTAAAAAATTAAATATTCACAGGCTGAGGGATTGCGGTTATATATGCAGTTATATTCAAAATGCAGTTAGATCTATTCAATAGTTTTTCTGGTGCACTTTGGCCCTTTCGGAATTAGTCCGACGTAGAGGTATTTCCATCCTTGAGATTAATTTGGTAAATTTATATCTGTATCAAAGGACATTTTGTTTGAAATGTATTTTATTTGAGAGCCTTCATCTAAACGCAGTGAACTTACATATATATTCCTTTTCATGTGTATAAAAACAGCAACAGCCCTTTGTTCGCTGTTGTGCGTGCATGTACATGCGTAGTACATACACATGCCTATCATGTTGCTATGTATCTTTGGCAGACCTAGATACGCATGAACATACATACTTTTTACCCATTTTTCTCTATGTAGTCAGCTGCGAGATTGCGTACTGTAGTAGGGTAGACGAGCATATGTACATATGTATTAAGGGACAGCAGAAAACCAGCCCAGCTTTGAAATCGGGCAATACATACATGCATACATATTTAGTTACATTGAACCTTCATTGAAGGAAAAATAAGAGAGTGTGCTCTAAATATTTATATTTCTAATCGTGAGTGAACTAAATTATTTAAAATTATTGGTGTATTCATGTTGACTAATTTAACCCAATCATTCACAGGTGGTCAAGTTCCTGCAGGAATCCACAAAACTAATTTACACCCACACATGTACATACATAAGTGCATACACACATCCTACCGCAAGTATGTAATATACGTATTTACACTCGTAAAAATAAATAGATCACACTTTGGCCATTATATTAAATAAACTGTTCTAAACTCAGAGCAAGCTTCACTTTTTACCACACTCAAAACAAAAATTTGTCAAATCGACACCGCTGGTGTCAATATATGACTTAACCGCCTTGGTTACAATTGTAATTCCGGGTGATGGTGAAATTTTCCCGTCCGGTCATAACATTATAACCGGTATCAAAATCATCATAACTCTGATTCAACATTGTAACCAAGGCGGTTAAGGGAGCGTCCATAAATCACGTGATCGATTTTTGGACAATTTTGATCCCCTCCCCCCCCTTGGTGACCAATACTGATAGATTCATTACCCCCCCCCCCGTGATCACGTGACAGAATACACATTATTTAATACCAGCATTATTTAATACCAATGAGTAAGTATGTAGATTAAGTAATTTAACCTTCATCATGACATCCTAAGGACACCTACATACACTTATTATCTGACAGAATAATGAGAATTCTATGAATGTGCACTGAAATTTGAAAAAGTGGGAAATATGTGCAAACCAGGCCCAAGATTGAAGATTGTCAAGTAAAAATTTAAAAATACGCCGTATTACGAATTTAAGATAAAAGAGGTTAACGATTAAGTATGTAAATATACATTATCTAGTTTCTTTACATCCGAAATTAAAAGAAAAACTTTTCGTGGTTTGTCACGTGCCTGCCGACCATTACCCCCCCCCCCTTGGTGATAAATAGTGACAAATTTCAGACCCCTCCCCCCCCTTTGATCGATCACGTGATTTATGGACGCTCCCTAAGTCATATATTGACACCAGCGGTGTTGATTTGACAAATTTTTGTTTTGAGTGCAAGTTTACGTTACTCTTGATTTAGTACTGTTTAGAATTGAGAGTTTATTTATTTTTCAAACCGATAATATCATTTGTAACCAATTTATTTTTTATGAACTATTTGCCAATTTATTTTATTTATTTAGCGGATTTATTTTTGATGAATTTAGACAATGCTCCCAAAGTTTGTGAAAAGCGTTCGCCAAAAACAACTCCATCGTCGCCAAAATGGAGACGAGGAGAGGGAAATTGCACCTACTTTCTCCACAATACGAGAACAAGGGGTCGGATACGAGTCACAATTAAAATACTTGCAAGACAATGTCATCACGCCGTTCCTTAATCGCGCAGTGTACCAAAATTCGGGTCAAGCCGAGGAAAAAGTCCCGCAGGGAGTGACTCTCTGCGGCACTAATAAAGATCGAATCTCCCTCATCGCCAGGGCCGTAGCGAACGAGTTATCCCTTCAAAGTGGGGGTGACTATGTACATTTTATTGATGCGGGAAAAATTTTGTCAACTATCTCGCTTGACTTGTTTGTAAGCCCGTCCGAGAAGGGCCTAGTGGCCGTGGAAGCTGCTTTCAAAAAACCCAAGGGGTATGACACGACCGTCATTTTCCTGCAAGATTTCCACCCCTATGCCAGTAAGTGCATGTGAAGCCAAATCCAGTCGTTGGGGGACATCTATAAATTATGTCACGCAAAAATCACGAATTTCTAGACGCCCTCTTTAGTATGCGTCAGACTGGAATGATATCATATATTTCTTATACCCTCACTTTCCCCTCTCGCGTGACATAACTTATGAACGGTCCCTATGGGTCAAGTTAGAATTGGGTTAGAATTTGGTTTGTATATGCAAAATTGACGACGATCCCTAATTTAAGTAAAAATAAATGAATCGAAAAATTCCAGAAGAAAATTGTTAATAATGAACACAGATTAAAATGTCTCCCAGCAGAACTATGTTGGAGGCAAATTCAAACTTGTCGATATGAAAATGTTCATATCAAAGTAAGGTCATAATTTGTCAACTTTGAAACTCCGTATAAAAATCCCAAAGTATCTGCGGACAATGTCCTCGTCAGCGATTTTAAACATCTCAGATAGGTCAATGGTTAGGATTATTTTTCTGAATTAATTTGAGGCATGGGGAAAAAACTTCGTAGATATGTTTTTTTGAACTTTGCAATATTTTCAATTGCATGCGACATGTAAGAATAATGAGCTATCATAAATACGATTTTTCGCAAATGAAAGGTTGTTTAGGTTTAAAATCGCCACAGTGGCAGAGAAAAATCAAAAACTGAAATATACATTTGCATCCAGACACTCTGTATTTGAAAGTCTGGAAACGCAATACTTTTAAAAATCAGTCATTTATTTATTGTTGCTAACTTATTATTAATTCCCTTTAAACAGGCGTCAGCACAGTCGATCTACTAACCCAAAAGAGGGCCCAAACTCAGCATAAAACTCTACTCATCTGCAGTGTAAAGGATAAAATCGATGGTGAAGAAGTTCTATGGAGAGACAACAAAGTATTAAAATACCTTCACATTCCGAACTTTTTAACGGCCCAAGCACGACTGGAGGTCTTGCACGCGTTCACTTCGAAATGGGGTTACCTTCCGGACGCTGACGATCTACGCTTCGTGGCGGACATGACGTTGCCCCCGTTTGGAGAGGAGCGAGGAACTGAGAAGGATTTGAAAACTGTGGCAAAGTTCGCGTATCGGCGGGCAGTGGAAAGGTTGCAAAAGAGTGAGGGACTCGGTGACACCGACGTCATTGACAGGACACGGGTACACGTGAGCTTAGAAGATTGGAAAGAGTCCCTTCAACAGCTTCTGGAGGGAGATATTCCGTCGGGGTCTTCTCACGGCTTAGCAGACTCGATCCAAACCCTCCAAGACACTCGAAAACAATTGGAAATTTCCCGCAAGCAACTGGAAGAGACCAGAAAGCTCCAGGAGGAAATGACGGAAATTAAAATTTGTAATGAAATGGACTTTAAATCGGTAACAAAACCGGAGGAAGTTGTGGATAAAATTAAATCGTTTTGCACCTATGGAAACATTAATTTGTTAGAGGTGAGAGATGAATGGTGTGAGGATGAGGAAAATATCCATGTCACGATTAAGATTCGTCTCCCCATGAAGAAGATTAATGAAGAAGTGTAGATAAAACCTTTATGAACCCAATTTTCTTAAATGTACAATAAATGAGTGAAACTCCTTTTATATATTTATTGTATTTTGTAAAGTTACTTGCAGGTAAACAATAATAATTCAAATGAAATAAATTATAAACTAAACGTAATTTTAAAATATCCCTGAAATGCAAAAGTCTGAAAATGTTTAATTACATTTCAACAAATTTAATCACATGCATAGCGTTGATTGAACACACTTTTACAAATTCAAAGTGTACATAATATTTACACAGTAGTACTCACAAAAAATCACACTTGATATTATTTTTCTATGACGCCAAGCCCCAGCGTCCATGACAAAACTATTCAATATAATAATGTACAATATGTTTTTGATTAACTATCTAAATTGTTGCGGAGTTTTGATGGTCCTTATCGCTCTCTGATATGTGTAGGGAGAGAGACTTCTCTCTAGATGCACAATAAATCCCCAATCAACAGTGTTTCTATCTCTATTTTGCTACTTTATTCACACAAAGACACATTCATACACTAAAGAAATCTAGCCTACCTAACCTACGTAGACCTACGAGGAGACTTAGATCTGGAGAGATGAGATGCTGGGGTCCGGATCCCTGTTTTGATGTCAGTTAACTTCTATTAATGCAGTAGAGTTGGCTCCAATGCCAACTCTTATTTCTGTTCGAGGAGAAGTTCGTGTATGCATCTCAAGTTGCTGCATACTGGAAAGGGGCATGTTCATGCTCCTTAACAAAATACATACTTCCTAAATTACAAATGCAGGTTTTGTAGTAAAACTTTCGGATATAAATTTCTTCGTAAACTCTTGAAAACGAGTGTGAAACAGCTCTTGAAAGTATATACAAACTCTTTCTTCAAGTCCCCACCAAGGGGATGTTCATAAACTAAGTATGTTACGCGAGAAGTAGGCAGGAGGGCATCAGGTTCAAAGGATATAATTATGTACATATGTAAATGACATCCATGTTAAAGGTCTACGAAATCAATATTTTTTCGTTATATAGTTCATGAGTGTCCCCTAAATTACATATTCGTGTGCGCATATTACTATTGTATCCATGTTTTTATTTGATCTTGTTCTTCACAAATATAAAGTCTGATTCGGATTCGAACTGTAAATGATATCCATTCGACAAGAGAAGGCTCCGGATTGCTTCTTTACCCTCCACAGCGACCCAGTGTTCCACGGCGAGAACCTTAATGCGTTGCAGTACGGAAAAAACATTTAAATGTGTATGTAGTTACTAAAGATCCAGTCAATTCCAAATCATTGCATTAAAAATTAACCTTGATGTCAAAAGATTGAAAGGGGAAATCCTTCAAAATTTGATATTCATGTCCTTCCACATCCAAACTGAAAAAGTCCACCGTTTTCAGGTTCATTGCCCATAAAATGCTTTGCAAAGGAAAACATTCCACGACTCCTTCCACTTCGTGACGGTTTAAATCAATTGGTTCGCCGAGGTATGCCTGTAAATATTTTTGGAACTGAGGAACGCATACAAGTTTTCATAATTGAAATCTACACTCTTAGATATCCAGTATTAAAATAATCTCCACCGTGTCATAATATGTATCTATATGACTCATCAGACATGCGAAAATTGTATAAGTAATACGGTGTAGTAATAAATTTTTCGGTATCAAAGTCTCACCATATTCGTAACAAATTTTTACAGACGGGTATAATTTTCAAACCAGGTGGTAGTAACCTTAATACCTAGAAATTAATACTGCCTGACCACACTAGATTTCTAATTTTGTACTCACCGGCAACTTGTACTTTCTCCCTGGATTAATCTTTCCCTGTCCAACCCTCCACGGATTATCGTTCAGGGTAGATTTTAGAAATTCAATCTATTTACCAATGTCTATCAATTTAATTATCCCTTAAAGTAATTTATTTTAATTTATATCACCCTTTCGATTTCTCCACTTAAGCAGACATCGGACAGCCAAGCCTTTCTGTGTTTTCGCTTCATCTTTTGAAACAAGTTTGGAGAAGCTTCTATCAAAAGCCCGGTCCAGCTTGAGCCGATCTCAAGTCCTAACGTGTTTGCAAAAAACTCCCCGTCATTCGCACCACATTCGATGAAGAAGCCGTTTTTCTGAAATTGTCAAATTTTTCTATGGCTATTCACGTCAATCAAAAACGTCGCTTGACCACAATTCTTTGCAATTTTGTGGTGTTTGCTTTGCGCAATCGGTGTAGTGAACGACTTATTAAGGTGTGAAAACCCCTTTATGGAAATGTCTTGTCTGTCCGTCCGTCGGTCCGTCCGTCCGTCCGTATCCACGATAACTTTAGAACGGATTCGAATTTCGACATCCGGTTTTCGCCAACGTGTTTCTAATTTTTGGGGACGGGATGAGTTCGAAGATGGGCGTTGTAGGTCGTAAGGTCACGGCGCCACGGTGATGACGCCAACGGTCAAAGGTGTCGAATTTTTTGTTTCCACCGTTTTAGACGTATTTTTGGATGGGGATTTCAGAAATCGCCATCATTTCGACGTGCGATGACCGTGTGACCGTGTAGACGACGCCAAAGTCGAAAAGTGACGAATGTTTTGGTGCCACCGTTTTAGACGTATTTTATAGCGGGGACTTCAGAAATCGCCATCATTTCGACGTGCGACGACCCCATGACCGTGTGGAAGGTGTTGAATGTCGAAAAATGACTTTTGTCATGTGGAGTGTCTATTGAAAGGTATTGTCGTGTACGTTTGAACTACGCGGGTGGGGTGTCAAAGCGGGGCAAAATGAGACGTGGGGTAATGTGAGACAATGACGGGAAAGTGCTGAAAGACGTTGTGGGTGTGCCACAAAGACAATTCCGTTGTGCACACAACACAACACACTGTGCTTATGGCTGTCCCAAAAGTCTCTTCCAAAATGAATTCTTTCAATTCCTTGTAGTTCCTTGAAAAAAATTCGGCGACGAAAATAATTTACCACGTCACCCCCTACTTTTGCACGCTTTATTCAATAAAAATTATATCACAGCGTTAAAAAAATTATTCGGAAAGGTACGCGGTGCAAAACTTTACGGCCTTTAATTCCCCATTTGAATAACATGTCCCAAAAGTCTCTTCCATATGTCGTAAAGTTTTGCTCTTGACTGTATAAATACAGAAACTAAAAATGAGACGAAAAATGAAAATTCACAGACGAAGATGAAATTGTGAAAAAATAGTTTTAGAGGATTATTGATACCTTTTTGTAACGCATATTTCGTAAAAAAAATCATGGCGTCACAACTCTTCGCACACATACTAAAATTGCGAAGATATGTTACGCAGCGGCCTTTACGAAATCGATGTGAATAGCCCAAATTGTTAATAATCGAACGTTACATACTTATAAAAGTCTCTATTATGCAATCACCTTGAAATTTGTAACCTCCGCAATCGGAAGTCCTTGCGGGGATTGGCCATCGAGCTGTTCGATGGGAGAGTCAAATGCGTATGGCAAATTTTCCGGTGGAAATAAATGATACTTTCGAATGTACTCGAGAACCATGTGATCTGACGGGTCCATGGCGGCAATTCTGTCCTGAAATGTAATAATCCAGTAATTAGTATGCACAAAAATCCGTTGTGATGAATATAATATTTGACATGGTTTTCTGAAACTTACAAATTCCGTTTTAGAACCTAGTTTACGGATGTCATCTTTGTCACAAGAACAAAAAAGAAAACTAGTCCAATAATACCTAAATGTTGATTAACTCTACGCGATAAAAATCTAGTTATCGACATTACAGAATGTTCAAAATTTGAGATCAATTATACTCAAGCAGTAAAAATTTATTATTCGCTTAAGGATAGCTCGTATGCACGTACATATGCATAATTTATCAATTTCGCATGCAGTGTTTACCTTTAATATTTTAACAACTGCTAACCGTATGTATGTGTACTGTACAAATAAGGTACGAAGAACGCATATACATAGTCATATTGTACGTAGTAACTGACAAAATGCTGTATTTGCAGTTTTCAAAAGGATTAGATATACTTTTATTGCGAATTAAATTAGGTACATATGTACATATGTATATATATTTATTTACTCAACAGATCGCGAGGTACATACATATTTATTTAGCTTCTAGATTTTGTAGTGACATCGATAATCATCACTATATATGTGCATACCTTGTGAACTTTAAAATTACAATATATGTAATGGGGTTTGAAACATTTGAATTTTAAACCAGTACATGAGTAATAATTATGAAAACCAGAATCTGTTGACACAAAAAATTTTATTTGGATAAGATTCACATTGTTTGTAGAGCTGATTTAATTTTCTGAGTCCAATGGTAGCAGTTATGCACTGGTATTAGGGCATGTAATCTCGATATCGGTTTCGGTATTTCGGTATTCAATATTCAAATACCGAAATATCGATATTTCGATATTACAATACCGAAATTGGCATTTTGTAATTTATGAATTTATTTAATTAATATAACACTTTCGGATCAACGTAACCCCTTGGAATTCAAACTTTGGGGTGTAACCAGGTCAAAAATCAGTTTTTGAAACATTGGGGGTGTAACCAACTCAACATTTAGAAATAATAATATCGAATTTTGACTTGGCCATAGCTCTACCTAAAGCTTCTACTTTGGGGGTGTAACCAAGTCAAAATTAAGTTGTGGGAACTTTGAAGGTGCGACCAAGTCAAAATTCAGTTGTGGGAACTTTCCGGGTGTAACCAAGTCAAAATCCAGTTGTGGGAGCTTTGGGGGTGTAACCAAGTAAAAATTCGATTTTGGGAACTTTGGGGGTGTAACCAAGTCAAAATTCTATTTTGGGAACTTTGAGGGTGTAACCAAGTCAAAATTCGATTTTGGGAACTTTGGGGGTGTAACCAAGTCAAAATTTGAATTTGGGAACCTTGGGGGTGTAACCAAGGCAAAATTCGATTTTGGGAACTTTGGGGGTGTAACCAAATTGAAAATTTAGTTGTGGGAAATTTGGGGGTGTAACCTAGTCAAAATTTGATTTTGGGAACTATGGGGGTGTAACCTAGTCAAAAATCGACTTTGGGAACTTTGGGGGTGTGACCAAGTCAAAATTCGATTTTGGGAACTCTGGGAGTGTATAACCAAGTCAAAATTCGATTTTGGGAACTTTGTGGGTGTAACCAAATTAAAATTCGATTTTGGGAAGTTTGGGGGTGTAACCAAGTCAAAATTCTATTTTGGGTACTTTGGGGGTGGAACCAAGTCAAAATTCGATTTTGGGAACTTTGGGGGTGTAACCAAATCTAAAATTTAGTTGTGGGAACTTTGAGGGTGTAACCTAGTCAAAAATTCAGTTGTGGGAACTTTGGGGGTGTAACCTAGTCAAAAATTCAGTTGTGGGAATTTTGGGGGGGTGACCAAACCGAGAATAAATTTTGGAACTTTGGGGGTGTGGCCAATTCGAAATTAAATTTGGGAAAATTGTAGCGTGTACCCAAGTCAAAATTTGATTTTAGAAGCTTTAGGTAGAGCTATGGCTAAGTCAAAATTCGAAATTATTATTTCTAAATTTTGAGTTGGTTACACCCCCAATGTTTCAAAAATTGATTTTGGACCTGGTTACACCCCAAAGTTTGAATTCGAAGGGGTTACGTTGATTCGAAAGTGTTATATTAATTAAATAAATTCATAAATTGCAAGATTTGAATTTCGGTATTGTAATATCGAAATATCGATATTTCGGTATCTGAATACCGATAATTTCGGTATTTTAATACCGAAATATCGGTATTTCGGTATTTTAATACCGAAATATCGGTATTTCGAGATCTCGAAATATCGAGATTACATGCCCTAACTGGTATGTACGCTACTACCTCGGAGAGTGAGAGGACTTCAAAGTTCCAACAAAAAATCCATTAGCACAAAAACTGATCAATATTCTTGAAAACAGTTTTCACCACACGCTTGCTAACTTTTTCGATGCAACCATTCCGACCGTTTTTGAAATTTTCGGAAGGAAGGTTGGAAACCACGTAGCAAGTTCCTTTACGCAAGTGATTTTATGTGTATTATTAATAAGACTTCTAAAAAATCCCACAATTTTAGTCATAATCCCCCAAACAAATCTGCTTACCCACCTCCCCAAACCAGCTTCCACTCCGCCAAGAAAATTAACCCCGCCCCGACTAGCAACATGCCACAAATGGCAAACATATACTTCAAAGCTTCCAACGAGCCGGGCGTACATTCATGAAACTCTGGCTGATGCGGGACCCCACTGTTCACCTGGGCCGAATACTTGTCATACACTTCTTTCCCATGTGTCCTCATGCGAAATAGCAGTCTTGACTTCCTATATGCGCGCAACCACGTCCCAATCAGCCCCGCTTCCACGAATCTCCTGTACACCGAGTTGAACCGGGGAAATATGAAATTCCGTAATCCATGCATCACCGAGATCATTTGAAACCCTGTTTCACCTCGACCATGTATGACGAACCGCTTACCCAGAAATGTTATCGGTTCGGTCAAAAATTTTAGATTGTTAATGCTATCCATCATTGCAAAAGTCCCACTTGTTTCGAACTCCTTGAGTCGGTTTGAGTTAGAAATATTGCTAATAATCTCGGCACTTCGGACTTGCCTTGGTTCGATGAAAATTAGTCGCGTCTCGAAAGCATCGAGGGACCTTTGATACCCCAAATTTCCCGCCATGACCGTTTTTAATTCAGGGATTATGATACTCTTAAGCACCGAGGCGAACGTTATGGTAATCCCCGTTGTGGAAACTGTGTCCGATTGTAAATTCGTTACGGTTAAGACGAGTAGTTGCGAGGATAACAACTCGGCCATTGTGACGGGTACTTTCGGGAGTTCAGGCACCGTCAAGAAAGAAAATATCGACCCCTGGTATAAATTCGCCATGAGAATGTAAAACCCAAAAAACCAAACGGTCGAACCAATGATGGCAGCACGCCGGTTGGCAAATATTTTAGTTACATCGCGACCCCCACTTTGCCCCACTTTGCAGAAGGAGAGCGCCAACCCCCAAAACTTTGTTTCCCATATATTCTCTCAAGTTGGCCGTGTATATGCAGAACCCCGAAGCAGAAATCGAAATCGGAGCCAAAGTGGACATTGTACTTAAAGAAATTAAAAGAAGAAGCCACGCCGCGGTATCGAAGGGTAGGAGAAAAGTGAAAAAATTATTTGCCACCGAGGGAAACACGGTAACCACGGAGAACTTGACAATTTCAAAATTCACGGTGTAAACAGAGAAATACTCTATGATAGTGGGCAGTGATACATCGCACAAAATAGAGGAGAAGGTTATCTCTCCGTACACATTTTCCCAGTCCGACCTCTTCATTGCTCGCCAGTGTCGATAAGTGAAGTTAAATTTTTGTCGGAGAACGGACAATGGGCAAAATTCTGGAGTATTAATTTGATCGAAATTTCGCCTAATTATGCGGCAATCTCCGTTCTGTTGTACGGCATGTGAACCGTAAACTTGGACTATTTTTTGGTGAAGATTTGAATTAAAGGAGTCCCACGCTACATCAATTTGACGTAGAAGGTGTAACCCTTGATTGCTTAGTTTTAGAATAGATTGATAGGCAATGCAAGGCACATAAACCGATTCGGGGGATTTGTGGACATTGAACAGGACTAATTTTGAGAACGAACGACCCGAAATGTAGAGTTCATATGGGTCAGCCACGTGGACGAATATATACTTTGCCAGAGGAAAGCGGCGAATAATTGGCCAGAGGAGATCTTTGTGTTTGGCGGGTTTTACAGCCGACGTGGATAGTTCAAGGAAGACAAGGAGAGTTCGAAATCGGTAGAAGCGTGTGACCGAGGCAACCTCCAGGTAGCCAAGGTTTACAAAGAACTGACAGATGAGTTGTGGGGTGAAGATGTTGTGGCGGGTGATTTGTTTGTGCAGCAAGGGGGGAAATTGTGAAATATTGAAGAAGTGGAGGTCGTACTCGTGGAATACATTGTCATGGTACCACACGGATGTTACTGGTTGATTGAGCAAAATGAGCAGAACAAAAATTAGTAAGTAATTCATTTTGAAGGAATTTAATTTGAAGGAGTGGGTTTCGTATGCAATTTTATTATTTACAATTTTAAAAATAATGTAATCACTTGAAAAGAAATGCTTTCTCAATTTTAAATCAAGTTAACTCTGCTAAAACCAGAATAATCTTTTCTCTAGGTCATCGTTTGGAACTTAGAGTTCATTTATACTACAAAACGGTGACTTTAATTTTCAGAATATAAGTATTATAGAGGTAACTAAGTTAATACTAAAATGATTTTAGTTAAATTTTTGCAGAAAATGGTAAAGACGCTGTCCACATCAACCGTTTACTAATTTACATATACATAAAACACCTAACATTTTGAGTTAATGTAGATAAATACAATATCTTTTTTGTTGAAATTTCCAACATAACTATCATAATCTGTAATTGCCTTTAGTGAGCTCTTGTTGCCTACATATTTACGTCTAGCACGCAACCTTCCTCACATCAATTTGAGTAATTTAGAAAGTTTGAGTAAGTTATAATTCAATGGCTTTTAAGTGTGTCCTTTGTTATGGATAAAACATTTCTATTATACTTAACCCTGTTGGGAACATAATTTTGTTAGTAATTCGACGCACGTGCTTTAATTTTTTTCCCTATAACATCGCGTAGAAGAGAACAGCATACATTATTTTGTATGGAATTATGTAGTACACAACTATATACGTGACAACTTAATCAATGTCAAATATCCGGTCTGATGTCGGACCCACACTGGTAAAGTTCAACAACAAAATGAAGAAGCAAACCATTCAAGCTATCGATTTCGAGTAAAGTTTGAGACCTTTTATTACAAAAAGGGTGGGGTTTGACGTACGCGTATTACCTCATAGAACTTGGATACAGGTAGGATAGGTAGGACAGGTAGATTTTAACTAGGTAGGTTGGGATAGGTTCCATTTGGACAGTTGTAAGTGCATAATACTACTTATCATATCAGAGGCGTAAGTGCAAATCACTGGGTTGGGGAAAACACGTATCACTCATCAGCATACATATACCGTACCGGAGCATTTTAGCCTAGATAGCAGTTACTGGTAATTCGAAACATATTTTTAGAGCATACTTTTAACCATACATACATAACCTATATTGCTGAAATTTGATATCGCTTCATCAGTTAAATTATGGTTACATTGAATTTATATATTTTAAGTATTAAACAGTGTTACAGAATTATTTAAAACCCAAACATGAAAAATCCGATGAAAATTTGGTCGAGAAATTAATAAATTCAACTTTGCGTTGAAGGTGAAAACCGAGGAGAAAATCCGAAAGGGGAAAGATGAACTGCGTATAGTTTCGCAAGACCATGAGGTATATATTTAGCTTCAATATTTATTTCCTTGATTTGTGTAGGGATTTGAACTTCATTTGAAACTTCAACTAATACATGAGTAAAAGTAATGAAAACCGGAATCTGTTGTGACACTGAAAAATTGGATCTATAATTTGATTTGAAAAATCAAATCTGAAAAATTCGATTTCAATAAGATTATCAAAGTTTGTCGCGCTAATTTTTCTTCGTTGGACTGTGGACGTTCCTACGATACTCCACGCGAAGTAGGAGGAGCCGAAAGTTTGAAATAACCGCCGAGTTAGTGATTTTTAGCGCAACGGCGGGTTAATATTTCTTAAACGATCTTCTGTGTTTTTTAATTTTTAAAGGGAGTTTCGAAAGGCCGTAGGAAATTCTTTGAGGCAAGTTTAGTATATTATTAATTATTTTACCTAAAAATTTCGCAGCTTCGGCCATAATATCACAGACGAATCCACTTATCCTCCACCCCCAAGTTTTAAGTCTCACCTTCCCCTCAGCCGAGAAAACTAACCCCGCCCCGCTTAACAATACCCCACAAATGGCAAACATATACTTCAACGCTTCCATAGAGATGGGCGTGCATTCATGAAACTCGGGCTCAAACGGGACCGCACTGTTCACCTGGGCTAAGTACTTGGTATACACTTTCTTCCCATATTTCCTCATGCGAACTAGCTCATTTGCATCCCTAAATGTGCGAAACCATACGTCTATCAACCCGCCTTCCACGAATCTCCTGTACGCCGAGTAGAACCGACTAACTATGAAAGTCCTTACTCCATTCATCACCGTCATTGTTTGAAACCCAGTCTCGTCTCGGCCGTGTATGACGAACCTCTTACCCAGAAACGTTATCGGTTCGATAAATTCTTTTAGGATGTCGACGCTATCCATTACTGCAAAAGCTCCCCCTGTTTCGAACTTGTTGAGTCGATTTGAATTAGAAATATTTCGAATAACCTCGGGGGCCTGGGCTTTGTTTCGTTCGACGAAAATTAGTCGCTTATCGAGCGAATCGAGTGCCCTTTGATACTCCAAATTCCCAGCCATGGCCGTTTTTAATTCAGGGATTATGGTACTCTTGAGGACTGAATGGTCCGTTCCCCTAAGGGAAAAGTTGAACATTGTGGACGCCGTTACTGTTAAGACGGGAAGTTTGGAGGTTAACAGCTCAGACATCGTGACGGGTACCTTGGGCAGCTCGGGCACCGTCAAAAAAGAAAATATCGATCCCTGGTACAAATTGGCCATGAGAATGAAGCACCCAAAAAACCAGACGGACGACCCTATCACGGCGACATGCCGGTTGGCGAATATTTTGGTTACATCGCCACTCCCAGTTTGCCCCAAAAGAATGGCACTCACGTGGAAAAATTTATCCCCAATGTAGTCTCTCACGCTGAACCGGTATATCCAGTGCCCCGACGAAGAAACAGAAATCGAAACCATAGTTGACATCGTGATTAAAGAAATTACAAGAAGAATCCACGTCGTGGTATCGAAGGGAAGGAGAAAAGTGAAAAAATTATTCGCCACCGAGGGAAAACCCGTAACTACGGAAAACCTGATAACGACAAAATTAACGGTGTAAGCATACAAATATGTTTTGAAACTTGTAACCGTTGCATCGCATAAAATCCTTGAGAAACTTAGAGATTCGTACATATTTCGCCAGTCGGTCATCTTCCTTACTCGCCAGTGTAGATAAGTGAAGTTAAATTTTTCTCGGAGGGCGGATAATGGACAAAATCTGGCTTATAAATTTTCACGAAATTTCGCCTAATTGGGCGACAATCTCCGTCCTGTTGAACTACATTTGAAGCGTAAACTTTCACTATTTTGCGGTGAAAATTATAATTAAGGGAGTTCCACGTGACATCAATTTCACGTAGAAGGTGTACCCCTGCGTTCCTTAGTTTTATTGTGGATTGACACGGCAAACAAGGCACATAAACCGATTCGGGGGATTCGTGGATATTGAACAGGACTAATTTTGAGAGCAAACGCGCCGAAATGTAGCTGTGTTTATATGGGTCAGCCACGTGGGCGAATATGTACTGCGCGTGGGAGAAACGGCGCGTAATTGCCAACAGGAGATAGACGTGTTCGAGAGGTTTTTTTTCGAGAGGGTCCAACCCGGAGAAATCAATGAAGACAAGGCGGATTCGATATCTGTAGAGTTTTGTGACCAAGATAACCTCCAGGTATAGGAGGTTCTCGGATGAAGAGTTTAGAACGAACTGGCCCATTAGTTGTGGAGTGTAGGGGTTATGGCGGGTGATTCCCTTGTGGAACAAGGGGGGGAATTGAGACACATTTAGGAAATGGAGGTCACAGTCGTGAAATACGTTGTCATGGAACCACATGGATTTTACAGGGTGAAGAAAGACGATTAAAACAAGAACTAGTACGTGCTCCATTTTAACTAATTGCCACCAAGTTTTTCCAGGTGAACGGTTTCGCTCTCCCTCTTAAAAATGCTGCTACATTTTTGAAAATAAAATGCATTCTGAATTTTATATTAAGTAAACTACTCTAAATCCGGAGTTAATCTTATTCTGATAACATATAAAGGTCACTCTCGTCTTAGCATATTCTAAAACTGAGACTTCATTTATTTTTAAAAAAGATACCTTTAATTTTAGAGTATTGAGGAGGTTTTCAAGACAATAGTGAGATGATTTTAGTTATTTGCTTGGAAAAATGGTTAAGGCGCTCTTCAACTCAACTGCATGCCTATAAATACTCCTAAAATACGCAGTATGTTAAGCTAATTCAGATAAATGCAATATCACATGGGTTGGAATTTCCAAAACACGTAATCCGTAATTACCTAGAGTGGGCGCTAACTGCCTATTTTCTTCATCAGTTTTACCTTTGGTACCCAACCCTCTTTACCATAATTTGCGTAATTTAGAAAATTTATAATTTTAAGTATTTCCTTTGATAGGAATAAGACATTTTCGTAATACATGTGAACCTTGTTAGGGCATAATTTTTGTTAGTAATTGGGAGTACTTGGTTTATGTAATTTCATTCGCCTAATATCACTTAAAGAAAAAAGTGTATATTTTTTGTGCAATAATTTGGTACTAATCCTAAGCTATATAAATAAATATGTATATAATAGCTTAATCACTGTCAAATATCCGGCCTGATTACGAACTTTCTTTTAAAGGTCCGCAACATAATGACAAAGCAAACCATTCAAATTGTCAATATCGAGCATAGTTATTAAATTTGTTCTCAGGAACTCATATCGTTTTACAATTTCAGATTCGCGTAGGTGTAAGGCTTGTTCAATTGTTAAGGGCGCGTTCATAAATTATTTAAGGCGAGAGAGGGCGGGTAGCTAAGGGTTTGATTATATCGTCCATAAGTATGTAACATATTTTATGTAAATACGGGAGGGGAAGTGGGTCCATAAATTCGCGATTTTTGCGCAACATAACTTATGAACGGCCCCTAACCACAACATCATCGTAACATACGTTTTCGGTTCAGCATAAGGTCGTTGGATCTTACAAAATTGTAAACCCACACATTGCAAATTTTAGCAGTGTGTGAGTTTACATTCATTTAAAATAAACGAAAATAAGCCATCCATACTTAACTCATATTTAAACTCACATTTATTAATTCACATTTTCTGCATCATTTACATACATACATACCATGGCCTATTTTTCATTTTTTTAACTTATAATAATAATAATCACAATTTATTCCATGAATAATTCTAACAAGGCTCGTGGCCCATATTTAGAAATACAGGTTAATTCTCAGCATGATTTAGTAATATAACAGGTTACATTATATCTATTACAAATTTCCAAATGATCGCGTAGAGGATGAACCATTATAGTAGAAATTTTACTTTTCCCTGTGCCAAGATGACATGATTCGCATACATTAACTATAGCATGATAAAGTTATGTTGCATATTTTGAGTTCAGGGTCCTATACTGCTCGTTATACATAGATATATAAGTAAATGGTTAAAGCGCATGCAGTAACTTTGACCTCATGCTTCCATACAAATACTATCATAATAATATATAATCTAGTTGTAATTCTTCTTCTTTTCATTTGAAAGTTAAATACGTTAGCAAACAGCTGCAAAAATGAATTTTTCTCAAACTATAAAATAAAATTTTTGGAAAAGAAAGGCTGACCAAATCTTAACAATCTATTTGCTTTTATCTTACGTAGCGACCGTCCATAAATGAAGTAACACAAGAGCGGGGGTCTAGGGCTCCAATTACATCGTGTCTATGTTGCACATGTTAAAGGGGGGAATGGGGGTCTAGAAAATCGCGATTTTTGCGTTACGTAATTTATGGACGGCCTTTTAAACGGGGAACCATTTATTACACACAGATCAATTCAATAAGTAAAATTAGTTTTCCATAGTATGATTTCTACCCAAGTGACGGACCAATTCTTGAAAAGTGGTGATCTTCCTTTGGCAGAAGTAACACTCAAGATTATTCTTCTCATTGTGACGACTTTTCATATGTCTGGCCAAATGGGCTCTTGAGTGGCTCCTGTACTCGCATTTCCAACAGGAATGCTTTTTTACTTTATCTATGTTGTGCTTGATTTCAAAGTGGTGTTTCAAATTTGAGGATGACACGAATTTCTTCTCACATAGGGTACAAGTATAATTCTTGAGATTTTCGTGGTTATGCACAGCTCGGATGTGACGGTCCCAGTTCAGCTTTTTTAAGAAAGTTCGAGGGCACTGATTGCAGCAAAAAAATTTCCGGGTTGCGCGATTTTCATGGGATGCCTGTAATTCGTAGCATACACATCTTATGGATTACAACAATTTAATATTTAACCTCATATTGACCAAACTCGATGTGCTTTAAAAATTTCCTAAGAGACCAAATGAGTACTAGATTGGTACATACTCTACCAAATGCATCCCCCTGATGCACCATGACGACTGCGCAATGAGGATGAAGTACATACGTCGTATACATAATATAAAGAAAAAGCTATATTTCTCAAAATTTTCAAAACAACGATATTTCTTTGGAATTTTTTGGACATTCGTTGAAAACAACTTTTGACAAAAACTTGATTTTTTGAATATTTTTGATCAAAAATTTTTTAATTTTCCATATACCGATCAATTTTAAGAAGTATATTTGACCTTTTTTCGAGAATTATGGTTCAGGTGAAGCTAAATAAGAAACCACAAATTTGCATACATACCTCGTGCTTTTTCAAATTCTCCTTCGTGGCAACAGTCCTCCCACAAGTTGGGCACTTGTAGCATTTCTCCGTCGTGTGGGTCGCAATATGTCGGGCAAGATGTGTTCTTGACTTCAATTCCTTTTCGCACAGGGTGCACGGAAATCTGACCGGATTTTCGGTATGCTCGCTTCTTACGTGTCTCAAAAGTGTCCGCTCGGAAAGATATGTTCTTCCACAAGCTGGAAATGTACATGGAAATATTTGTCTTTCTCGCGATGTGTGAAAAGTTTTAGTGTGTATTGGCAAATAGTTTTTGTTCGAAAATGTCTTGTGGCAAATGTGACAGGCTGGGCGGGCCCGACTTCCGTGCAAAGTGGCCATATGGACGCGCAGGATTTCAGGATTTTTCAGCACCTTTCTACAAATCTTGCATAAAAAATTAATTATTACTTAATTAGTGGTTTAAAAAAAGTCTGTGACTAACAGACTAAATTATGTTTAGTATTTAAAGTATATTTTTTAAATATTTACACCTACTTCACATTTCCGCTTGGCATTTGGGTCGTGTGTGACGGCATGTTTGCGAAGGGAATCTTTCGTTCGACAGGTTTTCGAGCAGTGCGGACATTTATGAAGGTATTCGTTTGGCTCCATTTAATTATTAATTAGTACGCACGTTTAACTTGACCAGTTTTTTTCTTTAATGGCGTGAGAAGCGACCTGAATTGGGCAAATTGTAAGTAGTAACTAGATTCGTATAATTATTTCTGCATTACTCGAGCACTACGAAATTTCATGGGACAATAAAGTCAACTTACATAAAGTAAACTTGTGAATTTTATGAAAATTATGAAATTAAGTACAATTTTGAAATGCATGCATGCCTGTTTACATTAGTAATCATTGATGACCTCCAAGCAAGCAGATTTTCCTACATCTGTTTATTCTTATTGTTACTAAAATATTTGTGTTCTTATTATTTTCTTCTTATTTGTCAATATTCTGTAAATAAATAAATTATCCTTATCCCAAGGTATTTAGCTACACATGCAGCATGCTACAATTTCACTAAACATTTCTTGAACAACTTTGTTCTAATAAGTTATTGATATTCGCACGGCAGATGAGGATAATCTGATCAAATAAGTAAGTAGTTAATGGGGACTGGAAGAGAAAGTGTTGAAATTCGAAGATAAATATGTTCCAATAACTGTCCATGCCGAATATGTACACGTGCATACAAGATTTCTCTTCACCTGACGGAAATAGATAGTCGACCCACATTATCTATGTGCATGCGGATTTACACAGGGTCAAAATGCTCACTCTTACGCATAATGTTACACTTCTGAAAGTGAAGGGACCCTTAATTTCAAAGTTAAATACACTTAACTACAACAATGTTTACTCATTTTATCTTACTTGATTTATAACAATATAGAGCAACATTGACTTAGGATTGGTAAAATTTACCTTGGATTTATATAGTATTGTTCATTTTGGTTTAATATAGAATTGAGAATGAGTTTACTTGTGGAAAGGGTTATGCATACATATATTTTATTTTTCAGAGTGCATCTTGACGAAACCCTTGAAATCAAGGTGAACACAGAGATGCCACAGAGTTGAACAATAAATATGTAGATAGTTTCTCGATGATTATATTATTCATTCCAACATTGTTTGCATTATGGTAAATACATAGAATGTTGATATTTATTACTGACAACATCAGTAATCCGTAATCTAAGTACATAAATGTTAAACTTTAATTTGTAGTTTTTTAGAAATGCGTCACATTAATCTAATGATTTTAAAAAATACTGGGCCGAGTGTATGTATGATTGTATGCATACGTGGATATGTATTAGATGCTCAATTTCAAACAAACATTGACACGACATCAACATTTATCATTTATCAGTTATCATTACATGAACACGTATAATTTAAATTTACGTATGTAAATAGTTTATTTTTTCTAATTGTGGAAAATACAAGCTAGAAAACATCATTGACAAGACTGTCACAACCAGATGTACATATCTAATTATTTGTAAACGCATTGTTCCAATTTAATATATTAAATTAATCTGTTATATATAACAGATTAATATATAGTTGTTAAGAAAGTAAATTAGTCGATAGGACACCGTGAGAAAAAATAAATAAAGAAAAAACTAAAAATTATAGTAACGACCAATAATTTAAGCCACAGGGGTAGAAAAATAAAATTCATAGGAAATAGATAAACTCTAAGCCACCCGCCAGCCAAAACTGACATAAAAATTAAAAATGTTATCGGAATTAGTATGTTAATTCTCTCAGCTAAACTTAAAAGATACCGGTTACCCATATTATTAAAGAAAGAAAAATACAAAAGGCGAACAGAGTACGTTAATGTAAACAATGTAGATAAAACTATTAAGCATCCCATAATTAAATTTATTTTCCCTTGAAAAAAAAATTCAATAATCATATCCCTAGAAAAAAATCCTGATAAAAACGGAAACCCACAAAGAGCTATTGAAGAAATAATGAAATACAGAGATGTAACTGGGCAAGAAATCATTAGCCCCCTATCGCTCGAATATCCTGAGTGTCCCCTATAGAATGAATAAACACCCCAGCACATAGAAATAGTAGGGATTTAAATATAGCATGAGTTAAAAGATGGAAAAAGGCATACTCGTAGAAGCCCAGCCCCAAAGATGTTATTATTAACCCGAGCTGACTTAGTGTTGATAAGGCAATAATTTTTTTAAAATCTATCTCAAAATTAGCCCCTAAACCTGATATAAATATAGTCAACATACCAATAAATAATAAAAAATTATTAATACCTAAAGTGTAATTAAACCGAATTAATAGATACACCCCAGCTGTGACTAAAGTAGATGAATGCACAAGAGCCGAAACTGGGGTGGGGGCTGCTATAGCCGCAGGTAGCCAGGCAGAAAAGGGTATTTGAGCTCTTTTTGTTATAGCTGCTAAAATTACTAGGATAACTATAAAAGAAACTACTTCGTACGAATAGACAAACTGCGAATAAAAAAAATTCCATCTACCAAAATTCAGTAGCCATGAAATGCATAAAAGAATAGCTACGTCACCCACACGGTTAGAGAGAACTGTAATTATACCCGCATTTGCTCTTTTTACATTTTGGTAATAAATTACTAAACAATACGACACAAGACCGAGTCCGTCCCACCCCAATAAGATTCTAATTATGTTAGGGCTTAAAATTATAAAGACTATACTCAAGACAAAGAAATATACTAAAAAAATAAACCGAGTTAAAAACTTGTCCCCCTCTATATATATGATTCTATAGAAAAGTACCATAGAAGAAATAAATATTACGAGCCCTGTGAATCTCAAACTTATTCAATCAAAAATAAGAGTTATAATAATAGAAGTTGATCTAAAAGAAAATATTTCTCATTCAACAAATATAGTTTCAGCAGAAAGAAAATATAAAAGACCAAACCGCATACTGATTAAGCTAGCCACTAATAATAAAACCCCTAGATAAAAAGGTAAAACCAAATAAAATATTACTTAAAGGGCTCCCCCATCTATAGAATCACAAACTAAAATTTTTCTTAAACTATTTAAATGAAATTATTTAGTAAAATGTAAAAATAAAATTAGACCCTAAAACTAAAAAATTTACTGGGACAATGTGAAGTATAATAGTGTGGATCTCACGAACATTAGAATGAACAAACCCATATAGTGAATTATAAGAAGGCCCGTGTTGTGAAAACGAAAATATAAATAATGTAAAAACCGCCCCTAAAAAGGAGCCTAGGGGAAAGAATAAAAGTATAATATAATCGTAACTCATAATTCTAGCTATCAAAAAAATCTCTGATAATAAATTAATAGTCGGGGGGGGGCAGCAATATTCGACGCGCAGAGAAAAAATATTAGTAAAGAAAAAATAGGAAAACTTAAAATAAGCCCCTTATTAATAAAAAAACTTCGGCTCCCAGTTCGTTCATAGTATAAGTTAACCATACAAAATAAACCTGAAGAGGAAACTCCATGAGCTACTATCATCACTAAGGCCCCCATAAATCCCCATGAATAGAGAGTTATTAGCCCCCCAATCACCATAGCTATATGGGCTACTGAAGAGTACGCTACTAAAGCTTTAAAATCATTTAAACGACAACACAAGATCCCTGTAAACATTATTCTAGCTAATCTTAGCCCTATAAAGTAAGGGCTAAAATTTATAACTGAAACCCCTGTGATGCTAAGAACTCGTATAAGACCGTAGCCCCCTAACTTTAATAAAACCCCAGCTAAAATTATCGAGCCTGCCACGGGGGCCTCAACATGAGCTTTAGGGAGTCACAAATGTGTAAAATACATAGGGAGTTTAACTAAAAAGGCTATCGAACCCATAAAAGCAGTAATAACAAAGAAATTAAAACCTGAAAATGAATAAAAAAGTAACTCCCTATAAAATAAAGAAACACCACCTCCAATTATATATAAGTACATAATTAATAAAAGTAAAGGTAACGACGCTGTGAGCGTATAAAATAAAAAATACATTCCTGCTTGAACACGCTCAGGTTGGTAGCCTCAACCCATAATAATTAAAAGTGTCGGGATTAAAGAAACCTCAAAAAAAAAATAAAAAAATAATAAGTTACCCGAAAAAAAAGTCAATAGTAAAATAAAAAGTAAAAAAAAACAAAACTATAAAAATAAAAAGTATACTCCTTGAAACGAAAAATTTTATATCTAGAAAAAATTATTAAAATTCTAACCCAAGCTCTTAGAGACACTAAAATAAATCTAATCCCGTCATAATAAAATAAAGAGTCTAAGTAAAACGTTTCTGGCTGACCCACTAATGTATAAATTACTAGATAAACAGAAATAAATGTTAACACATAAATTAAATTTAATTTAAACTTCTTTAAAAACCCTATAAATAAAAAGATAAAAAATAAATTTACTATCATAAATTTTAAAAAAATTAAAAGACTTAAAATAATCACCTCCATGAGTCCGTCTTATCGTCACTAAAATAGAAAGACCTAAAGCACCCTCACATGCTGTAAAAGTAATATAAACTAAAGAATAGAAAAAGTCTCCTTTTCTCAATAATGCTAATAATAAAAGAAAAACCCCTAATCTAATGTATTCAAGTCTTAAAAGAACAGACAAAAGATGGTCCCGCTTAGAGCACACAATTCAAATCCCAGAAAGAATAATTAAACCTCTAATAAAAGATAAAAATATAAGTTTTTATAGTTAATTTTATAATATTAGTTTTGTAAACTTAAGTGTGCTTAAAGCATAAAAACTTCAAAATTAAGTTATCCACTTTTTTCCAACTTCCAAAGCTAATATTTTTCATAAATTAAATTTTGTATAAAAATATTTTTGTTAACTTCCGCAAGAATTAGAGCTATATTTTATCTAAGAAGACATCCAGTAATAATAATAGTTTTAATTATTTCTCAGACTATAATTTTATGCATCACTGTATGATTTTTTATAAAAACTAGATGATTTTCCTATATTTTATTTTAATTTTTTTGGGGGGGTTAATAGTTTTGTTTATTTATATCACTAGCCTAGCGTCAAATGAATTAATTAGATTAAAAATAATCACCCTCCCAAATAGTATTTTTATCCCCATAATTTTGGTATTCTTTATAATTATAAATGTAGACTTCCAAGAATTTAAAGAGTCAAGAACAAGATTTCTTATAACAAAAACATTTAATTTCCTTTATAGATGAAACAACTGCATTCTTTTAACCACTTCTATACTTTATTTATTTTTAACCCTAGTGATTGTAGTAAAAATTTCTAATAAATTTGAGGCCCCTCTCAAAACCCTCTCACACTTTTTAAAATAATGATAGCAGAACGGAAAATACACCCTCTTTTTAAAATTGCCAATAATGCTTTAGTAGATCTTCCTGCCCCAATTAATATTTCAGCCTGGTGAAATTTTGGGTCTCTTCTAGGGTTATGCCTAGTAACCCAAATTATCACAGGCTTATTTTAGCAATACATTACACAGCAGATGTGGCCATCTCATTCAATACAGTAGCTCATATTACCCGAGACGTAAACTACGGATGGCTTCTACGAGTCATACACGCCAATGGAGCCTCTATATTCTTCATTGCCCTGTACCTCCATGTAGGACGAGGGATCTACTATTCATCGTATACTTATACAATGACTTGAACGATAGGAGTCTTAATCTTATTTTTAGTAATAGCAACTGCTTTCATAGGGTATGTATTAATTTGAGGACAAATGTCATTTTGAGCCGCCACAGTAATTACAAATTTATTGTCAGCAATCCGTTATATAGGTTTAATATTAGTACAGTGAATTTGGGGGGGTTCGCGGTAGATAACGCTACACTCACGCGATTTTTTACATTCCACTTTGTTCTACCATTCATTATCGCCGGAATAACATTAGTACATCTCCTATTTTTACATCAAACAGGATCAAATAACCCCCTAGGAGTTAATTCCAACTCAGATAAGATCCCCTTTCACCCATATTATTCATTTAAAGACTTATTTGGATTTATTATGCTTATATGAGGATTAGTATCGCTAACTTTAATATACCCCTATATTCTAGGAGACACAGAAAATTTTATCCCTGCAAATCCTTTAGTTACCCCCGTTCATATCCAACCTGAATGATATTTTTTGTTCGCTTACGCTATCCTTCGGTCGATCCCTAATAAATTAGGAGGGGCTGCTGCTCTAGTAGTGTCTATTGCCATTTTATTAATTTTACCTATTACTCAAAAAAATAAATTAAAAAGAACTCAATTTAATCCTTTTAATCAAATAAATTTTTGATTAATGATTAATATTGTAATCTTATTAACTTGAATTGGAGCCCGACCGGCCGAAGACCCCTATATTCTTGTAGGGCAAATCTTAACTTTAATATATTTTTTATATTTTTTGACAAGACCTTTAGTCACTTTAACCTGAGAAAAAATTCTTAAATAATGTAAATAATTATTTAGCTTAAATAAAGCAATTATCTTGAAAATAATTTACAGGAGTTTAAGCCTCCTAATAATTTAAATTAAGAATTACACCCATGAAATCTTAAAAACACCAAAATCATTAATTTTTTATTGTTCTCTATTATGTTAGGACACCTGCAGCAACTCCTAGCTTTAGAAACCTTAACTTTATTTTTCTAAATTAGCAACTTTATAGTAATAAAAAAAATTATTAAATTAAGAGACACAGGAAGAAAGGATTTTCAGGCTAAATATATTAATTTGTCATACCGAAACCGAGGTAAAGTGCCCCGAACTCAAATAAATCAATAACAAAAAAAAGAGCCAATGAATCCTAAAAATAAACCTCTCACACCACCTCCAAAAAATATACAACTAACTAAATAACTTATAAAAATGATTCTACCATACTCAGCTAAAAATAAAAGAGCAAACCCACCACTCCCGTACTCGATATTAAAGCCGGATACTAACTCAGACTCTCCCTCAGCGAAATCAAAAGGAGTGCGATTAGTTTCCGCAAGAATAGAGCCTAGCCAGCATAAAAAAATAGGAAACGACACTAAAATAAATCAAACTAAACTTTGGTATAAATGAAATTCATTCAAATTAAAAGAACCAGTCACAAAAATAAAAGACAAAAAAATTAAAGCTATTCTGACTTCATACGAAATTGTTTGCGCCACCCCACGGGTGGCGCCAAGTAAAGCATAATTTCTATTAGATGACCACCCTCTGGCCATTAAAGTGTAAACACCAAATCTAGTACAACAAAAAAAAAATAAACCCCCTAAATAAAAATTAATAAAAGAACTAAGTGGAACAACTCTTCAAAGCAAAATAACTATAAATAGAGAAAAAACTGGAGCAAAATAAAAAGGAATTAAATTAGAAAGAAGAGGAATAGTTTGCTCTTTAATAAATAATTTAATTGCATCCCCAAAAGATTGTAAAATTCCAGTGAAGCCAACCTTATTAGGACCCTTACGAATCTGAATGTAACCTAAAATTTTACGCTCAAATAACACTATAAATGCTACTCTAACCAAAACCCCAACCACTAAAAATAAATAAGAAAAAATTATTATAAATAAATTTAAAAACACTACTAAGTAAAATTTAATTTTATATAAAGATTCTAAATCAATTGCACTAATCTGCCAACTTAGTAAATAAATAATTTAATGCTTAATCCTTTCGTACTAAAACACTAAAATTAAACTAAGAGATAGAAACCAACCTGGCTCACACCGGTTTGAACTCAAATCATGTAAAAATTTAATGGTCGAACAGACCATCTAATAAAAATGCTGCCCCTCAAAGAATTTTTAATTCAACATCGAGGTCGCAATCTAAAGTGTCGATAAGAACTCTCAACTTTAATAACGCTGTTATCCCTAAGGTAACTTCTATTAAATTTTATATTAAAAGTTAATTAATTAAATAAAATTTATTAATAAGAAGTTAATTTTATTCTTTTATTGCCCCAATAAAATATACAACCTAGGTTATTAACTAATAAAAATTTTAATACTTAACAGAATACATATATAAAGCTCTATAGGGTCTTATCGTCTAATTAGTCATTTAAGCATTTTCACTTAAAATTTTATTTCAATATATTTAAATAAATAAAACAAAGCCACGTTCAACCATTCATACAATCCTCTAATTAAAAGGCTAGTGATTATGCTACCTTTGCACGGTCATAATACCGCGGCCCTTAAATTTTCAGTGGGCAGGTTATACTTTTTATTTTATAAAAAAGAAATGTTTTTGTTAAACAATCGTGACTTAATTTGTCGAATTAATTTATTTTTATTTATTATATTTTTAATTTATTTTAAAAAATTCTACTAATTGAATAATTATTAATAAATTTTATTAATTTAAACCGACAAATAAAATATAACTAAACTTTTTTTAAAAATCCCATTAAATTAGTTATTAAATTAAACTTATTATATTAAAGCTGTTCTTAAGCGAAAATTTAACTAAATAATATATAAAGATATAGATAACTAAATTAAGAGATAGCCCCCTTAAATTTAACAATCAATTAATTAAAATATATTTTTAAAACTCAATCAATACTATGATAGCAAGGATAAACCTTTTTAATTTAACTAGATATAAAATAAATCGAATAAAATCTCAATTCTATAAATAATTTTTAATGTTAATTCAACAACAAATACAAAATAATTTATTACTCTTTATTTTTCGAGAAAATTTTATAAAAAATTAATTAAACTCACACTAATACAAAAGGTACCTTTTGAGTACTTTTAAAATTTTTTATATTTAATCTTATTTCAACTTCCCCCTACGGACTTTATAAAATTAAATTTTCTTTATTATACTAAAAAATTAATTAAATTAAAAAGTTATAATTTTAAAAATCATAATATTAGAGTCAATTCTAAATAAGCTCAGTGTAAATGAAATGCTTTACTTAAGCTATATTACATTATCAAGATCCTCCTTCCGGAAAATCTACTTTGTTACGACTTATCTAATTTTATAACTAGAGCGACGGGCGATATGTACATATTTTAGAGCTAAATTCAATTTTATTAACATAAAATTACTCTTAAATCCAATTTATCTATAGTTACCAAATATAAAACCATTATTTAAATAAATGTAACCCATTGAGCCATTAAAATTCTACACCTTGATTTGACTTAAATATATAAAAATTTTAGAAAAAACTTACAAATTAATTCTTAAGACAACGGTATATAAGAAAATTTAATGTTAATTATAGTGTAGTATCTTTTAACTAACAGGTTCCTCTAATAAGAATAAAATACCGCCAAATTCTTTAGGTTTTAAAAATTACTACCTTAGATATTTTATAAAATAAATAACTGGGTATCTAATCCAGGTCTTTTAATTAAAGTTTTAATTAAAATATAAGTTTACATAAAATAAAACTCAATTTCACCTAATTTTTTACTGTAAATAACTTTTATATTAAATTTTCTAAGAAGATTTATTAAACCGTAAGGTATAACCGCGAATGCTGGCACAAAATTTATTCAGAATTTACATAAATTTTTATGCCTAAATTAGTTTCATAATATAAAATACTGCCCTATTACATGTATAAAATTTATAAAATAAATCATTAAGCTAAAATCAAACTTTTCTGCCCAAGCATAAACCCCCATATTTTTTTAACTATTTTTTTAAGCATAATAGTTAAAAAAATATTATATTAAATATTTTTATATATATATATGTAGATTTATATATATAATTAGATTTAAACATATTATTATAGCCTTAATTGATTGGTTATTTTAGATTGATCTTTGATTATTTATTCGTTAATTTTTATTATTAATTTTAAGTATATTGATGGTTACGTTATTTTTTTTTTTTTATACATATAAAATATGTATATATATATATAGATATTTTTATTTACTAATAAATATATATATTTATGCATATGTATATACTAATATACTCATATAAATAAATATATATAAATAAATATATATATATATATAATTAACCATACATATGCATATAATTAATATATATATATATATATTGCTACACATAACCTCATTAACGCAAAAAAAAACATTAAAACATCTTATAATGTACTAAGAAAAAATTAATAATGTGCCTGAAAAAAGGGCTATTTTGATAGAATAGATCATGTATTTGTACCTTTATTTATAAATAATAGAATTGCACTATTTCTGTTAAATTCAAAATTTAATGTTCATTTAAACTAATTTATAAATTTTATGAGCCTAGCCAATCACACACAATTAATATAAAGGTAAGCTAAATAAGCTAAAGGGTTCATACCCCTTCTATAAGAGTCAAATCTCTTCCTTTTTAATGTTCTTTAAAAATTATCAATTAACATTTATAACCACTACATTTTTAGGCACTTTAATGGCAGTATCGTCTAACTCATGAATTCTTTGTTGAATCGGCCTAGAAATTAACCTAATAAGATTTATCCCTTTAATTTTAAGAGACCTTAATTTTAAATCTACAGAGACAGCAATCAAATATTTTTTAACCCAGGCGGTCGCTTCTGTCATTTTAATTACAGCTGCATCCTTTACAGCCCTTCAAATAAAAAATTATTACTTAGAAAGAATAAACTTTTTTTTATTTTTAGCCCTGTCTATCAAAGCAGGCCTAGCCCCCTTTCACATCTGATTTCCTCAAGTTACTGAATTCATCTCTTGATTTAAATGTTTTATCATCTTCACCTGACAAAAAATTGCCCCATTCATATTAATTATTAATTTTAATATCAGTGTGTTTACTTATTTTATTATTATTATATCAGCAACTGCTGGCGCAGTTGGAGGGCTAAACCAAATAAGTAGAAAAATTCTATTAACCTATTCTTCGATTTCACACTCAGCGTGAATACTCATACTAGCCTCTTTGTCTTTAAAATTTTGAACTTTTTATTTTTTAATTTATTTTTTTGTTTTATCACCAATCATTTTCGTATAAATTTTTTAAATTTTAAAAAAATTAAAGAAATTAATTCCTCTAAGATTAACCTTAAAACGAAATTAATACTAAGAACTCTAATTATATCACTTGGGGGGCTCCCCCCGTTCTTAGGGTTTTTAAGAAAATTAATCGCCTTAACAGTAGCTGTAAAAACTTTCCCCATAGTAATTATAATTACATTGGTTGCGTCTTCTTTAGTTTCACTTTATTTTTACACTAAAATATTTTTTAATTCTTTAACAGCTAGCCTCCCTGAAAAAAAAATCTCATCGAGTAAAAAAAATAATAAATTCATCATTTTCTCCCTACCGGAAATTTAATTTTATCAAATTTAGTTTTATTAATTTAAAGTTTTAAGTTAATAAAACTAAAAGCCTTCAAAGCTTTAATTAAGATGGGAGCCTTAAACTTTAAGTTAAGAGCTTAACGCCACTTTAAGATTTGCAATCCTAACTCATAATTGAATACATAACATTATAATAAAAGAGTACACCACTCGTAATTAAATTTACAGTTTAACACCTAAACTCAGCCATTTTATTTATGAAACGTTGACTTTTTTCAACCAACCACAAAGATATCGGAACTATGTATTTAATTTTTGGAGTTTGATCTGCTATGGTCGGCACTGCATTTAGAGTTTTAATCCGCCTGGAATTAGGTCAACCAGGTTCTTTTATTGGAGACGACCAAATTTATAATGTAATAGTAACAGCCCATGCTTTTATTATAATTTTCTTCATAGTTATGCCTATTATAATTGGGGGGTTTGGAAATTGACTAGTTCCACTAATAATCGGCGCCCCAGATATGGCGTTCCCTCGAATAAATAATATAAGTTTTTGACTTCTTCCACCTTCATTAATCTTACTTTTATCCGGAGGACTGGTGGAAAGAGGAGCAGGCACAGGCTGAACTGTATACCCCCCTTTATCAAGAGGCATCGCCCACGCTGGAGCTTCTGTAGATTTATCAATTTTCAGACTTCACCTTGCTGGGGCAAGTTCAATCTTGGGGGCAGTAAATTTTATTACAACTATCATCAACATACGAGTTGAGGGTATGACTTGGGATCGAACTCCTTTATTTGTTTGATCAGTTTTTTTAACCGCTATCCTTCTCCTGCTTTCCCTTCCAGTTCTTGCTGGAGCCATTACAATACTTTTAACAGATCGTAACCTAAATACTTCATTTTTCGACCCTGCCGGGGGCGGCGACCCTATCTTGTACCAACACTTGTTTTGATTTTTTGGTCACCCAGAAGTTTATATTTTAATTCTTCCTGGGTTTGGCATAATTTCACATATTATTACATTTGAAAGAGGTAAAAAACAAACTTTCGGTCAACTAGGTATAATTTACGCGATAATAGCAATCGGTCTTCTAGGATTTATCGTTTGAGCACATCATATATTTACTGTGGGAATAGATGTAGACACTCGTGCTTACTTTACAGCCGCCACTATAATTATTGCCATCCCCACAGGAGTGAAAATTTTTAGCTGAGTAGCGACACTTCAAGGAAGAGCTTTAATTATCACCCCAACTTTAATATGAGCCATAGGCTTTGTATTTTTATTTACTGTGGGGGGTCTCACAGGAATTATTTTAGCTAACTCTTCACTTGACATCGTACTTCACGACACTTACTATGTAGTCGCCCACTTTCACTATGTTTTATCTATGGGGGCTGTGTTTGCAATTATAGGAGGCTTAATTCACTGGTTTCCTTTATTTACAGGAGTAAATTTAAATCCTAAGTGACTAAAAATTCAATTTTATACTATGTTCATTGGGGTTAATATAACATTTTTCCCCCAACACTTTTTAGGACTAAACGGCATGCCTCGACGTTACTCAGACTACCCCGATGCATTTACTACTTGAAACGTATTATCTTCGTTAGGAAGCTATACCTCAGTAGCTGCCGTTATTCTATTCAGCTTTATTATTTGGGAATCTATTTCGACTGCCCGTCCTAGAGTCCATAACTTTATTTACTCTTCATCAATTGAATGACTTCAAAATATACCCCCATCCGAACACTCATACTCGGAGCTATCCTTAGTCACACATTTTTAATGTGGCAGATTAGTGCAGTGAACTTAAAATTCAAAAATGAATAATTTATTCTTTTAAAAATTGCAACTTGAGCGGCTTTAGGGTTCCAAAACGCTTCTTCACCTTTAATAGAACAACTAATCTTTTTCCATGACCACACCCTAACAATTTTGATTTTAATTATTTCTATTGTAGGATTTAATTTATTCTCAACTATACACAACACAAATATTGACCAACATATAATAGAATCCCAAGGTTTAGAATTATTTTGAACTATTATCCCAAGTTTTATTTTAATTTTTATCGGCCTTCCTTCTATTCGCTTATTATATTTATTAGATGAGGTCTATAACCCGGCAATCACCATTAAAACTATCGGACATCAATGATATTGATCTTACGAATATTCAGATTTTATTAACTTAGAATTTGACTCATACATAATCCCGTCAAATGAAATAGAAATAAATATATTTCGTTTAATTGACGTTGATAACCGAATAATAGCCCCTCTGAACTCCCAAGTCCGCACTTTAATTACAGCTGCTGATGTTTTACACTCATGAACAGTCCCAAGAATGGGAATTAAAGCTGACGCTGTGCCAGGACGTCTAAACCAAGTTAATTTTTATACAAACCGCCCTGGACTATTTTTCGGGCAATGCTCAGAAATTTGCGGAGCAAATCATAGATTTATGCCCATCGTAATTGAAACAATTCCAGGAAAAAACTTCATTAAATGAGTAAAAAATATATCTAAATAAACTATTCATTAAGTGGCTGAAAGTAAGCGTCGGTCTCTTAAACCGTTTCATAACAATTTAACAAATGTTTTTAATGAAAAAATTAGTTAACATTATTTATAATATAGTTTTGTCAAGACTAAGTGGTTTAAAAACATTTTTTTATTCCTCAAATAGCACCCATTATATGGCTACCTCTTTTTTTATTGTTCTCTTGGCTATTCCTTCTATCTGTAATTAAAATTTCTAATATTAAAAATACTAATATGAATGCCAACGTTGGTCAAACTAATACCCCACTTAGTGGCAACGAAACCGGCCATATAAATTGAAAATGATAATAACTAATTTATTTTCAGTGTTTGATCCTTCATCTATAATTTTTGTATCTTTAAACTGAATTAGATCATTAATTGTTTTAATGATTCTAACCCCTATGTTTTGAGTCACCCCTAATAAATTTTTTTTATCAACCTTAAAAATTTGCAAAAAACTTCATGATGAATTTAAAATACTGCTAGGGCCCCACTCATCAGTAGGAAGAACTATCCCATTTATCTCTTTATTGATATTTATTTTAATAAATAATTTTATGGGTTTATTTCCATACATTTTTACAGCTTCAAGACATATAGTTTTGACCTTAACTTTAAGATTACCTCTATGATTATCATTTATGATGTACGGCTGATTAAATTATACCAAACATATGTTCGCCCATTTAGTGCCACAGAGCACTCCAAATTTATTAATACCATTTATAGTGTTAATCGAATCAATTAGAAATGTAATCCGACCTTTAACTTTGGCAGTCCGACTTATAGCTAATATGGTAGCAGGACACCTATTAATAACTCTTTTGGGCAACCAAACAGCAGCCGCCTCTAACTTAATCTTAGCTAGATTAATCTTAACCCAAATTCTTTTATTAACCCTAGAATCTGCTGTAGCTATAATTCAATCTTACGTTTTTGCGGTGTTATCAACGCTATACGCTAGAGAAATTACACCCCACTAAATAAGTAATGATAATAAAAAGAGACCACTCATTCCACTTAGTAGACCTAAGTCCGTGACCCCTTACTGGGGCCACGGGCGCTTTCATTTTAACTACAGGCATTGTAAAATGGTTCCAAGAAATAAATATAAATTTATTTTTATTCGGCATAATAATTATAGCCCTAACTTGCATTCAATGATGGCGTGATATCAGACGAGAAGGGACCTTTCAAGGACTCCACACTTCAATTGTAGCCAAGGGATTGGGCTGAGGTATAATTTTATTTATTACATCTGAAGTATTATTTTTTTTCTCGTTTTTCTGAGCATTCTTCCATAGAAGTCTTGCCCCTTCTATAGAAATCGGTTTAATATGACCCCCTAGGGGAGGGTATTGCCATATGCATAGCAATATATCGTCATTCACAATTAAAAGATACCTAATAAAATGTCCCAAATATTATTATTATAACAACAAAGGCGATAAGGCTTTCTTCTCTGCAATTAAATAGATAAGAACTACGAAATTTTTTAAGGTTCACGTAGGAAAATCCGTTAAACAAACAGCTTAACACACCTCAATATATAAATGCATAGCTTTATACATACACAGGTAATTACTTTTCTTAATAATTTTGCAATTGTTGTCATAATCCCCCAAAGAAATCTGCTTATCCGCCTCCCCCAATTTTCAATTCTCACCTTCCCCTCCACCAAGAAAACTAACCCCGCCCCGCTTAACAATACCCCACAAATGGCAAACATATACTTCAACGCTTCCACCGAGACGGGTGTACATTCATGAAACTCGGGCTGGAACGGGACCCCACTGTTCACCTGAGCCGAATACTTGTCATACACTTCCTTCCCTTGTTGCCTCATCCGATAGAGCCGATGTGACATACTAAACACGCGCAACCACGTCTTAACCAACCCGCTTTCTATGAATCTCTTATACATTGTGTAGAACCGGGGAAATATGAAATTCCTTGATCCAAACATCACCGTCATAGTTCGAAACCCAGTCTCATCTCGACCATGAATGACGAACCGCTTATCCAGAAATGATATCGCTTCGGTCAAGAATTTCAGATCATTCGCGCCATCCATCATTGCAAAGGTTCCCCTTGTTTCGAACTGGTTGAGTCGGTCTGAATTTGAAATATTGCGAATCACCACTGCACTTTGGGCTGCCCTTGGCTCGACGAAAATCAGTCGCTTACAGAGAGCATCGAGGGTCCTTTGATACTCCAAATTTCCCACCATCGCAATTTTCAATGCCGGAAGTATAGCACCTTTAAGGATCGAATGGTACGTGATGGTGCGACTCGTCATGGTACGACTCGTCGTGGAAACTTTATATGATGCGAAGTTCGTTACAGTTAAGACGGGTAGTTGAGAGGATAACAGCTCGGCCATTGTGACGGGTACTTTCGGCAGTTCGGGGACCGTCAAGAAAGAAAAGATCGACCCCTGGTACAAATTCGCCATGAGAATGTAACACCCAAAAAACCAGACGGTCGGACCAATCACAGAGACATGCCGGTTGGCAAATATTTTCGTTACATCGCGACTCCCAGTTTGCCCCAGAAGGAGAGCGCCAACCTCCAAAACTTTGTTTCCGATGTATTCTCTCAAGTTGGCCGTGTAAATGCAGAACCCAGAAGCAGAAACTGAAATCGGAGCCAAAGTGGACATCGTAATTAAAGAAATTAAAAGAAGAAGCCACGTCGCGGTATCGAAGGGTAGGAGAAAAGTGAAAAAATTATTTGCCACCGAGGGAAACACAGTAACCACGGAAAACTTGACAATTTCAAAATTCACGGTGTAAACAGAGAAACACTTTTTGATATTAGTTACCGTTACATCGCTTAAAATAGAGGTGAAGCTTATCTCTCCGTACACATTTTCCCAGTCAGATTTCTTCATTACTCGCCAATGTAAATAAGTAAAGTTAAACTTTTCTCGAAGAAGGGACAAGGGGCAAAATCTGGGAGAATAAATTTTGTCGAAATTTCGTCTAATTGGTCGGCAATCTCCGTCCTGTTGAACGTTGTGTGAACCATAGACTACCACAATTTTTTGGTAAAAATTTGAATTCAGGGAGTTCCACGTGACATCAATTTCACGTAGGAGGTGTAACCCGCGGTTGCTTAGTTTTAGTATAGATTGACAGGGCAAGCAGGGCACATAAGCGGATTCGGGGGATTCATGGATATTGAACAAGACTAATTTTGAATAAGAAGGCGCCGAATTGTAGCCTTCGTAAGAGGCGTGAGCTTTATACGGGTCAACCACGTGCGCGAATATGTACTGCGCAGGGTGAAAACGGCGCGTAATTGCCCATAGGAGATCGATATGTTTGACGAGTTTCATAGCCGACCCAGGTAAATCTAGGAAAACGAGGAGGGTTCGAAATCTGTAAAGTTGTTTGATCGGGGCAACCTCTCGGTTCTCCGCAGAAGCGTTTAGAACAAATTGACCGAATAGTTGTGGAGTGTAGGGGTTGTGGCGGGTAATGAGTTTGTATAGTAAGGGGGGCAATTGAGACACGTTGAAGAAATGAAGGTCACAGTCTTGAAATACATTGTCACGCTACCACATACATTTTACTGGTTGTTGAAGAAATATGAGTAGTACGAGAATTAATACGTTATCCATTCCGCCCGATCAAAATTTTCCAGCAGAGCAGGGTTTATGCATAGAATTTTGTAGGTGTAAGTACTAGAAGATTTTCACACTAAAATGATATTTGTTTAATTACTGTTTGCAACACTTACACAAAACAACATTGGCAATATGTATATTGAATTAATTCAGAATAATATAGGTGATCACTTAGATTAGGATTTTCTTAAGTGTGACATTAATCTAATCTAAATAAGTACACATGATGTAAAAACACACACATACTTATATTCATGCCTAGTGTTTTATATAAGCAAATATTACACATGTGCCTACAGTGTAACGTTTATCACGCAACCCTCTTAACCACAATTTGAGTAGTTTAGATAATTTATAATTCGGCATTTAATTCCTTTTGATATGGACAAAACATTTCAATATATAATACCTAAATATGTATGAGCCATATCAGCATCATAACATAACATTGTTAGCAATTTTAAGTATTTACTGGGTTTACATAATTTGTTTAGTATAAAGTCCAAAGTTAATGTAAACAGAACAGTACAAATTTTGTACGCAATAATTTGGTACACATCTACATACATACCAACATACTTACCTGTGCAAATTAGCGTGAAATTTCCGACGCTGAACCGAAGTTACAATTTTTGAAGCACTTCAACTCAACAACAAATCCGATCATTAAAGTAATGCAGAAGAAAGTTTGAGAATTTTTTATATATCATTCATTATTCAAATTACTTACTTCTTCTTCTGAAACGCAGAATCCTAATCGTTAATCTAGTTTCACGTAGGTGCCAAAATTGTAGAATTATTAAGGCGCTGTGCATGCATATATTACGTAACTCGAGAGGGGGGTGAAAGGCTCAAATTATATCGTGCCTATGTACGTTCATACATATGTGACACATGCAAGATAGCGAGGGGGTCTAGAAAAATCGCAATTTTTGTACTACATAATTTATGAACGGCTCTTACTCACAACATACATAACAAATGAATACCGTTCCATGTAGAGTGCGTTAAAGTTCATTAGTTTATGGGATTGCATTCATTTAACATTTATGAAACTAAACCCTTATAATCAAGGCATATATTCCACAATTTCATGTTATATAATTCATATTTGCGTATTTTCTTATCTATAAATACATTAGCGTATTTGTTGCATTTAACGTATAAGTACAGCGAACTATTTATAATAAATACTTCGCTTATGTAATTTTACAGACGGTTGCCTATTTATTGATAGTATTAGTTCTACCCAAGTGGCGAGTAAATTCTTCAAAAGTGAAGACTTTGCTTAGTAATACGATGTAATAATAAGTAATATAAGTAAAAATATGTTTTTCTGTAAGATTACAAAAGTAGAACTATCGATTACTAAATATGTTGTATATAGATTGCGAGTGTAAATAAGTTTTTGTATAAATCAATTCTTTGAATGAATTTCGCTGCAGTTAGGATTTTACACCGACTTTTGTAGAACAATTGGTTTGGGTGTCAATAAATCGTACCCAGTTGTGTGATAGCAGATTTTTTCTTAATCCTTGTAGCATCCATGAAAAAATTTTGAAAAGTAAAAGAAAACATCTAAGAGTTAGTTTTGACTCTTCATTTTGAAGGTTTACAAAAATGTTGACGTTTGACCTATTGGTGACCTTAGAAATCGCGGCCCAGAATTATTCGCCAATGAGTTTGTACAACCACATTCTAAGAAATCTGGTGATAACTATCACCGGTGGTCTTCTGCCACCTGCCGGTAGAGTCACATATGACCACCGCGCTGGTGATAAAATTTCTTAGAGTGCACATGCGAAGCTTCAATGCTCTAAGTGCACGTTATCATACCGTAGAAAATATCTAAACTATCCAATCCAATGTTTTACTTATGTACTGTATGTACATATATTGCGTTCTTGGTGTCTTTACATAGGTCCTGCATGTAACTCATTTCCATACCAGTAGTAGTGAAACCGTTTGCCGAATACAAAATTCCTGAATGACCAAAGGGGTCAATTGTTCAACAAAATTATGTCCAAATTGTATCCTTAAAGGTATTAAGGACCTACAAACCCTTGTCTTGAAGGCCGACTTATTTTTCCCCTTAAACCTCAAAATGCATTCGGCACTAATCTTGATGACATTTCCCGCCACGGAAAACGTAATCATGGTGAACGTTACTATTCCCAAGTAGGGAACCACAAATATCGTTATTCTAGCAATACTTGCATTTGGACTTTGCCAAATATGTATGGCAATGAAGCACAAAGACAATTGCACAAAAGGCAAGAAGTAGCCATACATCGCAAATATCCGGTCGCGAATGACCGAGTTCACGATTTTCTCTAGAACCTGTAGTTTCCTGAACCCAGAAATGCCCGTTTTGAGATATTTCAAGTCGGATAGGATGAACGAAATGCTCGGAACGAGAACTACTATAGCGTGATAACCTCCACCAGTGACGGCTACGCCCATGTTAGCGAACTCCATTATAATTAGCATGCATCTTGTCGCGAAGTTATAGTTGCCACTTTGGCAGAAGAGTGCGCTGAGCAGAGGTGGTTTAGAGGGTAGCAGAATTGCGAGTAGGGCCATGCACATGGGTAAACACACGTACTGCAGTTCTGCCATATTCATGCACAGGAAAACACATATTAATATTAATATGTATGTACAATAACTACAAACCTCGTCCGGAATTCCGCGGAGTTTTATCTATATAAGACAAAACAAAGTTGTAGAATTATTAAAATTCCACAAGTAGCTGACCCACTCCTCTCTTCTGGTACGGTCAACTGTTTAAAGAGGAACAGATCAGCACGAGACGACGCTATGCGTGGACCGTACCAGGCCTAAAACTAACGTACCCTGACAGCAAAAATGTTTTAAAAATTTACCTTGAAATTTGAGATCTGCTTTACCCTTTTCACTCACTCAGAAATAATTATGACACCAAACTATAGTCTTAATAATTTGCAGACAAATCGCCACCCGCGGAGGTATTAAAATGTTCTGTTTTGGGGTAATTATTAAGTAGACGTTTTGTCACCACCAGAAAATAAGGCAAAAACTCGTGCTCCAAATAGTGTAGAAGAAAACGGTGCAAATTAATCGAAAAATCACTCACTCAATCTCTAAAAATTGACTCAAACAACCAAACAACTGGCTCTGGAGCAGTTCACTACTTGGACGATAAAATGCATCTAAATTATTTATTTACCTGAATGCTTCCTTCTTTCGGTTACAGAAATTAAACTTAATATACTTACCATATC